GTAAAACGGGGAGAGAGGGGGGGGCCTTCGGACCCAAAAACAAACCGTCACATCGCGTGCCGACGGGAGGAATCGAACCCGGACACGAACAGTCGCCGCCCCGCTCCGGGCCGAGGCGCCGAGGCCGAGGGAGTTGCAGCACGCGGAGGGCTTGGCCGGCCGGGCCGCACGGCCTGCACGGCCTGCACGGCGAGCTTTGGCCGCGAACCAGCGAGCCGCGACGACCACACCACCATTGTGTACCGTGTGCCGGCTCGCTCCGGCAAACATTGTATCCAGTCCGCCGAAACTGTTTGCCACTTAGCTGAAACGGTTCGATATTCGTAGAGCGAGGAACGCGAGGTTGGATTTTCGGAGGATTTGAAGTGTATGTGTGTGTGTGTCCATCCAATCTAGCCTGTGAAACAACAGCGGACACGCGCACACTCACAGACAGACTCATACACGCACACAAGCACGCACACACCCACACACACGCCGAGACAGACAGGCCTACCTCACGCCTTCGGCCCAAACAAGATTTATGCCCAGCTGTATACCTTACTTGGCTTTGCAGGCCTCGGGGCTTCGGGTGCCGGGCCTCGCGCGTGCGCACCCCATCTCATCCACGCGCGGGGCCTGGCCGGTGGCCTCGGCTTGTTCGGCCTCGAAGGACGCGTCGTGCTGGAGGCCGTGGAGGCCGCGCCCGTTCTTGTTTGCCCCTCGTTTGGAGGAGTCTTTGGCTTGGCGGCGAGGCGGCGTGGCCGAGACCACCGCAGGCAATTGAGCCGCAATCCTCCCGCTGCAGCAGCGTCTGTTTGCACTGGACACCAAGCTGGCGGGCTGCGAACCTTCAGGATGACTCTCCACCGCGCTCAGTCTCTCTCGCACTGCCGGGACGCCCCGTGAGTGCGAGAGAGACAGAGCGACAAAACCGCAGGTCGGAATCACTCCTCTGGATCCGGCAGAGTGGCGGGAGCCTTCATTACAGACGGGCCGGGGATGAAGGTGGAGGTGGCAGAGAGATCGCAAACATCAGCGGATGATTTGCAGGAGCAAAGTCAAACAAGCGCCGACCTTTATAGGGCTGGAAGCGGATGCGCAGGGCTGCGTTTGGAGAGACGCGCTTAGAGAGAGACGCGCTTAAGAGAGAGACGCGCTTAGAGAGACGCGCTTGGAAAAGAGAGCGTTAGAGACGCGCGCTTAGAGAGATGCGCTTGGAGAGATGCGCTTGGAGAGACACGCTTAGGGAGTCGCGCTTAGAGAGACGCGCCTAGAGAGACGCGCTTGGAGAGACGCCCTTAGAGAGTCGCGCTTAGAGAGACGCGCTTGGAAAAAAGAGCGTTAGAGACGCGCGCTCCGCTTGGAGAGACGCGCTTGGGGAGTCGCGCTTAGGGAGTCGCGCTTGGAGAGACGTGCTTGGAGTGACGCCGACGTGTTGGCACTTTGTCCTCTGACCGAAGGTATAGTTCTTTTTACAACCCGAACACGGGTGAGAACGGGATTTTGGCCTTTTTTTCACCCAGTTGCCAGAGAGGAATTCACCGGTGGAGAATCTCTGCTCCAACCCAAAATTCGGGGGCGCGGGTCGGTTTACAGTCAGTCAGAGTGCACCTTAAGTTGCCAAAGTCATTTTTTTTATTTAAATAAAAACCTACCAAAATTGACCTGAAATTGTCATGCATAAAGTAAGTACCTCGGTTTTTTTTTCACGTTTTCGCTTTGTTTCTGGTCTGGTTGCAACGGCTCACCTTACGGCCTGGCCGCGTGCGTGCCCGCCAGCATTGTGTTACATTACAGTCACGTGTAAACATTTCCGTGGCTCTCATCCCGTGTGTTTGTGGGGTAATTACCTGCCTTGGGTAAAGCTCCCCAACCCCTTATCCCTCCCCGGAGACGACAAAGATATACATGAGAAGGCGGGGCGGGGCGGGGCGGGGTGCGGAAGGGCGAGGCGGGCCACTTGCCGGGGTCATGCACGAGGGGAAAATACTTCAAAGTTTAAACTGAATTTTAAGCGAGCGGTCGACAGAAAGAAAACCCACGCCCGAGCGCACACGCACCAACGCACACTCCGGCACGGGGACTACACGACCTCAGGAGAAAGAATAACGTTACACGAGAGGGAAGAGAAAGAAGGAAGAGAGAGAGAGAGAGAGCAGTGAGCTGGCCTTCGCGGTCATTTCGCGCGAGAAAATAGAAGCGCTCGACGCGAGGCTGGAGCGCGACTGGGCAGTGCACGACGGCACCCCGGAGCACGCCTCGCCGCGAAGGGTACGCAAAAATGCACGACGCGGAATAAGTGGAACAGACTGACATTCAATAAAGTTTGTTGTGCGAAGACCTGCAGTTGCCTGATCCGCTCGTGAAATGAGGAACTGGGAGCACCTCTGCCATGCCGCGCCGCCCGCAGTGCGCCTCGGAGGGGCAGCAGGCAACTCTTTGCGGAACTCGGGAAAACTTCCGGTGGAGCTGTCTGGGTGCCCAGCACAGCCCAGCTCAGCTTAGCACAGCCCAGCCCAGCCCAGCCCAGCCCAGCCCAGCCCAGCCGGCCCACGGCCTGCGGGGCGATGCCGCTGCTGCGCTGTAAGCGGCTGTAAGCGCCCGGGCAGCAGGCCGCTGCAGGCGCCGAGACACGCGCGCGCGGCGGGTTGCCTGGCCGCGGGCCGCGGGCGGCAAAGGGCCTGCGCCAGGCTGCTCCACTCCGCCCATCCAGACTCGCCTCGCCTCGCCTCGCCTCGCCGCGAGACGAAAAGCGCTGCCTCTGTTTTCAATTCGTTAGCGCGGGCCGTGTGCTGGGCGCCGCACCAGCCGCCCGGCGGCCGAGGGGGCTCTCCTTTTTGAAGGGGCCTAGCCAGCGGAGCAGCGCGATATTTTAAAAACAAACTCGAGCCTGTCACTGATAATTGGTGATGCGAGCCAGCCACGCGTACCGAGGCGGGGCATGGAAGTGGAAGGTTGTAAGATCACCACCACGTCTGGGGAGCACGATTTGCAGAGAGAGAGAGAGAGAGAGAGAGAGAGAGAGAGAGAGAGAGAGAGAGAGAGAGAGAGAGAGAGAGAGAGAGAGAGAGAGAGAGAGAGAGAGAACATTCTCAAAGTCAGTCCGAAATCGATTTTGAAAATACTGTATACCTCATTGGCTTTACTGAGAACCAAGTGAGTGGGCGTGGCTGGACCTGCTGGAGCGCCCTGAAGCGTAAAATCCGTCACATCGCCACATGCGAAGCTCCGACGACGAGGCTGAAGCCTCGGCGACGCCATCACCGAGAATATGTCTGTGAGAAGAAGCAGCGCCGACAGCGCCGCACTGCTGCCTCGCCCGCCTCGCCCGCTTCGCCCGCTTCGCACTCTATGATCGGCCATTTGGAAACGTCAGGCGAGACATTTCCCGGCCGCCAGCAGGGCTTGCAGCGCTTGCAGCCGGGCCGTGGCGAACCGCGCCAAGCCCGCCGGGCCGCGCCGGGCCGCCCTGGAGGCCGCGCCGGAGCGAAGCGCCATTTCCGGCGAGACTCGAGTGCGGCCCGCAGGCCCGCAGCCAGATATCGGATTTATCGACCAGATAATGTATCCTCTTAAAATTCATTTCCTCGATCGTCCTCAAACAATTTAGTCTAAGCCCGCGGCCGAATTAGGGGGGGGACGCGAAGTCGGCACGGTGATGTATCGGGTCGAGTTTAAACTGGGGCCGCCGGGGCGAAGGCGGAGGCGGGAGAGGGCCGGGCCCTTGGCCGGGCCAGGGCGAAGGGCGAGGCGCCTGCCCTCGCGCCTGCCAAACAAGAAAAACGCTAACGGCGACAGCGGCGCACTAAATCTGCAGGACACCTTGGAGGCTCGGCTCCACGCGGCCGCCTAGGCCGCCTTGGCCGCCCCGCTCTTGACAGCGGCGCCGGGACAAGGGTCATAGGTGACGGGCGGGCCGAGGGTGGCATCTCACGCTTGCAATCACGCGCTCCTCACAACGTGGCCGCAGCCTCTCTAGCCGGGCCGGAAGCCGAGCCTCAGAGACCCCTGGCTGATGGCGCTGGTCCCCACGCCCACACCGCGCCCCCACCGCGACCCACACCGCGCCCACACGGACACGTGCGGAATGTGGAACCTTCCGACCCCTCTTATCTCCATGCCTCGGCCTATCGGGTCCGGCCGGCCGCCGCGATGGACCGCCGGCCAACACTCTCCAGTGGCGGACGGCCGGGCGGACGGCCGGGCGGACAGGGGCGGTGAAAGTACCGAAAGAAAATGCTGCCGGCCAAAGACGCGATAGCGCAGTTGCCGCCGGGCTCGTGTTGGTTGACTGTGTAGACGAGACGAACTGTCGACGGGCTGCCGACGCGGACGGCCGAGCGGGGCGGCGGGGCGAAAGAGGCAGAAGGAACAGAGCAGGAGGCTCGGCGAGGCTCGGCGTTTACGACTGGACCGCCAGTCTCGGGGAGGCTGGCGCTGTGACGGCCGGGTGGACGCCAAGGCGACGCCAGGTGCGAATGACTCTGCTCGGCCGGTGGCAGCGGCACGGGGCTGTGGCTGGGGGCTTTCGGGGCCGCGCCGCGAGGACGAGGCCATCAAAGAGAAACCCCATCGCGCGCCGTGCCGTGCCGTGCCGTGCCGTGCCGTGCCCACCGTGCCGCGCCGGCGGCCGAGGCGGCGCGAAGCGTGCGAAAGATAAGGCCTTCCCCACCTCCCCCTCCGGCCGGGGCGGCCGGGGCAGGGCCACCAGGACGGTCCCCGCCAGGTCCATCTCGGCAGTGCTCCCCGCGCCGCGCTGTGCGTCCACTCCGCCCCCCGCGAGGCCACCGCCCGAAGCCGCCACGATTCCGCGAAGGTGTGCCGTGCCGTGCGTACGCGGCGGCGCTGACTGTGTCTCCGGTTCCGAACGGTTCGTCGCGCGATTGTAGCCGGGGCCACGCGCACCCACACGCGCACACCAACACAGCGGCGAGGACGGCACGGGCGGCACGGACGGCACGGACGGCACGGACGGCCGCGCGCCAACCGGAGCCTATAAGAGGGGGAGGCGCTGCGAGGCCCGCCACTCCGCCACTCGCGGCCCGAAGTGTGACCGCGCCGACCAGGCCCGACGCCCTGGAGTGCCTTGCAGTGCCTTGGCAGCGCCCGACCGCCACGCGACACCAGCGCCGCGGATTCCGCGGACACATTCGGCGCCATGCGGGCCTGTGAGTACAACGTGATCCTGGTTGATCCAGATCGAGTTATCGGGGCGCGACGGAGCACTAATTGGAGGCAGCGAGGCCGATAAGACGCCCATTGTTTTGGATTAGCGGTGTGCTGATTGGCGGCAAATCGTACAGTGGCGGTCCTTTGCGGCCGGCCCGACTGACCGCAATTCGCTAGATTGCTTGTTGCGGGCCCGCGGCCCCCACGGCCCCCGCGGCCCCCGCGGCCCCGCCGTCGCCGCGTTGATTCAGTCGCCGTGTAGTGCAAATACTAGCCGTGCCAATCACTTGTGGCGTTCGCTCTGTTCGCAAACTCCCCAACGAAGCAGGCCGGCGCCCCCGCGGACCAGAACTCAGACGCGTTTTCGGACACTGTATTTTCTTGCATAGAGCTCCAAAACATGATGCAGGGTCCGCGTCCGGAGAAGGACAACCCAATGGTACTGCTGTGTTTGATTCGAGTGCCATGCCACTCGGAATGTGGACTTAAAACCGTGACCGGAGAGTTGTCAGCGTAAACTGGCCGCATTCTGGCCAGCCCATCGCGAGACGCCTCCTCGACCACCAACCCATGCCGGCCAATCATTACTCTCACGGAGCACGTCCGACGGCGCGTCCGGACTGTGTGTACTACGCACATTCAGGCTCCCCACTGTACTCCTGTCCGTCTGCCTGTCCGCCTGCCTGTCCCTGTCGGCTCGCTGTTCACTTTTTCCCTCGGATGACACACGCAGTACGCACGCGCAGCTGAGCGAGTCGCGACGGTCATGGCAACCCTTGCATTCGAAGCGAGGCGGCGGGGTACAGGGGTCTATGGAGGAGGCTCACACCCCCATCTGCGCCGCACGCAAGCCCTCGGGCCCCGGCCGAACCCCGGCCGAACCCCGGCCGGCCCGGTCGTAAGCTAGAGGCTGAGCGGCCGGGACGAGCTCCCTAAACGGCCGGGCCGGGCGGCGCTGGGGCGATGCCTGGCACTGCCATGGGCCGGCGGCGTCCGCCCGACAGGTGAGGTCTCGGACGCGTGAGGACGGTACTCCTACCCAGTGGCGCGAGCGGGATTGCCCGTTCCGCGCAATGTGGTATTGCTTGCAGGCATAGACTGTGAGGCAAATGCGAGAGGAAGCATCGAAGAACACTGCCCTGTAGAGCGAGTGGTGAACCCGGTCTGGCTTGAACGTGAAAGTACCATTTGATGTTTACTTGTGTTTGGACAAATGTGCCTATTCGTATTCAGTTGCAGTATTCCTGGTATTCATAATATTCATTGGTATTCATATTTTCTGTTCACAAAAATAGTGAGATATTACCCCTTACGCCATCTTCTTTCCAGATACATAAGGCCATGTTCTCGGAAACTGTTGGCAATCAAGGACGGCGTGGGCGCACGCCGCTCTCCCCCTTTTCCATAGCAGCTCGGGAGGCGCTTTCGGCCGCGGCGCGCCGCCTGCCACGTGAGGCTCTTTCCACGTGCCAGCATTTGTGGCGACAACAAGTTTTCTCCCCCCGGCTGTCTCATCCCCTCCGCGGAGTAGTTTCACTGCGTGTTGGAGGAGGCAGGGGTGCTGGCCCCGCGCCCCGCCCGCGGGACGCCACCACCGGGAAAATCTCGAACGGGGCGTCGCAGGCGACGCAAAGTGGCGCACGGAAGATGCTGCGCGGTGCTGCGCGGTGCTGCGCGGTGCCGCGCGGTGCGCGCCGCGCAGGGCTGCGGCTGCTCCCCGGTGACAGAGAACTAACTATAAGGTGCGGAGAGCGGCATGAAGCGCTAAGCGACTCGAAAGTTTCCAGCCCCCTGATGGCGCAACACTACCCGCCGTGTACCGGCCGATTAGCGCGTGGCAGGGCGTGGGGAGGCGGGGCGGGGCGGGGCGGGGCGGGGCGCTTCCCCCCACGCCGCGAGACGGAAACTGTGCAGCGAGGCGACTGCGGCGCCCAGCACGAGGCATCGCGGGGTGTCCCCACCCCACGTCCCCTCGGTGCCCCGGGGGCAATCAGGACCACTGGGGGCAGCAGGGCAGCAGCAGGGCAGCAGCAGGGCAGCAGCAGCCCGCGGGAGGGCGGCCTCGAGGGCGGCCATGTGGCTGCGGCTCCGCGCGGCTCCGCGTCACTGATACGCCAAGTTGGCAACTCGTAACGAACACGTGTAACACGTGTAACGCGCGCCTGCGAGACCAGAACGACGTCATGTGTGCGGCGGAACGGCGTCGACGTCGTGGGCCAACCCTGCGACCCTCCGCCCCGGCTCGCCGAATCGTCGCGTTCGTCAGCGGGCCCTGCCCGCAGCCTGGCGCCTTGCCCGCCGCGCCGAGCGTGGCGGCCAGTGGCGGCCCGGCCGACGAGACCCTGGAGGCCGTGGCCGTGGCTCCGCTGGCTCTGGCCTGGCCCTGGCCGGACGCGGCGCGCTGACTCGCTGCAGGTCGAACGGCAGACGGCTTGACCGCCATTCGCGGCGTTGGGTTGCGCGCCGCGTGCCGAGTCCCGCTTGTAGTCCGCCAGTCGCGTGCCGGCCGTGCAGGCCGTCCGGCGTGGCGAGAGCCTCATCGTGGGGACGACAGCCGAACGCGCCGGTCACCGTCGGGTGCTTAGCCGGGCGCAACCTCCGCCACCGAGAGGACGGCCATGGTTGAGAGGCGCGGCGGGGGTCCAGTGTCCAGCCAGGCCAGCGAGGCGAGCAGCTGCGCGACCAGGCCCCGCCTCTGGGCCCCGCCTCTGGGTCTGGGCCCCGCCGCGCCGCAATCCATTCATTGGGAAGCGCGACTTCTGGAAATGTGGCGGCGGTAGCGTTCATTCGTTCATTCCACGCGGATACGTGGTGGGCCGTCCTCGCCTCGCGCCGCCGTCCCGCCGTCCCCGTACGGCCATCCGTCACGACCTCCACCCCACACTCTCGGCAGCCCCGAGAATGCCGTGATAATTGCGGTCCCCCCCCCCCTCGCGCTTCGCGGCTTCGCGTACACCAGCGCGTTCGGGAGAGCAGAAACAGAAAGGGTCGTTGAGATGAAACACGCTGCGAGCGACAGCGACGCACACGGAACGAGGGGAGGGCGGGGACCCTTTTTCCGTCCCTGGACCTTTGACACACACCAGCCTATGAGAATTCCGGTAGGGTGGTTGAAAGCACTCTTCGTCAAAGTTACTTTATACGCATCTAATTATTATTTTATGAAATTAAAGAATCGTAATTATAAAACGTGAAGAGAGCAACTCGCAGCCAATATAGAGGGTGGGCCTGGTCCTGACCGCGAGCCCGGCGGGCAGCAGCAGTGGCTGGCGGGCAGTGGCGGGCAGCCCCTCTCCTCTCGCCCCGTCTCTCTCGGTGACGAGATGAGCCACCCGTTATCGCTTGATGGGCAACGAGGCCATCGCGCCGGCCGGCCGTGCCTGGGGTGCCTGGCCATGCTGAGGCCGCGCTCCAGGCTCCGCCCCAGCCCGCCGCCAGCCCCTGTCTCTCACAGAGATTCCGAACGCTCGCGAGTTTGACAGGGACAGGATCGACGTGCATGGACAGCTGGAGGCCCGCGCAGTCTGTGCCGCCCGAAACAACCATTTCCGATCCATTAACGTGCTGATTGAAGTTGGTGGTTTTCGCTCTATTGCGGTCGGGCCTTCCCAGAATTTTGCTAGTTGTTTGATTGTTTCACCCCCACTTTGACGCCGTATGCACCTTTTCCAGGGTTCCTGGCCGCGCTGGCCGCGCTGGCCACGGCAGTCGCCAGTCCTGTGTCGACGCAGAGCGACGCGTCCGCGATGCCGCCCTCCGGTGAGCCCTGCCAGCCGAGCCCCACCGCCACGGACACCTCGGAGCGCCTCAGCAAGCTCAGGGAGTTGATGGCCGCGAACAACGTCGCGGCCTACATCGTGCCATCGGACGACGAGCATGGGGTATGTCGGAACTACTCCGTGCCGGCGGCCGGGCGGGCCTCTCGGCGGGCCGGGCCCGCGGCAGGGAGTAGTGACTGCACGGACTTGTTGCAGAGCGAGTACACGGCGACCCCCGACCACCGGCGCCAGTGGCTGTCGGGCTTCATGGGCAGCCTGGGCGACCTGGTGGTGACCCGCACCCAGGCCCTGCTGTGGACGGACTCGCGGTACTGGGTGCAGGCCGTGCGCGAGATGGACTGCGGCTGGACGCTGATGCGCAAGGGCGAGGCCGGGGTGAGTGGACAGTGGGGGCGTAGTCGCGGAGGGAAGGCCCAGTAGGCCGTCGGCGAGCAGGGCCGTCCCTACAACGCCCCATTTGTGTGCCCAGGTTCCGAGCATCGAGAAGTGGCTGCTGGATAACGTGGACGCGACGTCGGAGATCGGCGCCGACCCCCGCATGGTGTCCTACTCCCTTTGGACCACCTGGCAGAACTACCTGAGTACGTTCTCTTCATCCTGTTGTTGTTGTTTGTTTGTTTGTTTGTTTGTTTTTCACTGTTGTAATTGTATGGCTTCTGTTGGGATCTAGGTTCCAAGTCTGGGCCTAGCCTCCGGGCAATCGAGAGCAACTTGGTGGACGAGGCATGGGGGCCCCAGAAGCCCAACTACCCGGATACACCAATCGTACCTCTGGCCCCAAAATATACAGGTGTGCAAAGATTCCAAACGTTAAGGACACCACCAAGGAACGCTTGACTGACTTGTTGCCCCCCAGGCGAGTCGTGGCAGTCCAAGGTGGCGAGGGTCCGCGACTCGATGCGCGCGGCCGGCAACGACCTGCTCGTGCTGTCCGCGCTGGACGACTGCGCCTGGCTGCTTAACCTGCGCAGCGGCGAGGTGCCGTACACGCCCGTGTTCCGGTGCTACGTCGTGCTGGGCGTCGACGACAAGGCTGCCGTCTCCATGGACGTCTTCCTGCCCATGAGCAAGGTGACGCAGACGGTGCGCGACCACCTCTGCGACCCGGACATCAGCACGCAGTGAGTCGAGCGCCAGGGAAGTCCCCCCAGTCGTCTAGCTCCGAGTCTTTGACCCCCGGCTGGAACGTGTCTGCAGGATCCACGACCACCAGGACATCTGGGAGAAGCTGCCCACCCTGGCCGCGACGCGCAACAGCGTGGCTCTCACCATGCCCGTCGTCTACCACACCGGCGCCAGCTACAAGCTCTACACCGCCGTGAGGGGGGAGGTGCGCCAAGTTCGAGTCTAGGTAGGCCACCCAACCGACGCAGCAGGCGAAACCCAACCCGCTTTTCGTCTTTGCCAACAGGCATCGGGCAACAAGCGAGTCGTGTTCATCGCCTCCCCCGTGCTGTACATGAAGGCCACCAAGAACCAGGTGGAGGCCATGGGGATGAAGCGTGCGCACGTCAAGGACGCCGTGGCCCTCGTCGAAATGCTCTCCATCTTGTCCGAAGAGGTGGGTTGAGGACGCTCGTCTAATCGAGCCACCACGTGGACCAGCCAGGCTTTACTGACTAGTTCTGCGGCCCGCAGGTTCCGGCCGGCAAGTACTGGGACGAGCAGATGGTGGTGGAGGCCCTGGACAAGCTGCGCTGGCAGCAGGAGAACTCGCACGGCCCCAGCTTCGACACGATCGCTGCGTTCGGCGTCAACGGCGCGCTGCCGCACTACCAGCCCAGCAACCTGACCAACCTGCGCATCACCACCAACGGGCTGTTCATGGTGGACTCTGGCGGCCAGTTCTCGGGTAGGTAGGCCTACACAGACACAGACACAGGCCCGGTCGTCGGCTCGTCGGCCTGGACGTGGCTCACGTTGCTCGCGCTCGTTTCAGAGGGGACCACGGACGTGACGCGGACGGTGCACTTCGGGACGCCCAGCGCCGTGCAGGTGGAAGTGTACACGCGGCTGCTCAAGGGCTGCATCGACCTGGCCTCCGTCAAGTTCCCCAAGGGCTACACCATGCAGAACCTGGAGGTGCTGCTCAGGCGGCCTCTTTTTGAACTGGGCCTGCAGTACGGCCACGGCTCCACCCACGGCATTGGCCACTTCCTCACCGTGCACGAGTGTAAGGCATCGGCTCCGAACCGAATGAGTTCAAATCGATCATTATTTGTTGCATGAAACCATTTTTGTTTTTCTGTTTTCTGTACAGCTTTTGATTATGAGTATGGAGAGAATTTCTTTGGATCGCAAGGTACCACATTTAAAATAGAGTGAACTTAATATTACAGTATTTAAGTTGCCTGACAGATATAAAAATTTTCAATGGACCTAGAAAAATATCCTTTTTGAATGAAGCTTTCTCTTGACAGAGCCCGGCTACTATCGTGAAGACGATTTTGGCATGAGATTGGAGAATATAGTGCAAGTGGTACCAGCAGAAGTAATGGTGAGTATTGTCAACATTCTAAGAGAGAAATGGCATCCTGTTGCAAACCACTAATTATCATTTCTCGCATTTCACAGTATAAAACTGCAACAAAGTTCCTAACTTTTGAGACAACTACTTTGGTGCCTTATGACAGAAAGCTAATAAATACTAAACTTCTGTCTGCCGAAGAGGTGTGTATGTGTGTAGGGTAACACTTTTAGCACTCAAACAAAAATTTTAATAATGAACTGCTTCTGTTTTGCCCATGTTTCCAGTTGAAGTGGCTGAATCTGTATAACCAACGCATAAGAATTTCAATTGGACCTGAACTACTTCGCCAAAACAAGCAGAAAGTCTACAAATGGCTACTAGAACAAACACAGCCATACTGTTGATTTAGTAATGGATAAATCCCATGTTGAGTGCCATAAACTAGTTCTATATTAAATTGCTTTAAAACTCAGCTGTTTTTAAAGTACGAAGACTGAGTGTAGTGTATGTTACTTATTCCAGACGAGTTATCTGTTGCACAGGAATTGAAACAAGATCAGAATATACTCTCAAGAAGAAAATGCAGTTTAATATATCAAATTACCGAATAGATAAACATTTTGAGAGTGCTGGAAGTTATTATTAGAAAACTTAAAACCCAACAGAAGACATCGTCAAAAGAAAAAATTGTACCAAATTTACAAAATCAAATGCATGTTAATAAGCCCAATGATATGGATGAGATCAAAAAACTTAGAAACTTAGGAAAATTGTGTAATCAAGAAAAGACATCAACCTCCAGTGAAATTCCATTGAATACAGGCCTAAAATCCAGCTCTCATAGGTGGTGAAACTAAAATGACTCCATCGCCTCGAACAAAAAGCATGGCGATATTTCGCTTAGTTGTCTTGTATACCTCTTCATATGTTTCTTCATCAATTTCTACAGTTGTAACAGTTTCTTCAGCATCTCCCAGGACCATGTTTAAGTGCTGATCATACGCCTACATCCAGGGGAAAACACAAAATCAAATAAAGAAAACTTGTATATTGCTTCAACAAGAATGGCATTGATGAATAAAACAGGACTTACATGCAATCTCCCACGGAGTTCTCTTTCATTCCTCATCTTCACATAAATCCTTTCATCGAGGCTCAGGCGAATGAGATCGAGGGGCTCTTTAACTGCGATGTTCGGAACCTAAATGGACACAAATCATACAAATTAATAATTATATTCATCATAATTTATCTATTAGAGTACAGACATAACCTCCAAGAAGTAAATTTCAAAGTACAAATTTGGAAAGTAAAAAACCACAAAAATATCAGATCCCATACCTGTTCTGACTCCTCTGCCATTATGAATTAATTGGGCGGGTCAAAATCAAATAGAAAAACTGTCAAAAGATAATCAAACTAATCTTCAGTCGGCTTTTTCATTCGCATTCGAAGGCAAAGCTCAGCGCGCTCTATCTGCTCGTGATGGGCGCTATTGGAACTACTCCAGAGGTCTGTGGCGACTAACCCCAACACAATTTTCACTTTCTTATTTCGCTTTGTCACTTTAAAACACTCTCCATATAAATATCTAAGTCACCAGTATTGTGAAAATGCCTTTCACTTAACCCAGTTTTAGGCTCTTTGCGTTTTTTGACGCTTTCAAGTCTAGAGGTCCCATGGTGACGTCACAGCCGACGGTGTCGCGCTCTGACGCCTTCGAATGCGAATAAAACCACTCACACACACTTACTTTGCTCTCCAGTACAGCCACTGCCACTGCGAGTCAGACTTCATAGCTCAGCGCAGAACTGAACGGCTAATAAAACCCTCAAGATTACTTAATTTTTATTAATTTTGACGAGACCAAAAAGTTTTATTTTGAAATCAATCGGAAGATTTAAAATTCTTTATCTTTAGCTCAATATTGAAGGTAGTTTCGGTCTGTCACCTTGCACATCTGTCTGTCAAAGTACCTCAAAAATGGCGGATGAAAGCGAACAGAAACAAACCTGCTCTTTTTCGTTTAAAAAGCGTAAGAACCAAGCGGTTCGACGTCGGAAGAGCAGTGAAGAAAGTGAAGGTACGCTGACATTATACTTCAGTTGGGTGAACTTTCAGTTCATGCAATCTAACATGGCGCTTAGGTTATGTTTAGGTTATGTTGTTGATCCTATAGTCACTTTGCCTAACGTTATCTAAACGTGTCATCCATAAAATACCCTTTAATGTTAACATTTGAATGACGTTTCTTACAGGAAACAGTGAAGAAGAAAAACCCACGGTTGTCAGAAAGGAGAAAAGATTAAAAACCAACTTGTTGGTTCAATCGGTGAGTACCTCAACTCATTGCTCGTAATAAAGTTTCTACCATCACATTAAATTTAATTGTACCATTTTACAGACTGCTAATGCCTCAAAGAAGAAGAGAGTCAAAGCATCTGACAGTGATAACAGCAGTGATTCTTCAGATCATGAAGCTGTGTTAGTCTCGTATAAATCGAAGCGAGACACCGGCCCAACTGGCCCAAGTGACATGGGAGCTACAGCAACTATAGAAATTGAAACAGAAAAGGATCGTGATGCCCAGGCTCAGTTTGAGCGGGCGTTGGCAATCAATAAGGTATTTCACAGTTCTTTGTCAAGTAGAATAGAAATTGTTGGAAGGGGTCTTTTTCCTTCAATACTTTCACCATGGAGTATTAGTTCCTACTTGTAGACAGCATCCTGTCCACTTATGGGATCATACTTCACAGTAAATGTGTGTAGGAGGAAATCACAAAGGACTTCATATCATAAACCTTACCCAATTGTTGTGTTTTGTCAATCACTTATTTTATATATAGGAATTAAAAGGTAAAGAAGATGATAAAATATATAGAGGAATGCAAAATTATCAGCAGTTTTATGAAAAACGAGATACAGCTCAGGGGAATGCATCGAGTGGAATGGCAAGTGTTCTTTACATAATAATATGTTTCACTTACAATATTTGTGCCTACTGATTTATATTCTCTTATAATTGTTTTTTTGTTTATGGCAGGTTCGGAAAGGCCCTATCCGTGCACCCTCAAATTTAAGGTCCACTGTGCGATGGGACTATCAGCCTGATATCTGTAAAGATTACAAAGAGACTGGGTATTGTGGTTTTGGAGGTAATGCCATGTTTGATTATTTAAATTCATAATAACAAAACAAGAATAGCAAAAAGCCATTATCGTGAATCGATTTGTGAATTTGTTTGTTTATGTAATGTTTGCAGACAGTTGCAAGTTCCTCCATGACAGATCTGACTACAAATTTGGGTGGCAACTTGAGAGAGAAATGGTGGATGGAACTTATGGAGATGATGATGATGATCCCCACAAGTATGAAATTGCTGACGATTCGGACAACTTGCCTTTCAAGTGCTTTATTTGCAGACAAAGTTTTAAAGACCCCATAGTCACCAAGTAAGACCTACCCAGACCAAAATTTGAACTTAAACATCATTATTTTGTTTCTTCTCATCACTGATCTTCTCTTTCCACAGGTGTACTCATTATTTCTGTGAAAAATGTGCTCTTGAACATTACAAGAAATCAACAAGGTGTTATATTTGTAATGCCCAGACAAGTGGGGTGTTCAACCCAGCCAAGGAGATCCTTGCTCGAATGAAAGGAGAGGCAGAAGAGGCGGCAGGAACGCATCAGCACAACTCAGATGATGATTCAGATTAATGAGGAGATTTTGTTTCTGCTGAAATTTTAAGAGAAACTTATTGCCTCTTGCTTCTGTCCAATCGCGAATTTTATTAATAAATATTGTACATAGCCATTTTGTTGACATCACTTATCCGAGCCTGATTTAAAGTTCTTTACATAATCTCAGACGCCACTCTGTCGGGTGCTCGGTGGACTTCCCTCGACGGCCGCGACGGCCACGGCGCCTCTTACTGGCGATGCGCATGCGCTCGGACGAACTGTCGGTCTCGATGTCAATACACTGAACGTGCCAACGACGTTGATGCCATTGACGTTCGGGCAACGCGGGCGGGTAGCGTTGAGTTCTATTTTGACTGAAAAACTAAAGCCCGTCTTGATACTGCACGGGCTCTCGAGTGCCTGCAGGTGTTAAGCATGTGTACCTCGCTGTGGTGTCGAAGTGTGCGGCGCATCGTGACATTTAGTTAGTGCCCAGCCAGAATTAGGTGTTCGAAACGACATCGGTTCGACGTAGAATCGATGGATTTTGCATTGCCCTTGTGTCCGCGCTGACGCCATCGACACAACGCAGCTTCGGCAGGGAATGATTTCCTTAATATATCAGCAGCAGGGCCACTACTCGTCCAAAAACGCTAATCAGCGAAGTCTGCAACAAACTTTCATAGGACGCAAATGGTCTCAAGTGTTATGGGGCGTCCGCTTCGTTCGAGTGGTTGCAGGTGTTCGATAACGACGGAAACAATCCAAACTACCCTTGAATTAAAAACTACGTAAAAAATCTCATTCAACGAACGTTAATGAAAGCAGATGATACTCGTTTGGTTTTCTTATACGGGGTAGTACGCGGGATCATTCCAAAGATAGTATTTAAAATTGTGTATGAAACAAAATACACAGACCCGAGTGAGCTGGCCGGTGTTGGTACTAGCCGTGCCGAGCTGTGGCTTGCACCGCACGCCGCCGAGCCCCAGCGAGCGCCCCAGGCCGGGCCGAATCGGGAGGCATTGTTGCGCGATACTCCGCGCCGTGGCAGGCGGGGAGGGATTGTCAATGCGAGGAGGAGGTGCCATTGTTGACGCCCGGTGCCGCTGGCGCTGTACCGCGGAGGGATTGTCGAATTCCGCGCAGGCTGCGCCTCATTGCAAGCCACACGCACCAGCCCGCCCCGGCCGCCAGCCCCTATTATATTGTTAGGATACGCGCTTGGTTTCTGGACTCGAGAGTAAAAGCACGCTGACACCTTCATTTGTGTATAGTAGTTTTAAGTATGTTTCAAGTGTGAAGGTATCATCTGCTAAAAATGATTTAATTGTGCACACAGCGTTTGGGTCAGCCGCAATAATTAGTTTTGGTGACTTTCAAAACAATCATTGGAAAACAAAAGTGCTCATGACGTCGCGGACGCCAGTAAGTGGCTTATAATGTGCCTCTTGAAAATTGGTGCCGCTCCCGACCTCGCTCGCCATCAAGGACACCCAGTTGGCTGCCCAGCTAACGACGCCTTAGGGAAGAAACATTCCGGACAGCCGTCAAATTCGCCGGATCGCATTCCAGCACGTGCGCGGCATCTCTACTCCTACAGGTCACCGACACTGAGTCGCCCACCCCTAGTTGAGCAGTGCGGCAAAAGTTGGTCATTTCGGCGTCCCGAGCCGGTTTCCTCGCCCTCGCGGAGCCACTCTGGACAGCGCTTCGTCGCTCTGTCTCTCTCGCTCTCCTGGGGCGTCCTGGGCATACAGGACATGAGCCCCGTCCCGTTTGAGCCCCGATGGTCTGAGCCCCGACCTGAGCCCCAACCTGAGCCCGGGTTGAGCCCCGACCCAAGCCCCGACCCAAGCCCCAATTTTCAGAGCCCGGACTGAGCCCCGACCTGAGCCCCGTTTGAGCCCCATTTGAGCCCCATTTGAGCCCCGCGACCTGAAACCACACATTTTTGCATGATTTATTGCCCCGAGGCTCAAGTGGGGCTCAAATGGGGCTCAAACGGGGCTCAGGTCGGGGCTCAGTCCGGGCTCTGAAAATTGGGGCTTGGGTCGGGGCTCAACCCGGGCTCAGGTTGGGGCTCAGGTCGGGGCTCAAACGGGACGGGGCTCATGTCCTGTATGCCGCGTCCTGGGCGGAAACGAAGCACGCACAGAGGGTGCGGCGGTGCAGGGTGGCGCGGGCTGCACGCGTCCCCGTCATCGCCGCGGCTATCACCACCGGGCACCGCGTCACACTGTAACGCCCTGGAGCCGCCGGACTCGGACATCGGACTCGTCGGACTCGCGCCGCGGTCGCCTCCCGGCCGCGGCTTTTAAAAGCCCAGGTGGAGTGGAGCAGCGGACGGAGCGAGACCTGCTGCGACTTGACGACTTGACGCGTCCATTCAGCCCAGGCCCACCTCCACAGCAGTCCTCGACCGTCCTCGACGCAGTCTGGCCCAGGCCTAGCCCGGCAGTCCGCGCCAGTCCACCGGGAAAGAGCGCGAGTGTGCGTCCGGGTGCGTCCCTCCAGCCAGCCCAGCCTGCGGTGATAGCATTGTTGGCCCAGCTGAGCAAACGCGGAACAGCGGCTATTCGACTATTCCCAGCAGCACGGTACGTCGGGGCGGCTGGGAACTGGGAATGCCGTGAGGGAGGGGCGCAGTGGGTGCCGGGGGTTGACGCGTGCGTTGCCCCTTCTGTCACTGAATCCTCCCACTAGAGCTAGTCCCGAGGAGAAATGACTGGTCGATAATGCGGTGATTCTCTCGATCAGATCGAAGTTCCTTGTTCGATCCTCGATCCAGGCGTCGCGACCACCATCTGCTTCTCGCAGGGCAGAAGGGCGCACTTTGTTTGGCACGCTGCAAATCCCCGTCGAACTTTCACCGCGATGGTGAGGATGCCCGTTGTTCAATTGCGGACACTGAAGTGAGTGGTCATCCGACATAACAACGTATGCTCATAGGGAATCCTACAGTAGATACGCTGTTATGTCCGATGGATACAGAAGTGTGACGTTTTCCAAATGACGGGGAAGACGGCAATCGCAAACGCTCTTAAAACATCATTCCGTCCCCGCATGCCGCTTTTGCTGGAAGATTCTTTGCCGGTCGTCGTGCGATTCGCTCGCAGTGGTACTGTACGCTAGTTGCTAGTTCGACTAGTTCTCACCTGGAGGAAGTCGCTGGACGACCAAATCATTGTTCGCTGCCTTTTAGAAGTTAGTCCCTGTCGTGGCCTCGCCTGGAGGGCAATCCCGGCCACGCCTGCTGTTTCGGCCCAATATCCTTGTTCTTATTTGGTCCGGGGCCTGGCCCACGGTCCGCGGCGCGCAGGGTGCGCATAGGGCCGCGGCCATGCGGCATGCCAGCCGGGGGAAGTCCCACGCTCCGGCGCCCTCCCTCCCCTCCTACGACCGGCGGGCAGACAGTCCAGATAGCCTGGCGCAGGTTAGGTTAGGTGCCGCTCCAGGCTGCGCGGTGCTCCGCGACCAGGGCTTTCCTTGCACTGCCACTGTGTGCCACTGGGCTGCACTGGGCGGCCGGCCGCGCGCTGCTCGGCGCTACGCAGTGCGCGCAGTGCGGACTGTGTCCGTCTGCCGGCCTCAGTTCCCTCCTCGCTATCGCCGGGCGCGTGTCGACTGGTCGTCGCCAGCTGTGCCAGTGTCAGTGCGCGTTGTGTTGCCCCCGACATGGACAACTACCTCATCCTCGTGTTCCTCATCGTCATCGCCACGCTGTGCTGGGTAGGTCGTTGGGTCGGATCGGTCGTGAAGAGTCCAGGCACTAGCTCTTGCTGGCCTTCTTGGGGGTTCTGCACCGACGGGGGCCGTCAAACAGGGATGCAAGGGGTCTCGAGGGGTCTCGGGCGAGGGGTCGGAACACGACGTCTCTTCATGGCCTGGTCCCGGCCCTGCGTTGGCGCAGGCCACCACGGGCACGCAGCTGATATTAGAAGTGCCGCCCAGGTGTCCGCGGCGGCCTGTCCACGCAGGTGCGCAGCTGAGTGTACCCGCCGAGTGTTATCTGGTCGTCTGCGGTCGCCCACCTAAGGTAGACTAGGATGCCGCTGATGCTCTCTGTTTGTTGCAGATGGCCGGCGTGGTGAAGGTGCTCCTCGCCGTGGTGCTCCTGGGCACCGCCGTGTCCCTCGCCGCCGACCCCAAGTCGGACCTGGCCGCCGACCGCCTCATGTGGTCCGCCTACCTGCTGTCCAAGGAGGGCCCGACCGCGGACCTGACGCGGCGCAGGCCGTTCAATCCTCTCCTGGACCTGGACCCGGTAATGATTGCCACGGATTCCACCCGCCGCCAAGGAGAGGGGCTCTGGTGTCGCGGAATCGGCACCATTTGGATTTGGCGTGTTTTCGTTTTCTTTTCTTTATCGCCGGCCGGAAGACTTGATCGTGCCGAACTTGCAGCGGCCCTCTTATCACCGAAGATAGATGTAAATTGTGGTGAGGCGGCGCGGAGAGAACGCCGCTCATTTCGGCACGAATGGACCGAATGGGCGGATTCCCAGTGGGTGAAGCAGGGCGAAGTGGGTCAGGGCTGCCTTAGCTGCCTTAGCGCGGCCGGGCCAGCGACCGGGCCAGCGACCCGGCAGGCCTTGGTAGCCTCGCAGCCCGTCGTCGGTACCAAGTGCGTGCCACTGATTTTGCGGCTTTTTCCGGCGCCACTGCCATTCGATGTCCGGAGCACAACAACAACACCCTCGCGCTGATGTCACCGTGCGAACTTGCGAAACGCGCCGCCGCGTCTGGTGTGGCTGGCGTGCTGCTAATGGGAGCGGCGGCATTCCCTGGCGGCCCCGGCGGCATTTTCCCGCCCATTCGAGCGCGCCTTGCCGCCGCACCGGCCGCGCCGCCATCCCGACTGGCGACTGCCCGGACGCAGCCCGCGCCAAGGCGGCCAAGGCGACCAAGGCCCGCGCAGCTGAGGCGGCTGCTTTTCGGACGCACCGGCAAGCAGCGGCAAGCCGGCGATAGGCGCGAGCGGCCTTTGCTCCCCGATGGTCCCCGATGGTTGGAGTGATAGTGCAGGTGTGCATGCGGCGGCGGGGTGACTCACAGCGAGGGTGCTGGCCGAACTGGGCCTCGACGATCTTGTTCGCGCTGGTGCTGGTCGAGGCCGCGGTGCGGAGGGCGGTGACGCGGTGGCGCGCGCCGTCCGTGGCCGTGGCCTTCGCAGTGTGCATCGCAGTTTGCGACAATGAAACGCACACGCGCGGATGATAGTGGCGATAGTGGACCAAAACAAGTCGCACTCGCAACACCGCGCTGCGTCGCGACCTGTCGAGAGTGACGCGCGCACTCCGCGCCGCGTGGGCCGGCGAGCCGCCGAGGTCAAGGATGGCGTTTCCGCTCACGCCGCGCTCCCGGCGCTGCTCTGCTTCCAGGTGGGGCTGATCCAGCACTACGGCTACCCGGCCGAGCGACACCACGTGACCACCGATGACGGCTACATCCTGGGCATCCACCGCATCCCGGGCTCTGGCTCCAGCCAGCGCGAAGCCGTGCGCCGGCCCGCCGTCATCCTGGCCCACCCGCTGCTGTCCACGTCGGCCGAGTGGCTGGTGGCCGGCCCCGAGAAGGCGCTGGCCTTCCTGCTGGCCGACGAGGGCTTCGACGTGTGGCTGCTCAACGTGCGCGGCAACACGTACTGCCTGAACCACACGACGCTCAGCCCCCACGACGACGCCTTCTGGGACTTCTCGTAAGTGACGATCAAATTGCAGCCCTGCGCTGCGGGCCATTTCCCCACGGCACCCCGCACCGCAGGGACTGCTGACTTAGCGGCCTAAAGCGCCTGCGAGGTAGGCCACGAGCCCCGGCAACACACCGGTGTGGAGACGGTGGCCTGCCTTGCCCCCGGCGCCTTCGCAGGCGCGAGGTAGGCCACCGTCTGCACAGAGGTGTGTCGCGGGACACAAGGGTGGCCTACCTCACAGGCGTTACAGACCTCCGACCCAGCAGTGCGCGGCGCGCAGCGGATACCGCTGCCAAACCTACACGGCCTAACAGCGCATTTGCAGCGTCCTTGTGTGGCGGGGACCTCTGCTCATCGGCGTTCGCTCCCTTCGCAGGTTCCACGAGCACGCGGTCCTGGACCTGCCCGCCACGATCCAGTACGTGGTGCGCGAGACCGGCCAGCAGCAGGTGCAGTACGTGGGCTTCTCCATGGGCACCACCATCATGTTCGTGATGGCGTCGGAGCGGCCCGACGTCGCCAAGCACGTGACCATGTTCACGGCGCTCGGCCCGGCCACCGCCCTGGTACACTCCAGGTCGTACGCGTGGCGGGCCCTGGCGCACGCCAGCGGAGCCCTCAAGGTGGGCAGCAATGCGCTCCGTCTCGCCGAAGGCTAGTCCGACAAACTCAGTAACCTTTTTCTCTCCTTATCCGGCAGAGAATGTCCAGAATGCTTCACACGCACCGGTTCCTGCCCTCCACGGCCGCGCTGCGCACCGCCGGCGAGGTGTTCTGCTCGGACGGCAGCATCACTCAGTCCCTGTGCGTGGGGCTCATCGCCGCGCTGGCCGGCCGCAACGACGCCCAGTTCAACAAGACCATGCTGCCCTACATCATCTCGAGGACGCCCAGCGGCACGTCCTTCAAGAACATCGACCACTTCGCGCAGTCGCTCAAGCAAGGTGAGGCCCGCGCCGTGGCGCCGTCGCCCTGGCGGTGCTGCCGGTGTCCCTGAACGAGTTGCTCAACGGTTTCATCGCGCAGGCTTCCAGCAGTACGACTACGGCCACGCGGAGAACCTGCGCCGCTACGGCAGCGCCGCGCCCCCGAAGTACAACGTGGGCAACGTGAACCTGCCGACGCGGTTGTATTACGGCATGAACGACCACCTGGCGGACTGGACGGTAAGCGCGAAGGCTCCGGGATCGAAGCCGCATTTTGCGACTTTCTTTTTCTCGCTCCCCACCCCGAAAAGCGCAGGTTCGTTTGTGGTCCTAGCCGATGACGCGCCTCGCTCTTTGACCGTACCGCGGTGCGTGGGCGCCGATTGGGTTGCCTTCGCGTCGGGCGGGGCGCACTTGAGTCGGTTGGGCTGCCTGCCCATCAGGCGCTGTTGCGCGCGCGCGAGTCCCCCCAGCTGCTCTGCTTCGTTGTCTGTAGCGTGGAATGTGTTCATGCAGGACGCCCAGAAGCTGTGCTCCGAGCTGCCCAACGTGCTGAGCTGCGACGCCGTCAAGGACCCCCTCTGGACGCACTTGGACTTCGTCTGGGCCAAAGACGTGGTGCCGCTTGTCTACAACAAGCTCATCGCCGACTTGAAGGAATCCTCGTTCCCCGTTCGGACGTAGCGCGTCGCGCACTAGCACGGGCCAAATATTGAAGTTCCATTTTCAGTCTGTGATATGTTGTCCCTCGTCTCATCGCGCCTGTATGTCATGCGCCTCTTCCAGCGGATTGACAACGTCCCTTTTAAATTCCCCATTGACTCATGCTGTTGCACTTTATCGCGATGGCGGTGCTCGCGTTATTCGTATAGAAGACCAAGTACAAGACGCATATCTGTGATTTGAATAAGTTTGTCTGTGATCCCACTCTAATACCCTAATATTTAACTCGATTTTACTGTAGTCTTTTTGTACAAATTGTGAATAAAATAATTTGCTTCACGGATGCAGTCCTTTTTCCTTTCTTATTTTCTGACTTTAAAAAAAATACACGGGACGGGCCAAAAAGGATTGACGGGAAGAAAGGGGGAGTATCTCCGTGCGAAAAGTTTAGCGCATCAGGCGGCGGGCACCTGGCACATTCAAAATAAAGGAACAAACAGAAATTCGTCAATAAATATTTATAATTTAAGAATTGGCAGCCTTGATTGTTTTGTTGCGGTATTTGCGAGGTATTTGAAAGTACTCGAGAAGACACTATTTTCACAGAATGTAGAGTCCCTCCTGCGTATCCTGGACGGAACCCTGCAAAAACACACAAAAGAAAGAAACGTGGATATTTATTCGAGGGCACGCCGGGGTATGCTCCCCCGACTAGCCGGTTCCTCACCTGGTAGCCCTGGTGGCCCCACCCGCCGAATTGATAGCCGCCGTGGGGGCGCCCTTTCACTTGCTGAGTGTCCTGGGTGTCCTGGAAGCCACCCTTGACGCCCGTGGGTCGCGAGGGCCTCGGGTGAGTCTTGAGCCCCCACTGTTGCATGCCCATGTCGGAACCGAGGTCACCCCACTGAAAAGAACGCAGTGCGTACAGTGGTGGCAGGGTCCAACGTCAGTTCACAATTGAGAGGAAATCTAATTCATGTACCTGGAAACCGTACGCCGGCACGTTGGGAGTGTGCCCTCGGCTGCCCTTGACGCCCTTCACGCCCTCGGACCACATGTCCGGAATCTCCGGCGCCCATCCCTGGTGGGACCCGCCCTTGACGCCCTTAACGCCCTTGACGCCAACGTCACCGCGGTGGCCCTTGACGCCGGGGACGTGGGGGCGGTGGCCGCCCTTTACGCCTGGCGGCGGGGTGGGGGGCGGGGGCGGCAGCGTGGGCTCTGGCGTCGTCGTGAACACGTACTGGGGGACGATGTAGGCCGGGGTAGTTTCTACCGGCGCCTCGGGAGTGGTGTATTCCGGGACGGTGTACGCCGGGGTCGTGTACTCCGGGACGGTGTACGCAGGAGTGGTGTACTCCGGCACTGTATATCCTGGCGTGGTGTACTCGGGAGTCTCCGTCGTCTGGACTGGCTCGTCACAGCCCTTGAAAGGCCTGCACACGAGGGTAGTGGCGAGGGAATGGCCGCCATGGCCGCCCTTGACGCCGAGGGCGATGCCCTGGTAGCCACCGTGGTAGCCCCCCTTGACGCCGCCCTTGACGCCGCCCTTGACACCACCCCGATGACCGCCCTTGATGCCGCCACTCGAAGGGCACACCTCCACGGTGCACAGAAGCTGCGTGCCGCGAGGGTACCCTGCTGCGGCTGGGTTGGCCTGGCACGCCCCGGGCTGTGGCCGCGGTCCTGCAAGCCGAGAAAGGACGTGTCAATGTCAATCGCGCTGGTTCCACTTGGATGCGGCGATGCGGCGAGGCCGCGCACGCGGAGACACTCACTCCAAGTTGTGGGGTGCGGGTAGTCCGTGGTCGCAGGGTAGTCGGTGGTTGGGTATCCTGTCGTAGGGTAAGGGGTCGTGGGGTATTCGGTGGTGGGGTACGCGGTGGGGTACGCGGTCGTGGGGTACGGCGTGGTGTACTGCTGCACGTCGTCGGGCTCGTTGGTGGACTGCGTGTCCGGGACGTCGGGCCGGGGGTAGTACCCGGTGGTGGTGACCTGGACTTGTGGCTCTTCCGGGCCCTCAGTCACCTGGCTGAGATCGGGGCCTTGGGTAGCCTGGCTTAGATCGGGACCTTGGGTGACCTGGCTGAGGTCAGGGCCCTGGGTCATCTGGCTGAGATCGGGGCCCTGGGCAATCTGGAATTTGGACAGCGGTATTTATAGAAGATGCATCATGAACTTTAGTGTTGTAATTCATCCTTGAATGGGATTTTTTTTTACGCGGCTGAATAGCCCCGCTGATTGTTCACCTGGCCGTAGTCGGGCCCCTGAGTAGCCTGGTCGTAGTCAGGCCCCTGCACCAGCTGCTGCTGGTCGTCGACACCCTCGAAGGTCTCGTAGTGCACCGGCTGCACTGGGATGACGGGGATGTGCACGACCGGCTGCGGCTCTGGCCGGAAGTCTGTCCAAAAGCAACATCTCCTTCAAGTCCGACTGAATGACATGGAGTTTCGACGCACTTTCAACGCTGGGACTTACCATCAACTGTGTAGTATCCTCCAAAACCAGGGCTGAAATATTGGCCCCATGGCGCCCCTTCACCTGAAAAACGTGGTTCGAAATTAGCAAATTACATTCCTTTTCTAGCTGGGTCAGGGGTAAAGATAAAACCGCCGAAAGAAAAGACTGAAACAGTAAATCGCCGATGCCTCGAGCAGTGGAGCCCGCATGATGCGTGCAAGCTGTCATATGCATAAGGCTCTTTGCAAAACATGAGCAGCTATCGCGGCAGCTATTTTTCACGGCCACCTCGTAAGATTTGTAAGACCAGCCCCATTAGCATGGACCATCGCACCTCGCTCCAAAGCCTCGTTTGACTTCGAGATCAGAGTGGGGTCCCGCCCTGCCCCGCGGCTCGGTGGCGAGGCGACGCCATGGCGACAAGGAGGGCGGCTGCTCGAGCGCCAAGCGCGCCAAGCGCGCCAAGCGCGCCCCACCTACAACCGGACGCGCGCCCCGATGGCCCTGGTGGCCCCGATGGCCCTGGTGGCCCCGATGGCCCTGGTGGCCCCGATGGCCCTGGTGGCCCCGATGGCCCTGGTGGCCCCGATGGCCCTGGTGGCCCTGCCCAAACACACACGTACCTTTCCGCACGAAGGCGACGCCGTGGGCCTCGGCGCGCACCACCAGCGCCACCGCGCACAACAAGGCTGCAGCCGCTGCAGCCGCTCCAGCCGCCATGACTATCCGCTCCAGAAGTGGCGAGCATCCTCCAGCCGTCGTATATATAGAGCAAAGGCTGCGCGCCGCGCGCTGGGCCGTGATTCACGCAGTTGCATCGACTGTGTTGTGACGCGCCGTGCCGCGCCGTGGCGACATCGACGTCGCGGCCAGGCATTCGGAAAAACGGCACGTGTGTCCGTCCACCCCATCGCGTCCTCGACCGTAGGGCTGGAGGCTGGGAAAGCAGAGGTGTCCTGCAGGACTCTGCGCGCTGTCACCACGTCCCACGGGCCCTGGCTCCAAGCAAGAGCGCGCGCCGGATCAGCTGTGGCCGGGGAAGTCCCGCGGGGTGCGGAGCGGAGTGCCGTTAGAGTGCAGTGGCAGAGCTCGGCACGCCTCTGCTTACTTCCCTAACGTGACGGCGAACATTTAGCGGGAAAGGTCCTGCGGAGTTGATGCCCTCTGAGGAACGTGCGTGTCGCGAAGCCAGGCTGCCCGTGGCGTCAAAGCGAACCGATTCATCGGCGTGGTTGGCATTGTCCCTCCCTCCCCCCTCCCATTTAATTCCCGGTATTCGGAGAGCGTCGCGGCGGCGGCGTTTCAAAACAGATCCGGTGCGTACGTCGGAACGTTTGCGCCGCGACGAGGTGAGTCAATAGAGTCAGCCTGCTCCAGAGTGCTCACTGCACGGACTGCACCTGGGTAGCAGGGAAGTGCCAACGTCGGCTGTATGTATCTGCTTGCCCTCGCAAAACATTACACACCGCCTGATTTTAATAGTTAATTGTGAGACTTGCGGTGGGAGAACTTCCCTACTATAATCTATTATTACTTCATGGAAGAGGGATGGTGAAGGAAAATGAAAATTGTTGGTACAAACAAGTAAAGGTGTAATAAAGCTAAGAATTAAAATAACTCTTGCATCTTTATTAAAAGTGAACAAACACCATTGTGAAATGAAGTTTAAACACAGCAGCCCGGTACATCATCTGAATATTTGGTAATCACAAAAAAGTATTCAATTCCAAATTTCTATTTCCACAGAAAACGTTAAGAAGCAATCAGAAAATTAAAAGTTAAAATAAAATACCAGGAACAATTTAGCAACAATAAATTAAAAGACAAACATGGAAAAAGTGGAAAAGCTATTGGATATGAAAGATAGGAATGTCTGCAAGTAGCCTGGCACCTAAGCATGACTAGGAAAGATTATACAGATGCAAAAGTAGACAAATGAGATAAACAATTAGAAAAGTGTGCCAGGGCCTACCATAATTTCTTGGACATATTTTTGAAACTGGAGCACATCTTCTGTAATAAAACATTTTCAACCCTCATTATCATTTCATAAATTAATTTTTACCAAAACTCATAGAAGACACATTCACACAGCACTCCAAAATAAATGGGATTTCCAACAATGTTTTTCACTTGACGGTATAATAATACAAGATATTGATGTTAATATTTTTAAAGACAATGCAACAGAATTTAAACATATCTATGAATGGTTTTGTGGTCATAAAACTTATGAAGTTGGTTTAAATTATCCCACCATGTCGGTAATTGATTTTTGGCAATGAGATCAAACCAAGGAGTAACAGGGTCATTCAAGCTGTTAAGAAAGCTGTTTAATTCCTTACGTTTCACATATTTGACTTCACTAACTTCATCTGGGTTAGGATCAACATCAACGTCTTTCTGCAAAAACAGAATGTAATCTATCTCATGTTCTCCAAACTTCCCATCACCACGATCCATATAATGAATACGGGTGAGCCAAACCATGTCCTCTGGTTTGGCTTGTTCAGGTGGAACTCCAAGTTCAATCTGCAAACGCCGTTGAGCTGCATTACGAATTCCAAGAGCATCTTTTTCTATCATCTCCTCAGGGATTGTGGAAAGTGGATGACTGCAGCACGTATTGGTGTAATGGTCAGGGTAAGTAACCTAGAACACACGCAAAGGCAAAATTCAAGGTGTTAAATAGATTATAAATGAATAATCTTAGAATACAACATAGGAAATACACATGCTACCGTTGGCTATACCTTTGTTGATGCTCTCTTTTGCAACAGAAGATCACCCTTTGAATTGAATAAGAAGACACTAAAGGCACGATGCAAAAGAAGGTTTCCATCAGGAGAGACAGTATGGCAAGCAGCCTTGCCTTCTTCCCCGATAACTTTATCATCCTTATCGACAAGGATGCACTGGTCTTCGAACCAATATGCGACAGGAATTTGGTTCATCCTGCTGGCTGAAGTGGACAGCAAGCGAGAAAACGCTTGATGTACACAGCGTTGGGCTCTTCCTAGAGTCTGCATTATGTACCTGAAAACAAACGTGTGACTGGTAAAATAATATTCATTCATAACAAGCAAACTATGAGAAAAAAAATGAAAGAAACAGAACTCTGAGCGGGCTATACAATGAAATAAGCACCCCGGTTTGTTCAAACTAGACAGTCTTTACCTGGATTCCGGGACTTAATTAAACTTTCACCGCCGTACGTGCCCTGCTCATCGAGTTATGACAGAACTACAGGCCGAGTGAAACTGAAAGAAATTTAAGCCGACAGATCGCAGCAGACGACGTGACATGCAGCAGAACGCGTCGTGTCAACAGGTTCACGCTTACTTTTACCACTCAGCAACTCTGTCTCAGTCAGACTGAGGCGTGAAGGCGAAGGTATCATAATTTTCCCTCACAGGAACGGCAAGAGCACGGTACTGCACAGTACACGGGTACACACGCGGCTTCTTGCTTCTTTTCTCTCTCCGCTTTCGCTTTCCGCGTGCCTGTCTGTGTGTGTCTGTGCGCTGTGCGTGTGTGTGTGAGGAGACAGACGACGATCGGGAGGAGGGGGGCGTTAGTGAACAAGCAGAGGGCAGAGAAACAAACGAGAAGACGAAAAGACGAAGACGTCACGAGTGACGAATGTTTGGACACAAGCAGACGACGTAGATGCAACGACATTCTTGCAAGAATGAGGAGCTGACGCCACTGAATCGAACCGGATCGTAACACCAGACCGCTGCCGAAATGTCATGGAGGGAATCGGGTGGAGGGCGCGGTGGGACGGGCCGCCTGCTGGCCGTTTTCCTTGCCCTAACCTGCTGCACCTTGCACTACTATGCTGCAGCCCAGGACTCTGATGCTGACACCCAGGATCTTGATCCCTACTCTGACCGCCTCATCCCGGGTGAAGCGTTCTTAGGGGACGCAAACCTCGCCTTGTTTGACTGGCCCGACGGAGAAGACAAGATCAGGAGTGTACGCAGTGCAACAGATGGACAGTCAGAAAGTGCCAGAAACCTTGGCAAGAATGATGCTCACAGCATCAACGTCCCTTCTGAAGAGGCACCTGGTGACGAAGCGGTAGCCAACAATGCACCCTCCACCAACACGACTGCTAATGCAACGTCTTCTTCCACTACCACTTCTCCAGACCCTATTCTTCCTGACAAAAGCGCTGCCGAGGAGGAGCACAATTCATCCATGTCAATATTCTTTGTGCTGTGTGTGCTAGCTCTTGGTATCCTCCTCATCCATCTAATGCTGCAGACCCACTTCCAGTATCTACCTGAAAGCGTTGTCATTGTGTTCCTAGGAGCACTCATAGGTTTAATTGTCAACCTTATTTCCGACCAGAACATAGCTAACTGGAAGAAAGAGGAGTCCTTTTCTCCTACAGCCTTCTTCCTTGTCCTGCTTCCGCCCATAATTTTTGAGTCTGGTTACAATCTTCACAAGGGTAACTTTTTTCAGGTGAGTGCTTCCATTTTGGATGTGTATCAATTGTGTATTTTTCTTTTAAAATTAACTTGTGAAATTTTGTTTTGCAGAATATAGGATCAATCCTTGTGTTTGCCATAGTTGGAACCACAATTTCTGCCCTTGTAATTGGGGCTGGCATTTATGTCTTGGGTATTGCAGAAGTAGCATACCGTTTGAGCTTTGTGGAAAGTTTTGCATTTGGTTCTCTAATATCAGCAGTCGATCCTGTAGCAACAGTTGCTATCTTCCATGCTCTTGATGTTGATCCAGTTCTTAATATGTTAGTATTTGGAGAAAGTATTTTAAATGATGCTATTTCAATTGTGCTTACAACAAGCATTTTGGAGAGTAACAACCCTGCCATGTCATCCTGGGAAGCTTTCAAAACTGGCATAAACAGGTATTCCACTTTTTCCATAGCTAGCTTTTCTGTTTGAGCTTTCTGTGAAGAGAGAACGTTTGTGTTAACATTTCAATTCACATTTAACAGGTTTTGCATGATGTTTTTTGCCTCTGCGGGCATTGGAGTTGTCTTTGCACTTGCTAGTGCATTGCTACTGAAACATGTAGATCTTCGAAAACACCCCTCCCTAGAATTTGGAATGATGTTGGTGTTCACCTATGCTCCTTATGCTCTGGCTGAGGGAATCCATCTGTCAGGTAAGGACTTGTAAACCCAAAATATTTTTATTCAATTCCACAGAGGTAGGTTTTTAGGCCATGTTTGTGCCTATTAAGAGTAAACGTAATCTTATTTTTAAATATTTCTTGCAGGCATCATGGCAATTCTATTCTGCGGCATTGTTATGTCTCACTACACTCATTTTAATCTTTCCACTGTGACACAAATAACCATGCAACAGACAATGAGGACACTTGCTTTCATTGCTGAAACCTGTGTGTTTGCCTACTTGGGCTTAGCTATATTCAGCTTTAGACATCGAATCGAACCTGCTCTTGTAAGTTGAGTTTTAAAAAAGAAGTAGAAGAAAAAACATTCACTCTTTCAGATGAATTACAAAAACTTGTAACTTTTCACTCTTTTAGGTTGTTTGGAGCCTCATTTTGTGTCTTCTTGGTCGGGCGGCAAATATTTTTCCCCTAGCTATTCTTGTGAACCGCTTCAGAGAACATCAGATAACCCCTCGAATGATGTTTATCATGTGGTTCAGTGGTCAGTATTCAGTGTGGCTGTATACTGTACTGTACTTTTAAAAAAGTACACAGAGAAACTGACTCACCAGGTATTACTAATAAATATTTGCTTCAAGTACCATTTTCTTATTTCAGGCTTAAGAGGTGCAATTTCGTATGCACTCTCTCTTCATCTAGAGTTCAGCGACGAAACCAGACATGTCATTATAACAACTACACTCATCATTGTTCTGTTCACAACACTCGCTCTTGGAGGTTCAACAATGCCTCTGATGAAAGTATGTTCTCAGTCTTTTTTAAGCTAATTTGTCACACTATTTCTGAAGTATTTTATTTTTTCCTTTTCTAAACAACTTATTTGTGTGTCTAGTTCCTCCAAGCTGGTCCTAAAGAACGCTCAAGACGTAGGAGAAGAGACAAGGGCCTGTCATTGAGTAAAACTAGGGAATGGGTAAGATTGAAGAAACAGATTGACTGTTAATTAAATTTAAACGAAAATATTTGATTTACTGTATGCTCTATGTTCTTTGTAGGGACAAGCTATCGACTCGGAGCATCTGTCTGAGCTAACTGAAGAGGAAATGGAAGTTGGTTTCATGCAGTCCCGTATCAAAGGCTTTTCTCGCCTTGACATTAAAATTTTTATACCGTTCTTTACTCGACGCTTCACTCAACAAGTAAGAGTCTTTGTTTGGTTTTATTTTGTTTCGTTTTGCTTTATTATGCCTTGTTTGTGTGGATACTTTGATTTATTAATGGAACCTCTGTTTGCCAGGAACTTAAAGACTGTAAGAGTCAAATGAATGATTTAACCAATCAATGGTACCAAACAATTCGTCTATCACCCACTGAAACAGATGATGAGGCACCTCTTTCAGCAACACCCCCATCACAAAATGCTTAAGAATGCCCAATGAGGACAGTATTTAGAAAAACTGTAAAGAAAAAAGTGCAACTCATTTGCATTTTCAGTAAAATAATGGCATTATATCGTATCTATCATCCTGAATTTTCTTCTAACAATTCAGTGTCAGTGTTTAGAGGAAGCTACACAGTGGGACCATAACAGCGCAGACACTACTAAAATTGACCTTATCATATTTACTAGCTGAACATATTGGCTGTGGTTAAACACTTATGTAAAGTGTTTTAGTTTGAATTGTATTTTGCGGAATGGTATTGAACCTAGTCAGTCATATTACAAAGAAAAGTTATGGAAGCATGTAGGTTTTAAAGTTAAATGATATAGTGATCACTATTTTTCTTTTTGTTATGTTTTATGAAAATTTTATTTTTTTCCAAGTGTTAAGATTTGTTTGTCAGTTTTTAGTATAAAATTCTTCTATTGCTGGGGGAATTTTTCGAAGATGGTGCTATGATCTTTATTGGTACTAACTGATCGATAGTTGACGTACGTGCAAAGTATTAACTGTGTTGTGATTTTGTTGTGTTAATGATGATGAAGGTTTTAAAGTGTGATTGAACTTTTGTGATTAATATTTATGTGATTCCTGAACAAATTTTTATACGGGGTCTAACAGCTCAAGAGCTAACATATGTCTTTAGTTCTATAGAGCTACCATAAGAGTATGTCTTTAGTTCTTTACAAAATGTTACCCTGCAATGAGAATATAAAAGCTAAAATTTTAAATTGTAATAGGTTTTTGGATGGAGCCATAGTTTGCTGGTAATTTTCTGTAGCATGCAGAATCTTTGTTAAATGGTTGACAAAAATGCCGATCATATGATGTGGTTGAGCATGCTCCATATGAAAGTAACAGCTATCTTTCAGTATTTACGCTTTAAAAGACCTTTCATATTGTGAAGTGGAACAAGTATTATATTGTGTGGTACATATGAATTTGTTTAATGTAACTTATGTTCCTAAACTAGCTTTGTTTAAGGCAATTTACATGTCACAGATAAAATAAAGCATGTTTTTATTGGAATGGTGAATATTTTTCAAACCTGGCTCAAAATTATCATAGTTGAGTCAAAAAAGAATGACGCAACTCAAAAGATACAAATTCAAGATCACTATTAATCAGCATCAAAAAGGAAATAAAATATGGCCAAATGTTGGCAACAAGAGTTGAAAGACACATACAGAAAACTCACAGCCATGATTGATATAATAAACTACTACAGACTAAGTGGGTTGATACCTTACTACCTACCCTCGAGATCGTGAGGCAAGGACCGTTGACCTACGACCTACCCACACAACAATATACTTTACTAAAAACAAAGACTCTTTCGGCCGGAGGGACGGGCAGGGCCCCACAGGGGCTTCGCGCTCAGAGGCTGAGCAGCAGCGCCGTGCCGGCCAGCGTCCACTTGGTGGGCTTGTCGCGCGTCTTGAGGTTGAACGTCCAGACGAAGGTCGGCCCTCGCTGGCGCGTCTTGTACACGGGGCACTGGTACACGTTGCGCGTCTCCTGCTTGTCCTGCGTGATGGCGCGCACGTAGATGACGGGCATCAGGGGGAACAGCTCCTTGTGCCTCGAGTCCACGATGCAGCCAGTGCCCACGTCCCAGCGCGCGCCCTCCATGTACAGGCCGTGCACGTTGGCGCCCTCGCGCGGCGCTTGGCTGGAACCACGTGGTGATTGGTACTTCCCCCGGACCGGAACCGGAACGGCCACCGACCAGAATATGTACACTGTATGGTATGGCGCTCACCTGAAGTCGTCGCGGCCCTTCTTGGTGACGTCGCACTGGAGGCACATCTTGTCCAGCGGCCACTCGTTCTTCCTGGCCATGCTCTGCATGATGGCCGTGAGGAAGGACTGCGGGTTGAAGAAGCCCGCCAGCCACACCGACCCGGGCATCTGCACACGACCGTCGAGTGAAGCTTAAGAAAACGCCGCAGAAGTCGGGGGAAAGGGAGGTCGTCCGTTACGTACGATAAAGTCCTGCGTCCAATTTTCGAGCTCCTTGAGCCGGAGCTGCAGGTCGGCGAACCACGACGACAGCGTCAGCATGGAGGGGTACGCCTTCGCCGACCAGTTCTCGGGCACCTTGTCGATGAACAGGCACTGCTCCAGGTTCTCCATGGCGGGCGTGATGGTCAGCTCGCCCTATAAGGAAATGAGAGCGTCAGGATGCGCCGCTCGTGCAGCTGTCGGGGCCGTGGTGCCGAGGGTGGCGTGGATGCGCCACCGCCAAGCCATGGCCAAGCCCACCTTGAGGCCGAGGTCGAGGTCCACCAGAGTCTGCCGCAGCTCGGCCATGAGTTGGTTCATCCGCTCGCACTCCTGGAAGGCCACGATGACGTAGGGCGTGCGGTCCTCCACCTTGCCCATCATCTCGGCCATGTTGAAGGGCTCCGGGAGGCGCTCCAGGATGTCGCACAGCATCTGCTTCACCTGTGCGGCAAAAAGGGCTGCTCACGAATCCAGGGCCTTCGCCTGCGCGGTGCAAAGGTGGGGGGTGGGGCACTCACCTTCTCGTCCCTGGACACCGTGGCGCCAGAGCCGGCCATGGCGTCGCGCGGCTGCATCTCGAAGACGGTCTTGAACAGCTTCTCCGAGGTGGCGGTCAGGGAGGAGATCTCCGCGTTGGGGTGCAGCCCATACAGCATGGGGCTCTCGGGGGGCAGGAAGTCATCGATGTACTGGTGGTACGACGAGTAGTCCGAGTTGGGTGGCGAGGTGAAGCCGGGGGCCAGCATCAGGTCGCCGTCCACCAGCTCGGCCTGGAGGTACTCCTCCAGGTAGGTGGCGCACAGGCGGCGGTCCCAGTCGTCCGTGATGTGGCCGCCGTACATGATCTCGCCAAACAGGTAGCGCAGGTCCTCCCAGGGCACCCGCGTGTTGGCCTCCAGGTAGTTGTACAGCACGTTGACGCTGATGGTGAGGTCCCCTGCGAGTCACGGGTCAGTAGAGTCTGCAAAGTGCAAGCGAAGGCGCAGGCAGGGCGAGGCAGGGCGAGGCAGTGGCTTACCGAAGTTGAAGGGGTACACGCGGTTCCAGCCCTGGGCCGCGAACTTCCGCCGCTCCGCGACCACGGCGTGGAAGTAGCACAACGCGAACAGGATGGACTTGAACTCGGCCTCCTTGGTGGACATCTCCAGCGTCTCCTGTGAGAAGTTGTCGAGCGCCTTGTGCAGGTTTGCGTGCATGCCGGTGGGCGGCTCGTTGGTGATCTTGATGGAGGACTCCAGCACGCCTTGCGGCAGGATGTGGAACTCCGGCGCGGGCGCAGGCTCGGCACTCATGAACAGGCGGTAGGTGTCGTGGGGCTTCTCGGCGCACTTGTCCATGCGCTTCTCCAGGCTGGGCAGCCAGTTGGCCACCAGGTGGATGTTCTGCGGTTCGACGCCAACGTGTAGGCAGGCATGGCGGGGGCGGGGGCGGGGGAACGGTATGGGCAAAGAAAGGGGACACCACCCACCTGCAGGATGACCCAGTGGCCCTTCTTGGCCGCGCGCTTCATGGCCTTCTCCGCGACGGGCTCCTGGCCCTGGCCCAGCGACACGTTGTGGAAGTTGCGCTTGTCCGACGTGAAGCCCATCTTGCGGCCCAGCTTCTCCACGTCCTGCGACAAAGGGGCATGGTTAGTGCAGGGACCTCGCGAGCGCTCCGACGCCATGACCTCTGGTTACCTTGAGGGGGTCCACGCCGGGCGACAGGATGAAGAAGGTGGGCGTCGTGGGGCTGCTCTCCTCGAACGACTTCTCGAACGGAATGGAGCGAGACTCGGTGAACTTGGCGCCCAGCTTCTCCTCGATGAAGGCCCTGTTTTTGGCGTTCGGGATGAGAATTTAAATTGCACTAGCAGGAGCAGCAGCCCTGGCGGCCTGGCGGTACCCACTGCGTGGCGTAGATCATGCGGTCCGGCCGGAGCGCGCGCATCATGCACAGGCGCTGCAGCGCGGACTTGCCCTTCCAGTCGCCAGGGAACTTCTCCTTCTCGGGGGCCTCCGACTCGACGAAGGTCCGCCACCGCTTGGCCGCGCCCTCGATGTCCTTGTCGAGGTTCCTGCGCAACGCCGGCACGGCCACAGTGTAGTGTCATGGTAGTGCAATGCGGGACACGGGGGGACGAGGGTAGACGCGCGCGCCTTACTTGAACTCGGCCATGTTGGACAGCGCGACGATGCCGCCCCAGCACGTGTCGGAGAGGAAGTCGACGGGGCTCTGCAGGTTGGTGACGAACGGGTAGCGGAGCAGGAAGTCCAGCTCCACGGGCTCCACCTCCTGGGCCTTGAGCAGCACCTGTCAGCATGGCGTGGAGTGTCAGGGCGCGTCGGGATGCGAGTGCGACATTAGGAAACCAATCACACGTCGTCAGACCCGCAACAAGGCGCGAGCAACTTAAGGTCTGGCTGGCAAGTACCGAGAAATAACGATTACGTACGTTTTCAGCAGCATCCATCTGAGGCAACGAGTAAGCAATGGGAGGAAGCCACACTCGTTACTTTTTATCAGCTACAGTAAATAACGAACGCACAGAAATGTCGTTTTTCACGTGACACTTGGAACGAACCTGCACGGCCATCTGCATCATGAAGATGAGCTTGTCCGCTTCGAAGAGCCCCCTGCTCGTGTAGATGTACGTCTGGTACGTGATGGAGTCGATGAGGTTGTTGACGCGCGCCTGCAGCGTGTCCGCAGGGGTGGCGAGCTGGATGCCGCGGTGGAACACCACGGTGTAGGCCTGCGCAAGGAACTCGTCACCGTCCAGAAGCATTGACTCCGAATCAAAGTGAATCGGATTCGCCCCCGCGCCGTCGTACCTTGAGCGAGAACTGGTACACGGGGTTGATCTTGTGCAGGTCGTTGAGGATGAAGTAGAGCAGCGCCGCTCGCGACGCGGCCGGGCGGTAGTGCTCGCGGGCCTCGTCGATGCGCTGCCCCGTCACCTTGGACTCCTCCACCTTGACGACGATGTCCTCGGCGGTGCGCTTGGTGCGCTCCAGGTTGAGCACGAGGGCCTTGTCGGACAGCACGTTGTCGCCCGCCGAGCTGAGCCGCTGCAGCAGCTCGTCCTCCAGGTTCTTGATCTCGATCTTGTACGAGTTCTGCTTGGTCGTCAGCTCCATCTGGAAGGGGACGCAATCGGGCCGAAATGGCGAAATGACGCGTCGAGGGGCACTGCAGCCACACTCTGTTGAACCTCACCCTGAGACTCTCCAGGTCCGGCCGCTCGGCCTTCACCACCTCGGCCAACAGCTGCTCCTCCAGGCCGTCGCGCGTCACGGTGAAGTTGATGAGGGTGGTCTGCGCTTGCATCTCCGGCTTGTAGTGCGGGTTGGCCAGCTTGGTCTGCAGGATGAGCCGGAACTTGGGGTTGTAGTCGATCTCCTTGTCGCCCATCTTGATGGCTCTGCCGAAAAAAAAATCTCTCGAAACACACATAAACGGGAAGTACTGCTGGTATTCGAACCCACGACCCACCTGCCCTTGTTGATGAGCGCGCGGCTGAGCAGCGGCTCGAGCACGGCGTCCATGGTCTCGCCGATGAACTCGATGAGCACGGTCTTGCCGCGGCTGATGGAGCGCTCGATGACGTCCAGGTACGACTTCTGGCCCAGACGCACCACCTTGAGGTGCTTGCCGTACCGGTTCTTGATCCACTTGATGCCCTGCAGCTGCGGGTCGATCATGAGCGGCCAGCGCGCCGAGTTCATGATGACGGTCGCGTTCTCGATGGACATGGAGTCGTTGGGGAGGCCCTCGTTGTTCCAGGCCGCCACCTGCGCGTCGTCCGTCAGCATGGACAGCGGGTCCAGGTCCTCCGTCAGCGGGATGGCCGGCTGCGAGGCAGAGAGGCGGTGAAAACAATGCAGTGGCCTGTCCGGCCTGTTCGGCCTGGAGTGGCAGGGCAGCGGTACGCACGTTCAAGGTCTTGAGGAAGGGCAGCCACTTTTTGTGCTGCAGGTCCACTCGGTAGGAGCGCGTGAAGCCGCCCACGTAGGAGATGAAGGCGGTCACCAGCAGCATGTCCCCGGGCAGCGTGGTGCCTTTCTTCTGGAAGCTGCGGAACACGGCCATGTCCGAGAGGGTTTTTTACCGCTCCAGTTATCACAATACGAGCTGATACACTAATAAATGTTATTGCACCAAGATAAGAACAGCCAGCATTGTCGGCTTTAGACACTCACTTGGCGATGGACTCCTGCCAGCGCACGCTCTCGGAGCCCAGCCCCGTGACCAGCCGGTTGGCCAGGTCGATGGTCTCGGCCGTCGAGTCGGCCTCCTCCTGGCACTTGAGCTTCTCCGCCACCGCCACCTCGAACTTGTCCGTGAGCACGGCCAGCTCGCCCTCCAGCACGTCCAGCTTGCTCTTGAGCTCGGCCAGCCGCTGCCGCGCCGCCACCCACTCGGCGTTCTTCTCGTTGAGCGCGCGCCTCTTGGGCTCCACGTTCACGTACACGTCGTGGAAGGCCATGATGTTGATGCACCACGCGCACAGGCCTGGAGAGGAACGGCGTCAGCAAGGCCTCGCACTTCCGCCTCCATTCAAAGAACTCACCTGCTGCGGCGGTGGACTTGGTTCGGATCAGCTCCGGGACGAACTCCTTGTTGTTGAGGTAGGGCTTGATGGCCTTGACGACGTCAGGGTGGATGTTCTCCTTGTCGTAGTGCAGCAGGTTGTCCAGGAACGTGTCCACCTTGCCCATGAAGGCCTTGGACTCCTTCCAGCCGCGCTCCTTCGGCACCTTGCCCTTGGGGGACATGAGCACCATGGCGGCCGCCAGCACCTGGGTGACTGCCAGCGGTGGGGAGGCGAGCGCCTTCAACTCGGACAAATTGTTCTGCCAGGAACAAAAACAACAAGTTGAAATTAAGGGAGGGGCCTGCGGTCGTCTGGATTCCAGTGCCGCGCGGTCGCAAGAGCACCCACCTTGTTGAGGGTGTTGAGGGCCTCGGACGCGGCGATGAGCGCGGGCTCGGCAGCCTTGAGGTCCTGCTCGCAGATCTTCTTCTGGGCGGACACCTCCTCCTCCTTCTCGATGACCTTGCGCTCCTCCTCCGCGGCGATGGCCTTCTCCTTGGACACCTTCTCGGTCTCCTTGCTGACGACCACGATCAGCTCGTCGGCCGCCGCGTTCTTCTGCCGCACCTCCACCTCCTGCACGGCCAGCACCTCTTTGAGGCCGTCGACCTGCTCGCCGCAGCTGGCCAGCTTCTCCAGGCCGTTCTGGAGGCGCACGATCTTGCACGACAGCTCGTCGGACTTGCTCGTCAGCAGCTTCCCGTACAGCTCGATCTGCTCCAGGAAGGACTTGGGCGTCGTGTAGTTGTAGCGCCGCTCGTTCACCAGGTACGCCTGGGACATCTCGTTGACGGAGGCGTGGACGTACGACATGAACTCGGACACGGACTTGCGCAGGTTCTCGGGCAGGGCCTCCAGCTCGGACAGGAAGCGCAGCGACACCGACTGCAGCGCCTCGTACGGCCACTCGTTGAACCAGTTGATGGCGGTGCAGTTGGTGATGGCGGGGAACTTGCGCGAGCGCGTGCGCAGCGTGGCACCCACGGGGGAGAAGCAGAGCACGGTCTTGAGCATGCAGCGCACGCGGTTGATGAAGAACTTCCAGCAGTTCTCGCGCGTGTCCTGGATGCCAACGCCCTTCACCTGCACGCCGGACACAAAGGCTTGAGAATGGCGGTGGTTCGAATCCGCGTTAGCGAGAGGGTTTTCGTGAGTCTCACCTCGCCCCGCATCTGGTTGATGATGTTCTCGACCTCGTCGTCGGCGAACAGGTCCGGGATCTCACCCGAGGCCAGCATGTCGTTGATGATGACGAGGAAGCGCTCGTCGGGGACCTGCGCGTCCGTCATGAGGAACAGCAGGCCCGCCCCCTTGAGCCCGGCCTTCTGGTACAGCACGGCCAGCTCCGCCTGGGGAAGCGAACGCACGGTAAACAGTGAGGGAAACAGGTAAAAACAAAAAGTGGCACGGCAAGCTTCGACGTGAGGACCTTGAGGTCGGCGATGGCGTAGCCCTTGCGCAGCTGCACTTGGAACACGTCCAGGTTGCAGATGAAGGCCGCCAGCCTGGTGAGGGACTGCTTGCCGCTACCGCCCACGCCCACGAGCAGCGCGTTGCCTCGCGGGCCCATCAGGATGCGCGAAATCCTGGCGCGGAGGCCTTGAGTTAGTGCTGTTATTTTTCGGGGAGCGGGGGCGGCTCCGGGCCGGTGCTCACCTGCAGATGTGGTCCATGGCGTCCTCGAACAGCACCAGGTTCATGGACGCCACCATGTCGTTGTACTGCGCCAGGGCGTCCAGCAGCAGCTTGTTGAGCGCCTCCCACGTGTCCAGCGGCAGGTACTTGGTCTCGCCGATGCCCTCGGCGAAGTGCACGTAGATGATAGGCTTCTCGAGGACGGCGGCCTCGTCCACGCCCTGCAAAGCGCGGTGCGGTGTCAGCACCAAAGCGGGGCGAGGCGCCGCGTACACCACCGCTACACTGTCTACTGCTAGTCGCACGCCAACGTGCCCGTAATAAACAAGAACGTGCAAACCGTACGATGTGGCGCGAGGCGCGCGGGGCTCTACCAAGCACTTACTTCAGCGAAGGGCTCGCTCTGGCAGCATGGAACAGCGGCACAGTAGCGTCATAGGCCAAGGCGCCAAGGCACGGCGTAGAGTACAGCAAAAGCAGACCAGTTTAAACGCACACACAACACACGAGGACACGTATTTACAAGAGGGGAGCACACAGAGGCACAGGTCGGGCCGGGGGAATGTACAAAGCCAGAGACACACTCACGGAGAAAGCCAAGCAACACACGGCCCAGCAGTCCCGATTTCAGGTCAGTGGGGTCAAAGGCAGAAACACTGCACATTAAAAACGCCATAAACTCGGACAGAAAAACTAAAAAGCACGGCTCAGGCTCACCTCGACCTTCTTGACGGCGTCCATGAGCAGCTTCTTGAACTGGTCCCGGTCCGAGTCGTCCACCAGCTTGTCGTGGTACACGCGTGTCGCCTCGTGCACCCACAGCCGCACCAGGGCGGAGTGGTCGGGCAGGCAGTCCGGCGAGCTGAACAAGATGCCCTGCAGACAGGACAACGTCGCTGAGCATGTCGTGGCCAAGGCTCGACACTTGAATAACTTCTATCTTCACCTGGAACACGTTGGCCAGGTCGCGCAGGTTGAACAGGTAGTGGAACTTGACGGCGGTGGGCAGGAACGCGGTGGACATCTTGGAGTGCAGGAAGAGCGCGGACTGCACCAGCGACGGCACGAGGCGCACCACGGCGGGGTTGAACTTGACGACGGACTGGGTGAGGTGGCCTTGCAGGATGTTGGTGTAGATGTGCGTGAGTGCCTCCTCACCGGGGAAGCTGCCGGCCACAGGCGCAGGTGATTTCAATATATTTCGTTCATGAAAGTAATTAAAGTCTTCGTCGACGCAGACCAAACTAATGACCTGACAGCGAAGACGAAGAAGTGGCGCTGCAGGCGTGGGTCGATGGTGAAGCTGCCCGCCGTGGGGTTCATGCAGGAGACGTACTGGCAGTTGTGGATGTCCTTGAGCGTGAGCTTGCCGCGGTCGTACCAGTGGTTGTAGTCCAGGTGCTGCCGGATCAGCGTATGCGGCTGCACTGTGAAGTACTTGTCCACCTTGAGAGAGGAGGTTGAGGGTGGTTAGACTCGAACTGGCAATCACACACTGGGCCTCGCTAGGCAACGTCTCGACCTACCTCGGGCATGTTCATGTCGTCGATAAAGTAGATCATGCTCTTGCTGCCCGGCGGCCCGTAGTTCCTGCCTGCCTTTTTCTCCAGCGGCTTCTCCAGGACCTTCTGCAGCATCTCTGTTGGAGGGATGACACTCAATCAAAGCATCGCTTCCGAGAGATTGCCGCCCACTCGGACGACTGTACCGAGCCAACCACGCACCGGAGGTCGTGTAGAAGTTGAAGGGCACGTTGGTGACCATGTACGAGTCGGGCAGCTTGCCGAGGCAGGCGTTCACGATGACGGTCTTGCCCGAGCCGGAGCCGCCCACCAGCATGACGGGGATGCGGCGCGGCAGCAGCAGGTCCATGAACACGCGCAGCCGGGTGGTCTCCGACGTGCTCACCAGCGTCGCCTGCGCCAACGCGGCTCCAGTGAGGTAAGCTTATCCGAATCCCAGTAAAGACGAGTCTAAAATTTGAGGGCAACTATGACGCCAAAGTGGCGAGGCCAACCTGAAGGGGCGTGTCGGGGTCGAACTCGTACGGAATGATCATCTCGCTCCAAGGCAGGAACTTCTTGGTGTCCGGGTCGATGAAGTAGTTGAAGACGGTGCCGCCGGCGGGGAACTTGACCACCTTGAACTCGTTGATCCACCACTTGTGGAACTCGTTCCGCCAGTCCACCAACTGCAGAGCAAAGGGGTGCTCAGACAGGCCAACAAGGCGGAAACGGGTGATGATGGGCGAAAGCAGCGAAAGCCACAGCAACTCGCCTGGTCCTGGAAGAGCACGGAGCCGAAGGCCCAGACGCAGCTGAACACGAAGTAGATCTCGTACCACTCCTTGGGGCACTCGGGCGGCAGGTTCTTGTCCGTGAGGAAGCAGTCCAGCAGGTCGCACAGCATCTTGACGTGCGCGATCTCGGGCACGGGCGTGATCTTCTTGAACTTGGTGCGCAGCGCCTCGAGGGTCGGCGGCACGTACTTGTCGAACAGGATGAGCAGGTTGGCCTTCTCGGCCGGCTGGTCGCGCTTGTCTATCCAGGACGTCACGTACCTGCGGCAGAGAGAGAGAGAGAGAAGCGGTGAGGCCGCCATGCTGAGCCCACTCTACACGTCGAATCGCACTCACGGGTTCCAGCCCAGGTCCGTGGGGTTGATGTACAGGATGCCGGCGCGGGACACGGTGGCCGGCGTGGCGGTGCGCAGGTTCGAGATCTCGAACAGCAGCCGCATGGACTTGGTCATGGCGATGCGCTCGTTGGAGGCCAAGGTGAGCACCTTGTTGTCGTCCATGACCGTGTTGAGCGACTCGATCCACATGGGGTCGATGTCGCCGTCCAGCATCATCCAGCGGGGGCCGTCCCCAGACATGTTGGCGATGTCGCGCATCAGCACGGAGAAGAGGCCTGCAACAGCACGACGGGTGAGCACGGATGCCCCCGCCACTGTAGTGCCACCAGCTCTACGCACCGTCTTTCCACTCGCGCGTGGACGGGTTGATGACGCCGAACAGCTCGTCGTTAGTGACGGCTTTGGGGTTCAGGTCCGACACGAAGGGCTTCATCTTCATATTCTGGTACGTCTTGAACAGCGTCTTCCACACCATGGACTTGCCCGTGCCGGCGAAGCCGATGATGAACACGGAGTGGCGGACCTCCAGCAGCTCCACGAGCTGCACCACCTTCAGGATGAAGTTGTCCTCGGGCTGTAACTGCAGGTCCGTGGCGGCCAGGCGGACGGCCTTCTCGAAGTCTAGGTCGCGTTTCCGGGGAACGTCCAGCGCGGGGAACAGGTCGCCGATGAGGCCCAGGAAGACGGGCAGGTCGTCCGTCACGATCTTGGGCACGTTGAAGTCGCGCAGCGCGCGCATCAGCACTTGGTCCTCAGGCCTCTGGCGGTCGCCGCGCTGCAAGACCGATGGAAAACTTTGATCGCTAAACCAGTCACGATTGTCAACTTTTCTTTGAGGAAGTAAAGTCTCGGACCTTGAGGGAGCCGGCCACGACGAGCACGGACTTGATGGCACGCAGGCCCCAGTCGTAGTGGTCCTGCTTGGACAGCAGCTCGCGGCACAGCGTGTACAGGGTGATGAACTTGCGGGCCAGCAGGCGGGCCTCCTGGAAGCCCTCCGCCACCAGCATGATCTCGCAGATGAGCTCGAAGTCGGGCACCACCATGGCGCACGGCCTGCACACGGCGGCAACGCGGCCACGTCACGACTGAACCTCGAAGCCAGTCCAGGGTCCCGGTTCAGGGGGCTCACACTCACCTGAAGAGCACCTTGAGGTTCTCGGGGAGCTCCGTGCGGCCCGCGTACCCGGGGTTCATCGTGATGAACATGCCCACGGTGGGAGTGAGCGTGATGGACTCGCCCAGGAAGCTGAAGCGGGTTTTCTTGAAGCGGATGGCGTCGAGGACCGTCTTGACCTGCACCGCCACGACGGACAGCACCTCCACGGAGATGCGGTTGAACTCGTCGAAGCATCCCCACGCCCCCGTCTGGGCCAGGCCCTTGTAGATGTTGCCGCACGACTGCAAGATTGGCGCATCACGGAAACCGTACAGTTCTAACACGTCAAACCACTCTGGAAGTTTTGCGTTTTAGCCACCTTGTAGTCCATCTGTTCGGAGCAGTTGAACACGTAGACCATGACTCCCATGGCGCGACCCAAGTCCTTCGTGGTCTCCGTCTTGCCCGTCCCCGCGGGCCCAGCCGGCGCGCCGCCCATGATCAAGTGCAGGGACTAGAAGGGAAACAATTGCCACACAATCTAGGGCACAAAAAGTGAAGACAATCAATGAAACAACAGTACCTGCGTGAGGGTGATGTAGCAGCGGTCGGTGAGGGGCGTGATGACGAGGCGCGGGGTGCAGCCCAGGTACTCGTAGTCGTATCGGAACTGCGCGTCGCAGATGTTGCAGAAGCAGTCGTCGATCTTGTCGTCCCACCTGGGCAAGTGCAAAACTAAGGCTAGGTGGTGTATAGGCAAACATTGTGTTCATTTCATTTTTTAAAAAATCTAGTCTAGAGCAGCAACTAAACTAAGCGCCTTAAAAATACTGTCGGACTGATGCTTTTTCTTACCTCGTAACAGGAACGCTCGGTGCAGAAAAACGATCAGAAATGAAGAAAACTGTTTCCCTTACCTCGCACAAGCCACTATCCTAAAGCTAGTCGCGCCAGTTTGGCTAGCAGAAGCTGACATACTGCGTCACGCCAAGCTGCTGAAATGCAATGTGCTTCAAGCAACACGACACGAGCTGGGGTTAGCGGCATGAAGAAAGAACAAAAAAAAAAAAAGCGCATCTAGAACGAATCGTTTCATTTTATTTCGGTTATAAAAGTACAGACGAGTAAGTGGTGTGTAGAGCCACCTGCAAGCGAGCTAGTCTCACAAAAGTAGTATAGCTGACAGAGTAAATAGAAACGCAAATGAATGTCCCAAGTCAACGGAACATCCCCCTGCGGGACCAATCGCAATCCCAATCCTCGCGAGAGGCTGCCACCGCTGGTCACACGTTGCCCTGCCGAGAACGCGGCGATCGCGGCGTGCGCCTGCAGCGCACGGTGAAGGGCCCCTTCTTGTGCTGGCCGCGCGGGGGCCGCGGGGCCGCCAGGCTGCTGGGCTCCGCGACGAGCGACACCACTAGGAGCCAGGCCGCGGGCGGGCTGCGGGGCACGACGCTGGCCAAGAAGGCCCCCGCGCCGCTCCACGGCCCCAGCGCGGCCCCCGCCTGGCCCAGGCAGCGGCGCAGTGCGGCCAGAGCAGCGGCCAGCAGGGCGGCGCGCTGCTTGGCCAGCCTGCGGAACAGGACTGGGCCCAGCAGCGCGCGCCGCAGCACCACCCGCACCGCGCCGCTGGGGAAGGGCACCTCCCCGTCGAACGCATCCCCCGGGGGACTCGCGGGGTCCACCCAGAGCGCCCCCGCGCGGGGCCCGCGGGCCAGCCGCAAGAAGTGGCGCACGTCCCCCACGCGGCGACACACCACGGCCCACGCGCGCAGCTCCGACCGCGCCCTCCACCGCCGGCTCCACCCCCCTCCACCGGCCGGGCCACGCAAAGCAAGGCGAAGCGAGCGGCGGCGCCGGTACCTGTGCCTCAGCTGCGACTGCCACTGGAAGGCCGTGCTCGACTCCACCTTCTGGGTGATGAGCTTGGCCACCACGTCGCGCGAGTGCACGTCGATGGTGCAGATGGTCATGATCTTCTGCCGGTCCTCGCCCGACAGGTCACCCAGCAGCAGGCCGATCAGCGTGTTGAGTTGTTGAACCTGCGGCGCACGGCAGGTCGTTAGAACGGCGACGCTAGTCCCAAGGTCACCATGCAACCAGTAGGGATGGGCGATGTCGAAATTTCAGTATCGCGATTGCGATTTCTCATACATTGCGATTGCATGCAATAAATCGCAAAATCGAAAAAAAACAACGCAAAATTACCAAAAATTGCATTGCACCTGCGATTAATCGCAAAATCACCCGTCCCTAGCAGCGAGGGCCGCGGCCCCGAGCACCCTCACCTGCTTGCGGTTGTAGTCCTTGAGGGCGTTCTCGTAGCCCTCCTCCAGCCTGCTGAAGGCGATGTTCACCTCGGTCGTCCACCAGATCTGCGTGCCCACCAGCGCGGTCTGCGCCGGGTAGTCGAAGATCCACTGCTCGCGAGGTTTCTCGTCGTACGAGGTGACGGCCTCGCGGAAGAAGTGGCGGCCCGTCACACGCATCGTGTCCGTCACGCGGTTCAGCCACACCTCGACCTGCAAAGGGGCCGTCTACGTCAACAACATCCGCCCCGGTCACCCCGGTGTGACTCTGAGGCAGGGTGACGTTAAAGGAACCCCAAAGCTTTTGGTTCCAGCGAGGACGGTGGAGCTCTAAAGGTTTCCGCGCACCTTGCCGTCGCAGTCGCACTTCTGGCTGAACTGAACGTACTCGCCGTCCTTGGCCCACATGCCGACCGCCAGCTTGGAGCCGCTGTCCGCCTTCTCCACCTTCACGTCCGTCTTGGAGCTCGCATCGCTGCCCGAACCGGCGCTGTCCCTTTTGGCCTTGGCGGCCTTCTTGGGCGCGCTGGCCTTGTTGTCCGAGCTGCCCTCCATCTTGAGCTTGGCCATGGAGTCGTACAGCTTCGTAAGGTGCCTGCGCAAGAGAGACCATCAGTTCCGCCTCTTAAGGAGAGCGCCTGCCATCAGCCGGTTAGGCTAGCCCGCCACACACAAGTGCTTGGCGGGACTGCCTACCCCACACTTCGCAGGCGTCAGGCAAGGGAGCCCCTGTCACCGCCTGGTTAGGCTAGCCCGCCACACACAAGTGCTTGGCGGGACTGCCTACCCCACACTTCGCAGGCGTCAGGCAAGGGAGCCCCTGTCACCGCCAGGTTAGGCTAGCCCGCCACACACAAGTGCTTGGCGGGACTTCGCAGGCGTCTGGCAAGGGAGCCCCTGTCACCGCCTGGTTAGGCTAGCCCGCCACACACAAGTGCTTGGCGGGACTGCCTACCCCACACTTCGCAGGCGTCAGCGGGCCGCACCTTGCCACCATGGCGGGCTGGTTGCCGTTGGACAGGATGTCGAGCAGGTCCGCCGAGGACACGAAGTAGAACCGCGGGTAGGCCAGTCGCTTCGTCTCCAGGTACTCCGCCAGCGCCTTCTCGCACTTGGTGAGGTGCGCCTGCAGCTCCTCCAGCTTCTCGTACAGCCCCTTCTTGTTGGTGAACCGGACGATGTTCGGCTCGACGGTCAGCTCTTCAAGGAGTTTCTGGTGTAGGAGGCAACCAATGAGCCATGTAGGTAAAAAAAGGGAAAGCGGACAGAAAAACAGGCCGGACAAAATTTTGGGCCGATTGACGGGCATGTGAAATTTGGACAGTAAAAAAAAGGTCGGACAAACGATGAGCCCCACGAGCACTGCCTGTCGCGGCTTGGTGCACAGACCTTGAACTCGACGTCCACCATGTCGAAGCGGGTGCAATCTTCCGGCAGCTGGCTGCGGATGTCCTCGGAGCCCACGAAGATGGACTCCAAGTGGCACCAAGTGCGCTGCACCTCCATCCAGATGCTGATGACGGCGTCCGCGTTGCCCAGCCTGGACTGCCACTCGGACACCTGTGGCATGCGACAGTTCTCAGTTCCGCTTTTGACATAGGAACAAAAGGAACAAAAAAGCCTCTTTTTTTTAAGTTGTGACCTCTGTGAGGAAGAAGGCGATGAACTTGGAGCTCATCATGTTCTGCAGCTGCACTTGGTTCTCCTCCAGCGTCTCGATGAGCTCCTCCGAGGTGCGAATGAGCTGCACCCCGGTGCGAGGGTGCTCCTCGCGCTCGAACTCCTGCTCCCGCCAGGTGGCGTCCAGTTCGCGCAGCACCTTCTCCATGGACATCTCCTTGACGGACTTGTCCACGATGGTCTTCACTTCGTCCTCGAATAAGTGCAGGTTGAGCTGCAGCAGGTCCTCGAGCACTGTGTTCTCGTCGATGACGATCTTGACCTTGGTGGCGGCCATGAGCTGCCGCCAGTGGCGCTCCCTGATGGCGGGATTCTGAAGCTCGCTCACGGCGCGCAGCGACGTCACCATGTTCTTGAGCAGGGCCTCCAGGGAGATGAACGTGTCCCAGCCCCGCATCTCCTTGTCCAAGGCTGCGCGATCGCAGGTGGTTGAGTTGTAAGCAATGTCATCCGCGAATCGAAACATCGAACGCAACGAAAAAGGTGGACTTACTTCGAAGCTCCTTGCCGAACTTCTTGCACTCCATGTCCATGTTGTCGACCTCGATCTCCCTCCAGGGCGTCGTCTTCCACTCGTCCAGACTGCTTTGCACCACGTTCACGTAGTCCCAGAGTTGCTGCGTTTCAGAAAACAGCACGTGAAATAATCGGAACAGAATCGAAGCTGTGGGGGGCCTAAACCTGCTTACCTTGATCATCTTTATTTCCTTCCTGCACATCTTCACGCCCCTGAAGTCCGGCACGTTCACTTCGAACAACGCGGCCTGCTCGGAAATCTTGCCGATGTACTCTTCCAGCTCACATATCTCCTTCTGAGCCTGGTCGATTTCGTCGTAGCAGTTCTTGCAGTCAAATCTGGGGTGGGAAAAAATTAGTTTTAAAACCGAACTAATATCCTATCCGACAGAATGGGATGGTCTGCACCTGAAGAAGGGCATCTTCTTGAAGGCCTCGCGGTAGGCCAGCTGGCGCGCGTCCAGCACGGTGATCCTGCGCCGGATCTGGTTCATCTCGTGCGTGATGAAGGGCGACACGGCCGTGCGCACCGCGATGGCGATCTTCTTGACGTTGTTCCACGCGTCCGGCAGCTCCTGCAGCTGCACGTAGATCTCCTCGGGGAACTCCACGTCGTAGGTCTTGAGCAGCTCGATCGTGTCCTTGATGGGCTCGAACATGGTGTCCGTCTTATCGCGCCGGTCGCGCACCTTGCCCAGGTAGTTCATGACGGCGAGCAGCGCCTCGTAGTCACCCTCCTTCACTTCGCGGCTCAGCTCGCGCTCGGCCTCCTCGTTGAACTCGGCCAGGCCACGCAGGCTGTCAAAGTCAAAACGGTAACAAATCTGTGGAAATCGTGATTTGGGCTGAGGTCAGGCAGCCACTGCATCCAATCCAAGGCGGGAAATCGTACTACCTTCAAAGAGTGGGTGGTCTTTGGACCTTCCGTTAGCATGCCTTAGTTTGGGTGGAAGGTCACCCGATCCACCAGCCTCGCCGATTACCTGTTGATGACGTGGTCGACGAGGTGCTGCTTGATCATGTTGCTCCACTTGCACACGGTGTTGAGCAGGGCCTGCTTGAAGGGCTTGACGTTGATGCGGAACCAAGTGTGGAGCACCTTCTCCGTGGGAATCTGGTCGATCTCCTTGTACAGGCCCTCGTACAGCTCGATCTGCATGCAGAGCATCACTCTATGAGTCTCACTCTATGTTGGTGGGGAGCGTTTTCGCTACATCTTAGATCACAGATGCTCGGTATACACAGTGTGTCGAGGGCAGACGTGACGTACCAGCTCCTTGAACTTCTCGAGGTCGGGCGGCGTCTCCTTGATTGGCGTGGTGCCCTCCTCGGCGGCAGCCAGCTCGTCCAGCTCGTCGGGCGTGAGGTAGTGGCCGTACTTGAGGAACTGGCCGAACAGTTCGTCGCGGTCGTCCATCCACAAGTACGAGTGCACGTTCATCTTGTCGCACTCGTCCACCGCCTGCAACAGAGGGGAAGTGTGGCAAAGGCACCTCGGCGCCGGACAACTCGTCGAGCGGCGCACCCACCTCGGCGATGACCGTGCGGACGCGCAGGAGGATCTCCTGCAGCTGGCTGTTCAGCTCCGTGTTCTGGTGGATGTCTTTCTGCGGGGAAAAAATTATCTCCACTGTAACCTTAGTAGCCCCAATGACTCAATAATTCAGTGAGCAGGCGCATACCCTGTAGTGTGGCCGGGGGTTGTGCTGGGCCACGCGGGGGATGAGCTCACTCATGTGCACCACGTCGTAGAGCAGACCCTCCACCAGCCGGTAGAAGCCCTTGCGAGCCTCGTCATCCAGCGAAGGGTTGAACACGATGTCGGGGTCCTTGAGCTCCAGATTCACCTGCCAGCAAGAGGCAACAGTCAGGCTGTGGTTGTCTTTGCCATTGCCGAGTCCTCGCCCCGCGCCGACACAGCCCCACACCCGCGCTTGCCTCGAACAGCGGCTTGCTTTCGGCTTTCGGCCTGTCCGGGTTTGTTTCCTCGAAGAAAACGTCCACGCTGCTCTGCACGGCCTGCGTCAGCTTCTGCAGCACCATGCCGTCGATGTGCTCGAGGTACGCCAGCCACTCGGCCGAGTGCGTGGGCTCCTCGGGTAGACTCTGCAGAAGGAAGGGTGCCCCGTCCGTCAGGCAGTGATCGCGCAGGCTCTCGCGGCGCGCGTCAGGCAGTCAATCAGGCACTCACCGGCAGCACGTCCTCCGACACGCTCAGGTCCAGGGACACCGTGGCGCCGCTGGACGACGCGGCGGTGGTCTGGGATGAAACGAGGTGTGACGCCAGGGCCATGGCCAGGGAGGCGCGCACGTTGGTGGTACTCACCCTCACGGACTCCCTGGTGGTGGCCGTGGACGTCGAGCCCCTCGACACTCGATCGGCCTGTAAGAAATTTTCCATTTTACCTTGGCTGTGGCTGGACCACTCAGTGCGAATGGTTTCGGCCGACTCCACTTACCCCATCCACGGAGGTAGACTCAGCGGCAGGCTCCGCCGCGCTGCCCGCAGGCTCAGCGCTGCCTCTCTCGGACGCGGCCGTGCTGCCCGGGCGCTCCGCACTGCCCTCCCCGACGACCGCCGACCCTGCTGCGGACCCTACCGCACCTCCTTCGGCGTCCTCCGCCGCCCCTGCCGCACTGCCAGCACCACCCGCGCTGGCGGCTCCACCCGCACTGCCCGCGACACCCGCACTGCCCGCGCCCGCCCCCGAGGCGGCCTCCGGGTCTTCCTCGGGCACGCCGTCCTCCGGGGGTGGCGTCGGGGCGGCCTGGCCGTCGAGTCCCTGCGCCTGTCCGGCGGCCCACTCGTCCTGGTCGTCATGGCCGTCCTCCGCCCACGTGTCCATGTCCCAGCCCTCGACGGCCTGCTTCTTCACGGCCGTGCGCCCGCCCGTCTCGCTGTCCGAGCTCCACAGCTCCTCCGAGGACTCGGAGCTCTCGTCCGACGACGACTCCTGCTCTTCCTCCTCCTCGATGTGCTCCTCCTCCACGTCCTCCTCCTCGTCGTAGCTCTCCCACTCCTCCTCGCCCTCCTCCCAGGGGATCTCGTTGCCGTCCTCGCCGAAGCGCTTCTTGAGCCGCTTCTTGCGCACGGGCGCCCCCTCGGCGTGCTCCTCCTCCAGCGGGATGTTGTGGAACAGCTTGTAGTTCTCGTCCATCTTGAGGTGGATCTGATCACCGGCGACGCGCACCTCGACAAACCTGTGAAAGGAAGCAATGGAAGATAAAAGATATTTAGGAAAACACTACTCCAAAACGCGGATGGCGTGCCGGCTCTCACCGCTTGTTGACCCTGGCGGCGCGGTCGGCGAGGCCCAGCAGCAGTCCGGCCTTCTCGTCGCGCTCGAACAGCGGCACGTGCGCGAAGTTGTCCAGCAGGCCCTTGATGTGGTCCACGTTGGCCTGCGCCTGCACCACGCGCCCGTGCAGCGCCTTGGTCAGGTCCCGGATGTTCTCCACGTGCGGCCACACCCCTGCGGACGTCACGGAGGAGAGGGCGTTGCACCGCACCGACCGACACCTTACACTGCAGGCTAGCGCGGCTGGCGGGGCTAGCGCACTACTCACCGTCCGACTTCCAGTTGAGCTTGTCCTGCAGCTCCTTGATGTGGCCGTCGATGCCGTTCATCTCCTCGCGGATAAGATCGAACTCGACCGGGATGCAGCGGTTGAGGATCTCATTGTACCTGGCAAAGGAGGCATAGTCAGGATGTGATACCCCCCTCCCTTTCCCCTCACCTATTCCCCTCCGCGCTACTCACCACTCCACGATGCGGTTGAGCGTCGTGACCCACAAATGCAACTCCTCCGAACGGTCAAAGAGTTCCTTGGCCGGGGCGGGGATGTCCTCGATCTCCAAGAACTGGAGGTACCGGCACTCTCGCAGAGCAGCGACCAGCTGGTGACATCATCACAAGGTGTTCCTCAAGTTCTTTTTAGTAAATTATTTGTTGGTAGTAGAAGAATGTTTTTAAAGTAGCGCTGTGGACGTCGTGGTGGAGAAAGCACGAAAGCACTGTTCGGCTGCTTACCTCGGGCGCGAAGTTTGTCTCGATGGTGTTGTCCTCGTGGCGCGTGAGCAGCGTCTTGGACAGGTGCTCGTTCACCTCCCCCGGCACCCGGTTGGCCCACTCCGAGTACAGCGAGTCCCACAGCCCGTCCAGCTTCTCCTTCATCTCCTCGTATTTGTGCCTCACGTGCTCCATGTCCGCCGTTTCGAGGATCCTGCACAGGGCTGTGAGTTAAAACACCGACATGTCATGAGGTCTCAATTATTTATTTTTTTCGTACGACTTACGGGTTTTCCCACTCGCTGAAGAACTCCATCGGCGCCTGTATGCGGCTGCGCAGTTTTAGAACGAACGTCATGGCGCCTGCAGTTGGTGGGAAGTAGCAGTCCACTTCAAAGAATCCGTTCTCCTCCTTGGCCGCCAGGTACTGGTCGAAGATGACCTGCCCGAAAGAGTTGACGGGGTGACCAAGGTGACCATCAAAGCACCGCTTATTGGTCGCCTGTTTGTTTTGCTCCTATGCCTACCTTGACCGCGTCCAGGTCCTTGCTGTACACTTCCAGGATGCGGGGCGTACGCTCCTTCATGTCTTCCTTGGCCGAGGGCCTCTCCATCAAGGAGCCCGCCACTTGAATCAGCTGCAGGAACGGAGAGGACAAGTCGTGAGATGCACAGCCAAAATAAATGAAGCTTTCAGAACTTTAATTTGTACCTTGGACAGGCTCTCGAAGTTGCAGCAGTCGTCGAAGGCCTGCGTGATGATGGCGGCGAGCCGCCCTTCGAGGTCCTTCATGTTCTCCTTGAACACCCTCTCGTCCCTCTCGAAGGAGCCATCGTCCGGGTTTAGGGGGTCGTATTCGATGCGAGTGAAACCGCTAAATATGGTCTTGAACTCATCGAACAGTTTCTCCACTTTCTGGCCCAAGATTCGTCCCTTCAGTCCACCAATTTCCACCTTCTCCAGCTTGGAGTACTCGACGCCTGCGTCAAACACAGTCTGGAGAAAAACAACGCGGTTTATTATAATAACTTACAGCGAAACAATTCAATTTTTCCAGTTACATTCAGAAAAACGTATTTGCCACACCTGAACTTTTTCCAACCTTTCAATGTACTTGTTAAGCCTCTCAAATACAATAGAAGATTTAAAATTCCACATGACGGGCTCGCTATTTTTGAAATAACCGGAGCCTAAGTTGCCACGGGACTCTTCAAACACATCTCTGCAAAAACATAACTTATTAATTAAAGGAATAATGAAGGGGCATCTTCAGAACGTGCAGAAAAAATAACAATAAAATCTGACTTAAAATCCTGAAGCGTTTCGATGCACAACGCTACCCTCTCCTGAGCCTCATCCAGCTCGCCTTGAAACAATGAACTTGGGTCCAGGTAGTCAGAACACTAAAGGAAAAGAAACAACAAGTTAAAAATCAAAATATACAATTTTTACATCTCTCCCCCCCCCTTTTTTCCTTACTTGACGAATGAGTTGGTTGGATATCTCTTTGATGAGCAGGATGATCCTAGGCGAGGTGCAGTAGTACCGCGAGTTGCCCCACAGCAGGCACACGGTGTGCATGGTCGCAGCCAGCATCTCGGCCACGTCGGGGAACTCCAAGGTCGCTATCTGCTCCATGAGCGTCTCCACGGGCTTGAGGTACACGCAGATGTCCCGGACCTCCGTCAACGCTGCGGGCAGACCAAACGCTGAAAGGCAAGCCTGCGATACCTGGTAAGCCAGAGGCAGCGGAACAGGGTTTCGTACCGGCGACCACGTTCCGGAACAACGTCTTAAAGCAGGGGAAGTACGCTGACTCGGTCAGCTCCAGGATCTCTCCCATCTTCTTGACGCGGGGGTCGCGCAGCTGGTTGTACATCCCTTCAAGATTCTTCCGCCGCTCTGTCCAAAAATTGACCTCTGAAACAAAAAGTGCGTCTCAATGGAACAAGTGTTGGATTCGAAACGCTGCCCATCGCGCGACAAGCATGGCAAGCATGGCAAGCAGGGCAAGCAGGGCAAGCCACTGACCCTCCTTGGGCTCGGGGTTGCAGTCCGCGCTGAACGCGGTGCAGGGGTCCTCCGAGAGCACCTGGCTGGTCTGCGACGCCCACTTGATGACCACGCCCTCGATGGCAGACTTAAGGTGCACGTCCACCACCTCGCCGTTGCTGCAAAGTGAATGGGCCGTGAGACGGGACATGTCCAGCAGCCCAGTGCACTGCAGTGGGGTGCAAGCGTAACGCATGTACCTCTCTACGATGTCCCGGTGGGCCTGGTACACCTTGGCCACGTTCAGGGGCATGGGCAGCAGTGTCTGGCCATTGATGCGGCCGCGCACCTCGTACAGGTCGCACTTGAGGCCGTACAGGTGCTTCTTGACATCCTCGGCGACGACCGCCGGCCAGCCGCGGTGGTTGACGGGGTTCACGAGCAGCGGCATGAACACCTCGTCCACCAGCACGGCCAGCTCGTCCACGGGCCGCGGTGCCATGTCCCCGAAGATGAGCAGTTCGCGCAGGTTGTCCTTGGTGACGGGCTCCTTGCGCTTGCGGATGAAGTACGACGACTTGCCCTTGGCGTTGGTGGGGAAGCCCAGCACGGGCGTGAGCACGCCAGCCGGGGACAGCAGCATCACCAGCACGTCCGCCGTGGTGCGCTCCAGGAACTCCATGACCACGTACTGGAAGCAGTACCAAAGCAGGTCAGTGGCCGCAGCCCCCGCAAGCAACAAGTCCCCTCCTTCCAGGGCCATTGCAAGGCATGCCCGTGCACGGTGACAGCCCGTTGACAGGACTGCCACGATTGCGATCTGCACGGCAACAGGTGGCGCTTGATGCGACATGCCAGTCTGGCTAAATGCCCCGCCCACCCCCAGTGGGTCCCCCACCCCTCCCCAGCGCACCTTCAGCTCGTCGTTGCTCATCATCTTGGCCCATTTGTCCTGCTTGAGGCGCAGGCTCTTGGACAGGTACTCGAAGATGAACTCGAGTCTTTCGTCCTCCGCGCCCCCCGCCGCCGGCTCCTTCTTGGGCTCCTCCGTGTCCGCCGCCATGGTGGGTGGATGGGGGCCCTGCGCCGCCCTGCGCCCTGCTTAGGCGGCCGGACTGGCAGGCCTCCTCAGCTTCAAGGCATCACGTCTGAGGCAAAACAAAAGCACCTGTAACACAATTTAAATGGTTGCAGTGATGCTTCATGGGTTCTCTCTCACTCGCACCGGAAAAGGGGGGGAGTGAGTGTGAGTGAGTGGTTAGAAACTCAGCTTCATACAATTTCTTTCACGCAGAGAGTAATTGGCAAATAGTCATTTTATCACTGAATAACTTTTGAGTGAAAGCGATACATACACACTACAACGAACTCCGCATCCCACTGGGCAGGTTCAACGTGCCACGAAACTACTAGCCCCAAGGCAAACGGCTCATCGCGCACAAACAAGTTGACGGGCAAGTAGAGCGACATGTAAGCAAACCCTAAATGGCGTAGCGCACGGAAGCCCCTCCGTGTTCCGTTACCTTCCTTCCCGCCCAAGGTCAAGTTCAGCGTGATGGCTTACGTGCACGTCCCGGTCCCCGGTGCCATCCGCAGTGACGTTCCGTTCTTTTATCGCCACAAGGATGGCGGAGCGCTGTCAAATTCTGACATTTAAGCCAATGGTCGCCATAGCAACCTGTCAATATCCTCCCCCACAGCTCCCCAATCCTCGATCCATACGAATTGACACACAAAGCCTGACCTAAGAGTTACAACATAGGTAGGAGGCGGAACAATTTTGAAGTGGCCATTTGGAGTTTACAAAAACCAAAAAAATGATTGGAAAGTAAATAAGGTTGCATTGGTTTTTGTTTCCAAGTCTTTTCTCTTGAACAGCTAGGTTGATTGCTCTGGCCGCGACTCTAACTGAGAGCTTGAAAAACATTATGCGTTCTCTTCTTTTTTTTCCTTTTTTTTAAACGTTAGTCGCATCAAATAAATAATCTTACTAACAACCCTCTACCCTCTAACATGTGTTCGCAACTTAAGTTGGACTTCTGTTTTTGAAATTGCCGGGCTTCTAAAGCCGGACTCATTTGTTTCGTTAGTTGTTGTTTTTTGTTGTTCTTGTTGTATGATGGTTGTCTGCTGGGTGCTTAGCCTTACCCCGTCATGATGTTACGCCTCACCAGGAACCTTCTCCCTGCCAGCGGTCAGTAATTCCACCAAATAATTATTTTCAGTTAACTTATCTCTGGTTTTGTTGCTTTCCAATTCTTTGGTGTATTGTAGGGAGCTGAAACCTACACGATACTTTAGATATTGAGGTTATGGTTTCTGCTCATTGACTTTTGTCGTTTCTTTCCTATTTAGGATCGTCAGGGCTACGCTTCACATCCTTTCGTGCAGCAATAACACATTACGAATTTCGAGAAAAGTAAGTCTCAGTTTGACCTTGGCTGAATGGAATTAGTTTGCGTGTGGTATGCTTCATTGCAATCTTTTTCAGGCTCGGCTTACCAAGTAGACTGAACAGAACACGAGAGCTTCAAGAATATAAGGACTACTCATTTAATGATGGAAGAGTGACTCCAGTAACTCCAGGCCAGCTAAAGAAAATAAAAATTCAGCGTGATCTAGCTGTAAGTAACAGCAACCCACAAGCTGATAATTGTACCAAACACACATTTATTCGTGATTTGGTTACTATTTTTCAGGCATCAGCTGTGCGACAATTGAAGGAAATAAAGTTCATCCAGAATCGCCACAGTATGAAAGTTCAAGGTAGACTTGATGAGAAGCAGCACATAATCAACAGCAAACTGAAGCCGAAAGGAGATGCGCTAGCAAATAAATCCAAAAAATCATCCAAGGAATAGATTTATCAGCATATTTCGTACTTTATAAGTTTTTCTTTTTCCATGTTGAAGGAGGGATAATGTAAATAATACTCTATTCAGTAAACTCTCTATTAATTGTTTATTGTATTTCACCTATTCACATTCGATACTTGCAGCACAGTATATCTTAGGACATTTTAATTTGATTGAGACACAGTAGAACAGATGGAGATTTACTGGTCAATAATGATATGTTGGTACATACTGACAGACATTCGTTTTAAGCTGCTTGGAAATTTGCATACTCTAGAATTAATTAAAAATTGCTACTTACAACTATAGAAGAGCTAAATTAAAACAATTCTGATCATTTCTACAAGATTTCAAATGCAAATTTCTCAAACAATAAATTTTTGATCAAACTTTAACCCAGACTTAAACACAAAATGAATGCATCTGTTGAAAAAAAAAAAGGACAAACAGAGATCAAATTCGCCAACTCCTCATCAGTCAATAAATCACAGCACTTCAATTTTCCTTTGCCACTGCCCTGGCCCTTGCCCCCTTAAGGTTCTGAACTCATACAACCAGGAGAAATCCCCAATTCCCACTTGAAAAAATAAATTATATGTCTTAGTGGTAACTACAGGTATTGGTGGTTGAGAATCTAACTTCAAAACAAAAGAAGAAAACACAATGGCATTTCACAAAAGCAAAAGAGAACAATTTTTAATGCATCCAGAACGGAAAGGAAAACTAGTATGCATGTACATGCATCTATCTTAACTTCAAAAGTAAAAGAAATTCTTTAACATTTTTTTAACAATTATGTCATGATAAATTCAAGCATTGTCCAGATGCTTCAGGTTCAAAAGGTTAAAATAAGAAGAAAGACAATATTTTGCCTACTTGAAAAGAACACCACTGTAATGTTAAAGTTTAAATAAAAGCAACAAACAATAAATAAAATAAGTTATGAATCTAGGTACAGTACATACTTGAAATAAATGCAGAAAAGCATTTCATAAACAATAATCAACAGTCAGTCATCTCAATACATCATTAAGAACAGGATAAACCTTGTGAAAGTAAAATAACAAGTACAGAACTAAGTGAAACATATGGAGTTGATGTGGTCATTTCAGTTCCTTGTGTGAATGCACACAGACCATAAGTAATACTTAGTATTTCACAATCACTTAATTAAAAAAAGGTCACTGTCCCTCTTTACTTTGAACATATTTCAACAATGTTTTCTCTGATATGGGCGAGGTTTTATCAGCTATGCTCTGGACAACATGAAGACTCCCACTAATGTCTACCCGTGGCTCAGATATTGATGATGGAGTTTTGAGTTCCATTACAGGTGCATTGCTTTCTTTTATTTGGACAGGACTTTGATCCTTCTGTATGAAATCACTGCCACTTTCTTGCCTTCCACTTTTGAAAGACAAACTTACTCCCACATCAGACAACACCGGCTGACCACCAGTTTCTGAAACACTGACAACAGAACCTTGAAAATTTTGCTTTTCGGTCTCCAGTATTTTACTATTTTTAAGACATTCATCATTTGGCTCTCCAACAGAAAGTGGAGACTTCTCTGATTGTTTCTCTTCCTCCACAACCATAGGACCATTTCCGGCACCTTGATCTGCATCAATAGCACTAACAAAAGTCAAATCTCTCTTTTCACGGTCAGATTTTTGCAAAGCCGATTCAAGTATATCTCTTGCACCAGGCTTTGCATCAGAATGTTCTGACATTATCTTCGGTGGCGGTGGAGATGATGAAATTTTAGCACTGTAAGCCAATGGAAGAGGCATAATCTGGCCATCCTTGCTGAATTTAGATCTTTTAGGAACTGGTTTCAGCACTGCATCTATTTTACCTGAAAAGGCACAGAAATGTAAGAAAATAAGATACAATACTACACAATGAAAGCATTATTCTTGCTCAAAATAAATACCTTCTGAACGAGGCAGGGGTGGCTGAAGAATAACAGAATTGTTTATGTTTGTCAATTTAGGATAATCTTCTTTAATTGACTCCTTTTGAGATTGCTGAATAACACCAATACTTTGTGCAGGGCCTAATTTTGAGCTGGTGTCAATTATTTTGTTACCTGAAGGGATGTTATTCTGTAGGGATGCTGACAGGACAAGAGGTTCTTTTACTGCATCCAAAGATGCCTTTTCTTTTTCCTCATGCACTTTTTCATGTTTCTTCAGTTCTTGAAGAATTCTTTGCTGTTCATATAGCATGTCCCTTTGAACTTCTTGGTGCTCTTTTAATGTTTCAATAAGCTTCTTTTCATCCTCTTTCTTTTTCTTTTCCTCTAAGTCATTCTGTTTCTGCTCAGCCTTGTATGCAACAATTTTCTCTTTGTTGTCCCTGGCCTCTAGTGCAGATTCAGCATCTTCATGACGAATGGCATCTTGATTCACTTGCTCAGCGTTGGAAACAACGCCAGTTTTATTCTTCAGTGCATTGATCTGCTCCATAATTTTCATTTTCCGTTTTGGCATCTTTGGTTCCTTTACAACACTTTCACTGCTTGGTGCAGGCACAACAGGGACCACAGGCTCCGCGCTGGCTTGTTTAACAACTGCCTCTACAGGTACAGGAGGCTCTTGTTGCTTTTCTCCTGTGTTGGCCAAAACTGCTGGTTCCAATATTTTTTTCTGAATTTTCAAGGGTTTTTCCACCACATTTAAATCACTGGCTCTGTCTGAGCTCTTCTCTTCTTTTTTTAGTGCAGAGTTAGAGTCAAATGTCCTTAATGGTTGTTTATCATACTTTGAATCACTTAATGAAAGTGCATTCTGCTTCTTTTCCACACCACTATCTGAAACCAGATTTCTACTTTTCTCTTCTGATGTCTCAATCAATTTCTTTACTTTGTTATTGCTGAGAAGTGGCTGAAAAGCAATTGCTTCTTGAGGTGGTTCATTGAGGTGGTCAACTGCATGGTCCAGTATACGATTAGCAACTGCAAAACAAAAGAAAAATTTAGACAGTACTATCCCCAAACTTGCTTGCAAAGGTCATGATTATCAACTATGTACCTTGTTCGAATCCTGAATCTGTAGCTTGCTCACTATTTAGAATGTGAGCATAAGTTCCCAAAATCATGATAATGGCACCAGACCACAGAATTACCTGGTAGAACAAGAAAATTGAAAAGACATGAATGCTAGATATTGTTTGAAAAGGACATTCAATTTTTACCTGGCTGAAGAGTCTGTCCTTTGAATGGCGAGCTGTGTTTCCAAGCAGGAGTGAAGGAAGTATGATGCAAATTGTGACTCCAATAGTTGAGCCAATGATACCAAGTACTCGTTCGATGTTTGGAAGCAGAAGACCAACTACTAACGATACACCAACAATGCAAAATGTAAGAACTTTGAACCTCCCCTCAGGTACATGGGAAGATGCCAAGTCGTGAACTGGAGGTTGAGCCTGAAAAACAATACAGTATTAAGGGAGCCCTCCCAAGCCATATAATTTAATCTTGTATGATATGTCACCTACATTTCGATAGAGCAGAGAGTATAAGCTTGCTCTACATGGAAAAATAACAAGGGGAAAGCTGACTGCTACAGAAAGAACAAATCCTAATTTGATAACTTCACTGCTCATTGTCTGAGACAAACTAACCAAAATGTTCCCTGGAAACAGAAAGTTTACTGTTAGGCAATACATAAGATCTAATCTAATCAACTTAATTACAAACAGACATACCAGATATGTTCTCTTTACTAAACGCAATATACCCAAACACTCCAACCAAGATGTACATAGCTGTGCACATATTAACAGCCACACGAATGACAGCGTTTAGCTTGTCTAAAGCAGCATTGGGAACAGTATCAAATATCTCAAAAAGCTGGCTGGAATTTAAGATTTAAACATAGTAAATTATAAGACTATAATATGAATTAAGAGATTAATTAATTTTGCCTTACGTTTGACAAAACAAGGCCATAGAGAATATGGGCAAGCACTGTAAAACTCCTTCAGGTCTCCAAAAATTAACTTGGTTGAGCCAATCTCCAGAGACCATGGGTCCTGTTGCTTCTCCAATTACTTTCAGAACAAGACAGAGATAAAAGGCTATGGACGCAGTACAGAGAGAGCTCAAACTGTCTACATTGCGCAGTAAACCAAGTGGAAGAACCACAAATAAGGCCATACCTAAGGGATCATAATGGAACTGTATTAATTTTATAAAAAACATAATACCATAATTTAATGAAAACAAAAATAATACTAACCAATTAAAATGCTTGTCCGCAGAGTGTCTGTTCTATGTATTCCTAACATAGAGGAGATGATGGCAGGTCCTAGATCACCCATAACAACAAAAAAGGCCACACACGTTCCCAAGAGAAACCCAATTATTGATAACTCGACGCCTAATTTTCCTGTTGATCCAAAGACATGGAATGCTGCAAAAGAATGCAAGAGTTAAATTTTTTTTTGTATAGACTACAACCAGCCTTGAATGGAGTAGAGGAGTCTTACATACCTAAAAATTCATAATTACGTCTTCTTGTAATGATGGCAGCCTTGAGTAGGAAGTGGCAGGCAAATCGTGACAAAATACTACTCAGACAGAGTAACAAAACAGACAATACTATGCCACACTGAAAAATAAAAAATCATTTGTTTGGAATTAATGTTTAAGAGTAGTCCCTGATTGTGAAAGTTTATACGCACTTGCTTGAAACAAAATGGCATTGCTAGAACACTGACGCCTATTATGCTGTTAGCCAGGGTCATCACCTGGCCTGTATTTGTACCCATTTTTAAGGATGTCTCTAGAAATGAAAGCAAGTTGTAAGCTTTTACATTGCAATTGTCAATGTACAAAGTGTTTACAATTCAGTTGCACCACGTACTCAAACTTTATCGTGGGATGGTGAAATAAAGTTAAAAGAATCGGTTGGACAGAATATTCCATGAACACGTCTTAGCAACTCCATATGTGCATTGACTTCACCTGGAAATACACGAAATAAGAAGCACATAGAACCAGTTGTGGTATGATGACCTAGAAATGCTAGAATCACATTAAGAGTCATGATTATCATGTGCAGACACAACATCGATCAGGTTTTAAGTCTGAAGTACAAAGACTAGTTCAAAACATCCAAAAAGGAATCATTTAACAAAGGAGACAACAAACAAACAATCTTAACCTCATAACTCATACACTACAGTGAAATTGTGTAAATATTTAGAGTCAACACAGGTGTGTCATCGAGATAATAAGTAAATATACTAACGATTAAATTTGTTGAAATAAAATTTAAACGATGCCCGTAATAAAATCAATAGGTATCGGACAGACAGACATGAAGTGCCACCTGTCAGTTAGTGCTTGTTAGCAGAACCAAATTCTACCGCTGTATGAGAAATAAAACATGCAGAAAATGTATGTTAGGTTTACTTTCTCATCATTACCACTCCAGGTGCGCATTCAAAAATTTGTGTGTGCACAACACGAACAACACTACTTGTTGGAAACAGACAGGCAGAAATGGACATTACCCTTAGCCATCCTCAAAAGAGTGCTTTGAAAGTACCTGTTGGACAAATTCTCGTGAACAAAAGATGGAGGGGGAGTTCTGTCTCCAAGGAATTAGACTTATCTGGTGAATATTGGTTTGGTTCTGTAAGTTCAGCTTGATTCTTTCTTGAAATGCTTTTAAGGAATTCCCCCATTTTTTCTTTTAATTTAGAATGCCGAACAATGTTTACTGATGGTCTCGGCTTTATTGATTTCTTTCCCGCTGACTCATTTGCTGTTCTTTACATTACGGAGGCAGAACTGCTTACTCCGAAGTCATTCACTGAGAGGACCAAGTTGCTTGCCAAGGTAATCTATGAGGCATCCAACATTTTGTTTTACAGCTATTAAGCTTGTTAACTACTTTGTTTGTCCCTGCAGGATTACAGTAATCGTGGAGTTATACTTGTAGACGTGTGTCGGTCGCCAGGATACCAAGAACTCCAGGATCTTGCAGCTATAGAGCACAACCTCTCTGTATTTCCCATTTCAAACCAAAATGAAATTCCTCGTATTTTACAAGCATTGGTCAGTGTACATTAGAAAAGTGACCATCAAAATAGACTGTTGATAGTAGTGCGCAAAATTACCCTATAATTTTTTTTACAGATGCATGCTGAAATTAGGCAATCCAGCAATCCATTCAAGACTTCTGCTCCAGAGTTAGGAGACATGGGGCAAGTCCAAATGTCCCTTCTTAAAAAAATTCCAGGTATTGGTGATAAATCTGCACAGAAGTTACTTTCATCATATGGTAGCATCAAGAGTATTTCAGAAATATCCCAAGAAAGACTGGAGACTAAAATTGGAAAAGCAGATGCTGCAAAGGTGTACAATTATTTCAGGAAAAGAATTAGTTCATGAGACAGGTACTTTCTTTGGTAAAATAAAAGTCATGTAACAAAATTTGGGGTTTTGTGATTTTTCTGCTTTGCCAACCATTCCCGTTTCGCAATCACAAGTGAGGGAGGTTTGTAAGAAAGTTGAACTGAGAAACCAAACGGTGAAATAAGACACACTTCCAAAATTCCAATGAAAATAATTTTATTCACTTGTTTAAGACTATGGACTAGTTACAACTCAGTGGATTGGAGAGGTGTCATTTCCCCGACTTGCTGCGTGTCACCACCATCCGTTCCCTGATCCGTGGCTGCCGCCGTAGGCGCCACCATAAGATTTGGACACCTGCAGACAGACACGTTAAGGACTAACAGGGAGACAGCTTGAACAATGGCAGAGCATATTCGTTTGGACTTCCCCCGTCAGTCTTCCACCGAGGCAGAGGACAGCAACGCGACGCACTCACCAGGTTGGAGTTGGCGTAAGAGGACGCGAGGGGTTTGTGGTGGCTCAGGCCGTGCCCCAGGCTGCTGAGTCCGGAGCCGTGGCTGGGCCAGGAAGACTGCGATGCGCCAGCCCAGGGGTTGACCGGAGCGGCCCCGTGACCGACAGAGACAGGCCAAGCGGACGGGCCAGCACCAGCCAGGGGCCAGGCACCGGCTTGGGGTTGCGGCCAGGCACCGGCTTGAGGCCAGGCACCAGTTTGAGGCCAGGCACTTCCCTGCTGAGGCCAGAAAGCTGCGCCAGCACCGCCCTGAGGCCAGTCACCAGCTCCACCCTGCGGCCAGGCGCTGCCCTGCTGGGGCCAGGCGTTCGCCCCTTGGTTCGCCCCCGAGGGCGGCCAGTAGCCGTAGCCCGACCTGGCCGAGTAGCTGGAGCCGCCGGTGGCGTGCGTCACCTTGCTGCCGTAGCCAGTGGGGGTGACCCACGTGGTGCCGTGCCCGCCGTCCTGGCCGTAGCCGCCGCCGTATGCACCGCCGTAGCCGCCGCCGTGCCCTCCCCCGAAGCTGCTGAAACCGTAGTTGACGCCGTGACCACCACCGTGGAGCCCTCCATGGAGGCCGCCGAGAGCGCCGCCGAGGTGGCCCGCGGACACCGCGGACACGACGCCCAGCACCACGGAGCACAGCGCCTGGCCGGCAAAGAAAGGCATCACCTCTGGCATGCAGACGGCCATCCAGATCGATGGCGGGTCAATTCAAGCACTCACCATTTTGTTCATGGTGACCGCGGGGCTGATGCTGCTTTGCTGCTGGGTTGTCTGTTGGAAGGGCCTGGAGGGAATGATGTTGGTTTGCGAACCTGGCGCCATTTATAGCAAGCCCACCCACGCCTAGCCGCCTAGCCTGGCGTGGCGGCGTAGCGGCGTAGCCATGGGATAGGACCCGATTACTCCACGGGAGCCGCGAGCCTCGCCAGTGGAGGGGAGCCCTGTCCAACTAAGCAACCCCCTCTCCCCTCTCGACGAGGACCACTTGATTGCCACCCCGACTCACCTGTCGGAACAGAACGACAAAGGGCATTAGTGCGGACGACGAACCGCGGAGCCTCATTTGCATCGGCAGTGCGTGTGCGGTGCGTGCAGCGCGGCGCGCCTGGCACGCAGGCAGCACTCCCGACTCGCAAGCTTGGCGGCACTGCCAGCCGCGCGGGCGATTCGCTTCGCTGCAGTGATGGCCTGCCCACGCCCATGGCCTGTCCATGTCCGTCCACTGCACATCACTTTCCCGCCCGGCCGACGTCAACCGCCATTTTCACATGCCATTGGTGGCGTGAGAACTGTTCGTTAAAATACACGCCGAAAAACAACTTGTGGCGACGCCGCGGTGACAGATGGCTCGGCCTTAAGGTGACGGCGCGGCCCCGCTGCGCCCCGCTGCGATGATATCGGATCGAAGCAGAGTAGTGCAGCCAGTTGCCCCACCCAGCCTCGCAGCGGGGCTGCTGCTGCCGCCGCTCCAGCCGATTGTTTGCTGTGATTATCAGCTGGATAAGCTGAGCCCCTGCAGGCGGGCCGACCTCAGGAAAGCAGACGTCCAGCACCTTGACAGTGCCTTGGCCTTCCCCGGCTCGCTCCACTTGGCTACTTGGCGCACGCGATGCACGCGATCGTCGGCGTCATCCCCCTCGGCCGCCCTCGGCAGGCTGCAGACCGCGGACGCCTCGGGACGCAGCCGGGAAGAGCGCTACTGGTGCGGTGGCTGCTGGCTTCGGGGCGATATGTAGCATGTGAGTGCTCCATCCCCTAGGGGCCCTAGCCTCAGTGGGTAGTCGACCTGTATCCGTCACCCCGCCACCGCGTCCATTGCATCCGTTGTCGAATGGTCGAATGTCGAGGTATGGCGCACCTGTTGCCGCTCGCTCGCTTCCAGCTCGCTTCCCCCGCGGGGCCTCTCCCCCAAATCCGGCGACCTTATTAAAACCTCGCACGCGACTGCGCCCGGAGACGAGTTCGCGGAACTTCCTATCCCAGCAAAAAGGCCCAAAATAAGGCTCGCGTCCTCCCCCCCCCTCGTCTTTTCCGGCGGGAATCCATGGCGTGACGCCGCAGTGCGGCCACCTTGCAAAGCCTTGCTTAGGCAGCAGTGCCGCAAACCTCGGAATAATAAACACGCTCACGTCGGCACGCCGCGGCACGCGTCCCGACCAACGAGGGTGCCGGCGTCCCGCCGCGTCCCGCGTGAGGCGTATTCATTCAGCCGTTTTTAAAAGCCGGCATGATGCACGCAGAGCCGCACCGCCGCGCTGCGGCATTCATCCTTGGACCACTCCACTGCATGAGCCGCGCAGCCAGCAGCCGGGCCCTGTCCTGCGCCTTGCCCGCCACTGGCTTTATGTCGCTCCCATCAACACGCTGGGAGCGAGACGGAATGGTCCGCTTCGCCAGCTTCGCCAGCTTCGCCACCTTCGGCCGGAGCGCCGCCTTGAGGCGCGAGCAGTGAGCGCCCGACTTGCTGCAAACGACTGTATTCCCGAGTTTTATCGCGAAACTGTCGCGAGCTCCAGCCTTTGCAATTGTCTCGCAGGGCCGCGTCCTCCCGTGTCCTGTGTCCAGTGGCGGATCCAGAAGGGACCTCACGGGACGAGGTATAGTATTACGCCCAAAATCAGTGGGGACAATGAAACTTTTTACCCAACTTCTACGCAAAAGGCAGCCCTCTTTTTTAAAAATTCAAAAGACCTAGCCCGATTTCCTACCTTTTTCTCCTGCTCAACCCCAAGAGTCTTAAAGGTTCATAAATTCCCAGTTCGCGTTGAGGTGTTGGCCTGTCTATGGCCATCGTGGTAAGTGAATTAAAAACCAATTGTTTTGGAAAAACGTTTTGAAAATTTATTCCAAGTCTTGGTTGTTTTTGGTCGTTGCACAGCGTCGATTCGACTATTGACCTGACTTTTCAGGTAGAATAGCCAGGAACTGCTTCGGCTCGTCGTTGCCGAGGTGACGACGCCATGGTGCGGACTTTGGTGAAGATGGACGAGTCGGCGCAGGGCTGCGCAGGGCTGCGGAGGGCAGTGATGTGACGGTGCAGCTTGTTGGGTCAGTCCCTCTCAGCGGCACGCAGCTCACCAGCCGTGGCCGTAGCCGTAGCCGCCGTAGCCGCCGTAGCCGTACCCGCTGCCGTAGTACAGGGGCTTGGACACCTGGGGGAGAGAGACGGAAAATATAGGGTTTGTCGCTGCCACACTGTGAAATACCCTCGCACAAGTGGAAAAGGTAACTCTCACCTTGTATACACTCTGGTAGGAAGTGGCGGGCGCACCGTAAACGCCATATCCGCCGTAGCCGCCCCAGCTGCCGTGGCCGTAGCCGTAGCTAGGGGCCTGGGCCAGCAATGCAAAATCATGTTACTCAGGGTCTGGCTCGACTCCCACTCGCTCCCGTTGGACTAAATACTCGCTCCGATCACGCACTTACCTTCCAGGATGAGGAGTATGAAGTGGCCACGGGAGCAACGGCGACCACGGGGGCGGTCTTGATGACGGCGGGGTATCCGTGGTAGCCACTGTAGCCGCTGTAGCCGCTGCCCCAGCCGCCGTAACCCAGGCCGCTGTAGCCCAGGCCGCTGTAGCCCAGGCCGCTGTAGCCCAGGCCGCTGCCCCAGCCTCCGTAGCCGTGGTCCAGGCCGCTGGAGTAGACCACGGGGCTGCTCACGTAGGTCGGGGAGGGCGAGGGGGCCGCCGCGACCGCCGCCGCCAGGAAGAGGACTGCAACCTGCATGCCGAACGCGCCGTCAGAGGAGCCGCCGTCAAGGCAGAAGGCTGCAGCCCCACAAGCAGTGTGGCAGGGTGGCCGCCCGGCTGCCCCGCCCACTCACCAACTTCATGATTCCGCCGGGTGGATCTGCTGGTGTCTGGTCGGAGACTGTGCCATTGTAGCGCCTCTGTCCGTATTTATACGAATCCCAAGAAAAGTATAACTCGCATAATTTCCCCTCCTCGGAGTCTCAGAGGCGCTGGTCAGTCGGGCGGGCGGGACGACGCGGGGCGGGGCGGGGCGGGGCGAAGCCGGCGGGACGCGAAGCCTTCTGATGTCTTCCTGCCGCTTCGCCGGTGCACGCACCAGACTGTGCCAGGCCGGCCGGCCATGCCTCCAAGGCGCTAGGGGAGGGCGTCATCGCGGCGTCATCGCACACGTTCCCAGGACCAGAGGCGCGCGGTCGAGAGGCGCACAGCTCCAGCAGCACCAGCAGCGTGTCATGTGTCATCGCCAAAATAGGCATCATCGGCCACCTCTTGGATACCTCCGCGAAGCTGCCCTTGCCCTGCCAGTATCCGCAGCGGACTGCGCCTGTTCGTGGTCCGCAGTGCGCCGCAGTGCGCCGCAGTGCCGCACTGACCCTTGCCGGACGTCATCGAGTACCTCATCCATTCAACATCACCTCGCCCGCCGTCCTGAAACTCCCGCCACGCCCCCTCGCCTGGACGTCGCTGATGAGTAACTGTTTGCGGCTGACAGCAATTTGTCCCCTCTCCCTTTTTTCCCCCACTCCCGTGCACTGCAGGCTCCAGGCTCCAGGCTCCGGGCTCCAGCGGGCGGGCTTCGCGGGCGGCGCCGAGGCGTGAGTAAAAGCGCACGGTCAAGGCCGCCGCGCGCGCCGCCGCGCCGCCGCGCCTGGTGCCCACCCCGCGGCCCACCCCGCAGCCCACCCAACCTCCAGCCAGCCGCCTCGAGCCTCGAGCACCGTTCATTTGGTTTGCGTTTGACGAGTACAGTACACGCCGCTCCTCAAGTGTTCTGTTACGCGCGTTAGCGTTAGAATTTTTATGATTTTGATTTTAGTTTTGCATTCTTCGTGACGGCTCTTCGGGCGTGGCACTCATCTTCCTTTTTTATTGCCGACCGCTGCCAAAGCTGGCCGCTGGTTGCTGGGCGCGCGGGCAAAGCCGCGGAGTGCAGCGACAGTCAGTTGCTGAGACATTATGGGATTTGTTATCAAGTTTATTCCGTCGCCGCTCCATTGCCAATCACCGTCCATGCTTGCAAGCAACAGCTCCCTGGAGACTTCCTTACTCGACGTTTTGAGACCCAACCTCATAGATTCAATTCTTTTTTGGAACGCTGGCCGCGCAAGGAATGAGAACCCAAATAATGTAAAGGCATCGTCTGCTAAAAGGGGGAAAGTATTGTGTTGGCTTGGCCGGCGTCATGGAGGTGTGCCGTCGGTGGCCGCCGCCATTGGCTGGGGCGACAGGCGGGGCGACAGGCGGGGCGCGCCGACGAGCCCCCCGGGGCTGTGCCGGCTGCTTGCTGGGGTGGCGGGGGGCTTGGCAGGCCTGCCACCTTCCAGCTCGGCCGAGGCGCGAGTCTTGGCGCGTGTGTGGGATGCACGGCACGCAAGTGCACGCGCGTGGAGTGCGTTCAGTGTACTGCGCACGCTGCGCACCGGCCGCGTCCGGGTGAGTGACTTCCTTCCGGCCGGCCGGCGCTCGGACGACCCTCGCCACGGCCAAGGACGGCCCGTACAGTGGGCCAGAAGACTTAGCCCCTTGGCACGTATTCGTTATTCATCGATTCATTCATTCTTCCAAGGCGACTCGAATCAAACACATGATGACAACGTGCCAACTGTTTCGGTGGTGTGCTTCGGTAACTCAAGGCTAGATCCAACTTGGTTTTATCGTGGCTATATTGTCTCGCTAGGTTACAGGGGTGGCCCCACACGCACCTTACACTTGATCGTCTAGGACGCGACTGCCGCGCCGTCCCCTCCAGCGGGCCGATGCGATCGTCCTTCGAACGTAAAATCCAGGGACAAAGAGTTTGATTCGAATCTCCTTTTCGGATTGTACTGTTAGGCTAAAATTACTAGTGTGAAAGCAGTCCGCCTGAACTGACGATGGCCTTTTGGTCTCGGCTGTAACTGGCCGTGCCTCACTCCGCTCGCTTCGCTTCACGGCGTCTGCCTCCGCCGTGGGGTAGGCAGCCCATCCAGCCTGGAGGCGTGCTGCTCTGTCTGAGCGCACGGCGCAGGGGTAGGAACGAACGCAGAAAAAGTCATCGCATGAACAATCGATTTATTTTTCACTTATTTTATATTTACATAAATACTGTCTTGGCGCATAACTCCCCATCCTCGGCCCCCTAAGTCGCGTCTGGAGGCAGTGCTGGAGGCTGAGGCTGGAGGCCGCTCAGTGGCCTTCGAGGAACCGTTTCGATTGAGCTGTCTGTTTGTCGATTTGTAGTTTGGTGAAATGACTAGTGCTGTCGGGTGGCTCGGCGCCGCTCGGGGTGCGTTCACCCGCTGTACAGTCTCGCACGGTCGGGCAGCAGTGCTGCAGCACATGGTGCTCGCTGAGGGTGGCTAGCGGTGGTTAGTAATGGCCGTAGCCGTGGCCGTAGCCCAGCCCGAGGTCGTGGCCCTGGTTGTACGTCGCGTAGCTGGAGACGAGGCCGTGGCCGTGGCCGAGGCCGTAGCCGTGGTTGGACGTCGCGTAGCCGGAGACGAGGCCGTGGCCGAGACCGCCACTGAGGACCTCCCCGCCGAGGAGACCGTGGCCGGCGTAGCCGTAGTGCGAGGCGTAGCCGTACGGGACGTCCTCCTGCAAAAAAACGTGACAAGATGAGAGGCTGGACTGACGAGACTGGGATGGGCAGTGGGGCAACGAGGTGAGGGTGGGGGAGGGCGGCCGATAGGGCGGAGGAGTCTCCGCTGTCCTGCTGCCCAGCCGCCAGATGGCGTGCTCTCGCGCCTCTGCCCGGGGGGTGGTGTGCTTCCAGGGGAAGCAGCGCGCGGCGGCCACCTCCTCGCTGGTGTGCCAGCCGGCTCCGTTGTGCCCAGAAATAGCGATTTCAGGGGGAGCTCGCGAGGGGGGCCCTGGGGATGGCAGCCACGCCGCCTCCAACAGGGCGAAATAGCAGCAGCCTGGAGAGGCTGGCTATTTGAGGGCACGAGGGGGCCGGGAGTGGGGACACGGCGACAGGGCCATATCCCCACCCCACAGCGTATCATGACCAGTGCGCGGCCCCGCGGCGGGCGGGCTGGCTGTCCTCACCTTGTGCACGCTCTGGTAGGAGATGGAGTGAGGGCCCTTGACGACGGACGTGTAGCCGTGGGCCTTGGCGCCGGGGCCCTTGGCAGTGGGGTAGCCGTACGAGCTGCCGTACGCCACGGAGCCGTCGTACAGGCTGTGGCCCACGTGTCCGTAGGAGGCGTAAGACAGCGGCCCCTTCAAGCCCGTGCCATACGAGCCGTAGGAGTACAGGTCAGGGGTAGCCACCACGGCGTGTCCGAGGCCATGGCCGTCGGCCAGCACGGCGCTGTGTTCAAGGCCGTGGCCGTCAGCAAGGATGGTGGCGTGCTCCAGCCCATGTCCGTGGTCGTCCGAGATGACCGTCGTGTGGCCGAGGTCATGGGTGAGATCGTGGCCGAGGGCGTAGCTCGGCGCGGCCACCGCGACGGGGGCCACGGCGACGGCCTTCTCAGCGTAGGCGACAGGAGCGTGCGCCTGGGGGGCGTACACCACTGGAGAGGACTTGGCGTACACCACGGGGCTGGCGTCGTGGTAGGACTCCGGCGCGTACACCACGGGGGACTTGGCGTAGCCCAGCAGAGGCTCCGGTGAGGCGTAGGACACGGGGACCTTCTGCACGTAGGTCACCGCCGGCTCCTTGACGTAGGCGTGCGCGTCTGGCACGGCGTACTTGATGGCGGGGGCGGCGTCGATCACACTGTGGCCGTGTCCCAGCACCTCGTAGCCGTCATGGCCCAGCGAGTCGTAGCCCTGGACATAGCCGTCCAGGTAGCCTGGCGGGACGGCCGAGCAGGCAGCCGCGAGGAACAGGGGAAGCACCTGCAGCAGGCAAAGAGAGGCGTGTTCGTCCTGGTTCGTCCCTGGCGCCTCGCCACGCCTCGCCACGCCAGGCCACGCCACGCCCTGCCCCGACCTTGTACGGGCGAAACGGTTTCCAGGATATCTCGCGGGTTGCTGCGCGCTGTGCGCCGCGTGCAGGCTGCAACGGAACTGGGCGTGGCGCGGAGGGGGAGGGGGAAGGGCAGGGGGAGGGGGACCTTGGCCATGGCTGTGGCTGAGGCGCGAACGCGAAACAATGTTGAGTGGGAAAGTAAAACTGTTGCGTCACTCGACGCCTCCCGGCCGCCAGGCGCAGAGCTGCTGTGCTGCAGCGCTGCAGCGCCAGTCAATCCCGCTAAATGGATGGCTGTTCATTCCAGGGCAGCGGAGGGGAGGGGGGAGGGGGGAGCATTCCCGCTGCCTGCAACACACTGACAACACTGCGCTTTTGCCATTTTATAGAATTCTGGCCCCCACCTCCTTTCGCAGATGACATCATTAAGGGCTTCCCAAATTAGTGGAATCATCAACACCCTAAGTTAAAAGAAACTTAAATTCAACAAAATATGCTCAAAATGCACCCTAAAAACTGGCACCTGATCGATGCCATTGAGCCTCCACTGAGCCCCGACCTCCAGAATGCTCGTGGTGCAGAGCGAAGCAGAGCGAGGCAGAGGCAGCGAGGCAGCGTCGGTCGGCTCACTGCAACTTTTGATTTACATCCAGTAATGAAATGCGAGTGGCACTGCCGCTGCCACTGCCACTGCCCCGTCCCGACTCGGCACTCCAAGACACGATGCTAATGGTCCAATGCAGTGCGTGCGTCGTGCGTCCCCGAGCCACGCCGTGCCGTGCCGTGCCGTGCCGCTGCACAGGGCTGGGCAAGGACGCGTCATACGCGTCGCTTAATTGGGGCAGGCTGCTGCTGCTCGCGGGGGCCGCTCGGCCGATCGGCCGGCGAGGCTCGTGCCACTGCGACCGCGGAGCAGAAACCGATCGTAAATATGGCACTCGTGTTTTCAGGCACAAGAAGAGCGTCGCGAAACCCATCATTGAGACAAAACAAACGCACGCAGTTCAGATGAAGAAAACACGCGCGGCTGTCTCCTAGTCACCCAACTCGCAAATCGCGATTATTGCACTTTGAACGCACGGCTTCACTCACTCACTCACTCACTCACTCACTCACTCACTCACTCACTCACTCACTCACTCACTCACTCACTCACTCACTCACTCACTCACTCACACATGCGCGCGGGAGCTCACCCAGGGGATCATCATGTTGCATGCAGGCGATGCAGGCGCGTCCAGACGGTCACTAACGGCCGCCGCACCGCCCCGCCACCATTTATACCACAACAAGAAATTGTCTGAAACACACGGGGCGTGGGGGAGGGCGCACCGTGGCGGGGTGAGGCGGGGCAGGGTGAGGCGGGGCGCGGCGGGGTGCGGCGTGGCCAGTGGCCGCCACGCACCGCCCCTCCATACGCGGACCGCGCCACCCCACCCCACCCCGCCACCGTGCGCAGACTGCGCAGCTCGAGTTTCAGGTGAAGCAAGGCGCCGTGCCGAGGCTCCGTGCTGAGGCGCATGTCCACGTTGCCCAGGCCCTTCGCACTGCTCCGCGTTGGCACACGCACGCACACGTACACACACCCACACAGCCCAAATAGGGAGCCGGTCTCGGAGCGCCTGGCGCGTAGGCAACGCTCGTGCAGCCGTGCGCACGCCCGGGTCTGGTTGCCTACCTCGAGGTTCGCAGGCGCCTGGGCACCGTGTGCATAACAAATGCGATCCTTTTCGATGTAATAAAGTGTGGTTTCAATGTTTGTTTGTTGTTTGCTTCGTGCCGAATGACGCCTGTTTCATAATGGTGCATTATGGCCTGGCTCCCAGTTATTACTGAAAAGTATCGATTGCCTTGCTGGTCGTGTGAACTTGGCATGTGCCACACTCCAGAGTCCATGCTCCAAGCCGGGCTCCCGCCCATTGAGCAGGCTCCAGACAGCGACAGACCAGTCTGGAGCCCCGCTGTGCGTGGCTGTGCGTCACACAGCGTCCGAGGGCTCGAACGGCTGCAAACAGAGACAACGGGTTTTGCAAGCACCTGGGAGGCATACGAATCTTCTGTTCGGAAAACATAAATGACATCGAGATGACAACAACACAGTAGTTCTGTGCGCGTTGGGTATACACACGCACTCTCGCGCACACACCCGCCGAAGTCCGGCCGCCAGGTGCGTAGGCAAATCTCTTGCTGCCGTGTTCGCGCTCGGACCTGGTTGCCTACCTCGCGGTTCGCAGGGGCCCTGTGAACTTGAGCGTGGCAGCAATTCAGTCAGAGGACGTTGCTGAATGCCGGCAACGACTCTACCGGTGAGGCCGCGGACTCCGCGTCAGGCTGCCGTCGTCCGCCACATCGTCCGCCACCGTTCCGTGCATTTCACTCCAGTTCTGCCAGACTCGAGTCCAGACTCGAGTCCAGACTCGAGTCCAGACTCCAGCAGGCGCTGCTGTTCGCTCTTTTGATGCGTAGGCCGGCCCCGCCCCGCGGCCTTCCAGCCTTCCAGGGCATCCACTCCGCACCGCAGTCCAGCAGCCCGCCGTCGCCTCGGTGCTCCCCCCCCCTCCCCGGCCGGATTTCGCAATCCCCTTATTACGCACTTATCTCTCCAGGACACGCAAAACACTCTGGGCGCGCGGCGCGCTATTGGCGGCACTATCGCCGCTATCGTGGCGCGTGCACTTCGATTCCTCGATTCCCGTCCGTTTGTTGCCCCGCCGCCCCGCCGGCCCCACCCCGCCGCCCCGCCACGGACACTGCTCGCCGCGCTTCCGTTCCAAGCGCTAAGTGCGCGGCCGTAAAGCACGGCGCGGTGCACCGCGGTGGCGGCGGCAGATCAACTGCGACATTTAACGCGCGGCCGCCATCGCCCCCTGCATCGAGGCTAGAGGCTGCTGGAGGCTGGGGGCGCGGTACGGCGCGCCGCCCAATCAGGGGGACGGTATCATCGAACGAGGAGGCCGCCTCCGTACCGACCGCACCACATCTCGACCGACATCGATAGTATCGAAACGGCCGCATGAGCTCCCGTTACTCAGCCGCGGCGCCGCGGTTTCTGCGGGCGACTTGCGTCGGTGTTCGGCGGGGCCAAGGCGGGCCGGCGGAGGCAGACGTGTGTCCTGGGAACGGCGATCGGCCAGTCGGCACGCAGCGCGGTCCGAGACGCGGTCGCCCCATTTTGTGTCTCTCCCACGATAATGTCACACGGCCGCCACCAACGCGCGGGGGGAGGGGAGGGGCAAGCTGGCTGTACCGCGCTCAATCGAATGGCTGCGGAAAAAAGGCGTATGAGTCATGCTAAAGTTTGCTGGCATTAGCGGTGCAAGCTTTTTCCGCTTTATAATGCGCATGTGTGGTTTCATTTTCCATCTCTGAGGAATGGAATGGGGTATCGATCTGGAATGCTGTTTTCCTTGAGTACAGCGAACCTTATTTCGGGTTCCACGAAATTGCACTGAAACGGGTTGCCGCGTTCCCATTGTGATTGCTTTTAGTGCCGCTGCTGGTCTGTATCGCCACTTTGGCTCCAGGGTTAGGCGGTCTCATTGTTCGAACAAGCTTGCCCCCGGTCCGGCCTAGCCTTAGCCTAGCCCCAGACGAGCGGTCCAAGAGGGCTTTTGCATGCCGCCCGGCCTGGAAGGCCTGGACGGCCCAGCCTCACGCACTCCGTGTCCTGGCCGGCCTGGCCGCGCAGCAGCACGGCGCTGCAAGGAGGGCCGTGGCGCAACCATCCCTCCTTCAATCTTTCCCGGCGGCGCAGATGGGTAGTCTGGGCGCGGCGTGGCCCGGAGCAGCCCGGCGCAGCCAAGCAGTGCGTCTCCCAGGCTTCCAGTCGACTTCCAGCAGCACGCTTGGCTGGAGTCCCGCAGCGTGTGCTCCACGCAGACTCCGCATCCGCCCCCCTCCCTCCCTTTTCCCTCCCGGACTGCGCACTGCACATTCCATGCAAGGCCGTCCAAGGCCGGCGTACGTTTCGTTCCGTACCCCTCCCCTCCCCTCCCCAGGGCCCCTCTCGGGAGCGCCGACCAACAGCCTTTCTTCCAGCGATAATGTCTGGTTTTAAGTGGAAAAAATGGGTCGATTTGAATTATGAACAAAAGTTAAGAAGCGTTTTAAAACTGTATTTACTGAGCAACGTTTTCTCCCATACTCATCTACATTTTGACATGTCTTTCCTCACGCACACAACACAGTACATTACAGAAGTAAACGGGGAACACTATCTGACGGTTCTTTAAAGGATTTGCGGAGGCTGACTTAGTTCATCAAATGATAAAATAATAAATAACCTTATTTAGCCTAATTTTAAAAAAAGCTTTAACGTTATTTTAAAAACTATTTCCCGAATATACACGTACATAATAAACAAAGTTAATCAACTAAGTGCACTTCGAATGAATCTGCTGACCGATGCGCCTGAAGGATGTGCTTTAAATATGCTCTCCTAGTGAGGAAGGTCTCTGTGTCCTCACCACACCTATTGCAGGCCACGGGCCGCCACCAGCTCATTTCGCCTTTCTTCTCCTTCTTCTTCTTTTTTCTCTTCTTCTTCTCCTTTCTCATCTTTGTTGCCAAATCCTCCAAAATCTTTTCTTCTCTCCTGTTCTTCTCCTCCTCCTTTCTCTTTCTCCTCTCATCCCATCTCTTTTTCTCCTCCTTCCTTATCTTCTCTGCGAACCAGTAATGTGATTCAAGGATGTGCTTCAAGAAGGCTTCTCTCGTGGCGAAGGTCTTCGTGGACCCGACGCACCTGTTGCAGGTCACAGGCCGCCAGCGGCCCTTTGCCTTCGTCTGCCTCTTCTTCTTTTCCCCGAGCTTCTCTCTCTCTATCTTTTTCTCCTCCCTCTTTCTCTCCTTTGCTTCCCTCTTCTGCTCCTTCTCGATCCTCCTCCACCACTTCTCCCCATCCTCGATTCTCTTCCTCTCCTTCTCGTCGTCCTCGTCCTCCCTCTTCTCCTCCTCCTTTTTATTCCTCTTTTCCTCCCTCCTCTGATTCTTCTCGGCCAGAACGCGTCTGTGTGAGGAGAAGTGCGTGCGGAGGTCCTCGATGTGCGCGAAGCGCGCCGTGCACCTCAAGCAGCGGTGTGGCTCCTCGACGGCATCCTCATCGGTAATCGGCCTCACCGCGCACGGCGCGCACGCGGCCGGCCGGGGGTCCTCGCCGCGGTCCTCGCCCAGATCAGGACTCACACACAGACTTTCATCCGTCGGCTCTTCGGCGCACTCTGACGGCTGAGGGTCATCGCCCACATCAGTCATCTCACTCAGTCCTTCGTTCGCAAGGACTTCCCCGCGCTCGGACGGCCCAGGGTCCTCGACCACAGACAGACTTTCCTCCGCGTCTTGTGGCAGGTCGCCCAGGGACGCCGTTGACCCAACGACGCCCTCGTCGCGCTTGTCCTCCCGCGGCTGGAGCGTGTCGCCGTGCTCGGCACCGCACGGCGTGCTCGTCCGACGCCTCGCGTCGCCGTCCTGACTTAATTCGTCCTCCGTCAGGGTGTCGAAGGATTCATACAAGGAGCCGTGGTACTTCTTGAGGAGGATGTGCCTGCAGCGATGGCTCCGGAGGCCGTCCTGCGACTTGAAGGGTGTGTCGCAGTCCTCGCACTTGAACTCGGCGGCGTCGGGATGCACCCGCAGGTGGCGCTTGAACGCGGCGCCGTCCTCGAAGTGGGCCTCGCAGACGCGGCAGAAGGTGGGGTGGCCGCGCTCGTGGGCGCGCAGGGCCCTCAGGCTGCGGAAGGCCGCGTAGCACGTCCGGCAGCTGGGCGTCTTTATCTTCTTCTGGTGGCCGACCTGAAGCCGCTTGGTGGGCACCGAGACGCGCCCCGAGCGTAGCTGCCTCGGCGGCTGGGGGGCCGCGGACTTGGCGGAGCACGGCAGCTGCGTGGACTCGCTGTACTTGGCCCTCTTCAGGGCCGTCTCAGGCGGCGATGGAGGCCGCGAGACGCAATGCGAGTGGCGCCTCTTCAACGCCCGGGAGATCCGGCTCCGGCCGTCAGAACCGAGGTTCGCGTCCCCGAAGCCCTCGCAGTGGCCGACAGTGCGAAGGGTTCCGTCTGCGGAGTCATCGCAGTGGCCGGGGGCGCCAGGGGCCTCCTCCGCCGGGGAAGGCGGCTTCGGTCTGGCCGAGTCGATGCCGAGGTCCTGGGCGTACGAGTCGCCGTACCACACCAGCAGCTCGGTGTGCGCCGGCACGGGGCGCACGGTGCGGTAGTACACGCACCCGGCGTGCTGGAACGCGTGCAGGTTCTGCTCCCCGATGTTGCGCGCGCAGTTGACGTACCGCATCCAGTTGGACTTGGTCACGTCCTCGCCGTCGAGGAAGTGGTCCGGGCCGCCGGGCACCACGATGTTCCAGGCGTAGCCCGACTGCTGGTCTTTGGCGGTCACCTCGCCCTCGTACGGCCCGAAGCGCAGCATGGCCGGCAAATCCTCCGTGCTGCACACGCCCAGCCCCGCGCCGGGGATCTTGCTGGGCAGCACGGCCAGCTGGGGCGGCAGCGTGCGCAGCGCGCGGTCCGGCTGGCCCAGCGGCACCTGCAAGCAGCGCAAGCAGAGCAAGCAGCGTGAGTCTGAGCAGTTTGGGCCGCGAGGGCCTCTGCGGGGCCTTGCGGCGCTCGGCGCGGCCAACGCGTTCTATTTACCTCGGTGTCGAGGACCATCTGCAGCGGGCCGTGCAGTGGGCAGCCCTCCTCGCCCCTCCACTCGCCGTCACAGCCCTCGCAGTCTGCCGGAGAAAATTTGTTAACAATAAATTGGCGCCGTGATGAAAATAGGGGTTTGAGGTCCGGTACTTTATGGATACAGAACGATTTCTCACCGTGTTCAATCGATACATCACTGCTTGAAGTTTGAATATCGAGTGGGCCTTGGTGAAGAGCATCTGGGACTGAAACTGCCAGCTTCAAGTCTGGAGGCGGCGCGAGGGAAGCCCCCCTTCTCGTTCTGTCAAAGTGATTCACATGTTAAAGCAGCAGTCCACACAGTTCACTTGAATTTTGAATTATTTTCCATTACTTGATAGGGGACCATGCAGCAAGATGATTTGGAGACATTGCAGGCGCTGACACTGCTTTCTGAAACAGGAGAGACAGAAAAAAAGGGGGGGGGAGTTACAAGCCGTCGTTGTCACATTTACATTTATACGGGCCCAGGGCTACAGCTCGACGCGGGGTATATACACCTCACCTCGTCACAGAGGAAGTCAGCAGCCTGATCGAACGCGTCTTTTATCTCAATATCGTCGTGCAGAAAAAGGCTTGGAATCCAATTCCATTCATCATCCAGTCTAAGATCCAATTTCCACTGGTCCATCCATTGTGGAAATTCCAACCTGAGAATGAACCGGCCTAGCAGCTGCAGTGACAAACCTGCAGCAACAGCAGAAAAAAGAAGAAGGTTACTCGCATGCTCACAATTAACAGAGGAGGGGGATGAAACCGTTGCGCGGTACCCCCCCCCCCCTCATTCCACCCCTTCTGCACTACCCGTTTATTGGAACACATAAAGCTTTACCTGCTTTCTTCATTCGTTTCAGGTCTTTCACGATTTTTACGAAGCTCCATTTATCGTAGAAAGACATAGCATTCCATTCCGATGCGAAGAAAAAGTGGCGAACCTTCTCGAATTCGGTCGGCTCTTTGGTGTCGGTACACTCGTCATGGCCATACTCCGTCACGGCAACTCCCATATTATATGCCTAGAAAATGAAAAGAATGCATGACATAAACAATAGATGACACTAGTTAAACCAACAAATTCCGAGGTTCGACTACTAACCTTTTAATTGACACCGGCAGATTGTACATGGCGGCTCTTTGCCGCGTGGTTTCGAGGTTATGGTTTTCTTTGATCTGATGTTGTACTCACCACACATCAAATTTAAACATAAACATTAGTGCACACATCACATGGCCGGATTTTTACACCAGGTGGAATTCACTGAGCATCATCAGAAACGATAGTTCAAGCGCGGAAAACGAATCCATCAGTCATGTCTCCCGAGCACGGTAACCTCGACGTTGCAGACGACCAAAATCAAAACAATGATGTCTCTCGCGCACGGGGTATGGACGCACCACAAAACTGGCAACATATCTTGTCAAGAATCTAGTTTTATCGTCGCATAACTTTCCTTATGACCAACGTTTCATGTCAAAATAATAGTACTTAAGGAAAATTTAGTTAAGTTAAAGTGTTTTCAGGCATTTTCAAGGAGGTTTTCCAAACATTATCCGTACTGAAACCAGGATTATTTTGTTGTGTATATTTGGCAGTGCCGAACATTAGCACGCAGCTTGCAGACGACTCGTTTGGTCATGACTTCGTTACCCCGCAGGTTAATTTTATTTATTTTGTCGTCTTATACACCAGTAAAAGTGGTTTTTGTGTCGTTGATTATGCGCATTCACTCTTGGTACTACGATTACAGCCCTTGAATGTAACTGTCTTGGCCATATTTTCGATTTTGTTTCCAGGATCGCCAGTGCCTTGGCTCTTCCGGTTCTATTTGGAGGTTATTTATTTGTAATTCATTATGGATGGCAGAGACTGCAATATAGCCCTGTAGTCAATGGCGGAGAAGAACCTGATACTATATCCATCGAAAAGTTTAGAAAGGTATCATTTTTTCGTTCTATTTCTGGAATGTTTACTGTTTGTTTCTTTGTTACACAAATAATCTTTATCGCACAGGTATTTTTTGGAGAAAAATCTAACTCCGAAAGTAAAGATGGAAAAGAAGACGGAAAGAAGTAGCTGAGCATTTCATTTGTAGTACTAAGCTAAATTAAGGTATTTAATACAAAACTTTGTTGTATGTTTGTGTGGTTTGCATCTGATTAGTGTTGTTAACCAAGCACTCTATTTGTATTGCAGACGTACATTTAGTGATATATTATGGCGTTTGTTCTTATTGACTCATCTAATCTAAAACCAGCTCTTGATGGCTTCTGCAAACTACTTGCCGCATTAACTGGACCGCAGGGGCACTTATGTCTATTAGTGTCCCCTGTTGATTCTTTCACCTTGACCTCCTCATCTTGTCGGATTATAGCAAACCTACCCATTGGAAGTCCCATTCTTCAATTTGCATTGCAATGTATTAAGTCTCAAATAGATAGGTGAGTGAACATACCCAACATTGAACGGTGAATGCAAGAAACTTTTGACTTGGTAAATATTGAGACCATTTATGCTGCTAATTCTTGTTCTCTTTCTTTTTTTATTGTTTTAGATACAGAGATAATGGACTGTACTGTGGCATTCTTTTAAGTAAACTTATGATCCACTTAATTGATTGCTCATTTCCTGTGCCAGCATCCTGTTCCATTTTGGCTACTTTAGGGCTTTATCTTCAGTCTGAATTACAAAATTCAGCTGAGCTAAGGCTCAAAGTTAATTTGGATTCTGTTCAACCCTTTGTATCTATAGCAAAGTCAATATTATTTTCTAAGTGTAGTGTATTTGAAGGCAAAGGTGGAGAGTCTATTGCACTAGCCAATAAACAAGCGACTCTTCTAGTGCGAGCCTTCTTGCACGCAGAGGCAAATGTAGGAAATGTGGTGAGTCTTATTGAAAGATATCCTTTCTTGCAGTGCCCATTCTTTTCTGTTCTAATTTCCCATAGTAAATCTCTTTTTCAATTTAAGCTGTTGAGCATCAATGATAAGTGCAACCATCAGTGCCTCCTACCAGGAGTGTTGTACCCATGCACGGATGGAGAGCAGGTTGTTTTGGCAGGAGGATCTTGGCGTTCAGTACCCATACTCCTATTTTCTGTTATGCTGACGGACAGGTTAGATTGTAATGAAAAGGTAACAAGGATTGAAATTCTCATCATTTACAGGAATAGTAGAGTAGTAATGATAATAATTATAACATTTATTTTCTTTTAACAGGAAATACCAGGAGTGGAATTGGTGGACAGAGGGAAAGCTCACCTAGAAGCAGCTGAAATGTTCATTGACAAGGCTGTTTCTTCTGGAATTCGTATAATTGCATGTCAAAAAGTGGTTCACCCTAGTTTATTGTTAAAACTCAAGCGGAAGGGTGTTCTTGTCCTTCAACGTTTAGGAAAGCAAATGACAAATTCTCTAGAAATGATATCAGGTAACAGTAAGAGACATGTAAATGATGACAAGCTGCAATTTAGTGAAGTTTGTGTCAGCTAAAGATTCACCTTTTTTGTTTTAGGAGCAACACGTGTATCAAGCTTAAATACATCTTTCATTGAATCATTGTCAAAACTGAAGGGTTGTTTGGAAAATGTGCAACAGTTTGAAGAAACGGATGGAGAATTTATATTGCTGGAAGGACCATCTAATTCTGGAATATGCTCTCTGCTACTCACTTCTAGAGCACTTGGACAAGGAGCAGAGTTGAAGGTTTGTTTCATTTCAAACAGGGACTTCATTTTGTAACTGCGATACAATGTTCCTCTTTTCAAAACCAAACCACTTTCCTTTTATTGCAGGCAGTTGCCCAACAGGTTTTAGCTGCTTTAAATCAGGTTCTTCAGGATGCAGTAGTACTCCCGGGGGCTGGCTGCACTGAAGTATACCTCTGCTCGTTCTTATCACAGCAGGTAAGTAAACAATATAAACCATTGCTATCCCTGGTTTTCTTTTAACTGCAATTGAAGCAGTCTTTCAATCATGTTTCCTTGTGTAGGTACAACAACATAGAGAAAAAATTTGTGCAAGAGAGAAGTGTTCAGTGCTCCACATAAATACCGTTCTTAAGTGGCTGCAAGAAGGACTTATGCTGAGTTCGGGATTGAATTGTTCAAGTGGTAATTTATCTGTAGATTCAGTGTACCATCATGCTTGGAAGGGATCTGGTGAGATAAATAGCATTGTGGATACTTGTAAGTGTAATTGTGGGCTGATAAGTTCTGTGGATATTAAAAATTCTAATGGTGCTTGGACCATAGTGTCCTTGAATCAGTCAGGACCTGTGTTTAGTGATAGCCATAGTCATGCTCAGGCTCAACCATTCACTCCATCTCCATCTGGTTTGTGTGATGTTGTTCTTGATGTGTGCTCCACAAAAAAAAGTGCGATTGCTATAGCACTGGATGGTTGCATTGCAATATCAAATATCGGGGCCATTGTCACCAAAAGTTAATACTACACAGTTAATTAAAAGCTATTTGAGCAGTCTGCTATTGGTGATCTTCCTTTAGTTTGCACATGAGATCGAAGGTAGGGTTCAATATTAAAACAAGTTTGTAAGGAGAAATTCACTGTATTCTATGCACTGTACATTAATGTCTGTTTATGTGGTTTGGCTTTTGTATAAGTTAAAGTTCAGGCTGCTTAACCTTGATAAACGGTTAGTAAAGGAATGAAAAAATTAAAAACCAAAGTAAATAGAATTTTTTCCCATAAATGTCATATATCTAAAGAAAATCCTATTCTTGAAGTAATACTTAATATTGTTGTGCATTTGTGTGTTGTACTAAACAATGCACAATCTCGTCAAATTTAACTGCTATGTATTTTGACATGTCGCCATAAAAATAAATATTTATTTTCTGTACAGCTCTTTGTTCTATCCCCCTCGGACCGCTGACATATGTATCACAGGCTCGAAATTAGTTCTGCGCCAGGCCAGACACTGTTGGCTGCCTTTCTGTTGGTCAGATGACGGGCAGGTGGTCCCCCTGGGCAAGCGACTGGCTGCTGCTCTGCTCTGGTGAGGTGGCGCTCGTGCTGCTCTGAGTGCTGCTGGCCAGGTGGGGCAGCATGGTGGAGGCCGTGCTCGTGGTCGAGTTCTGAGGGCGACGAAGCAGACACAGCGTTAGTGAGACCGAGCCGAACACCGAGGGGCGGGTGTGGGCAGTGCGCGCCACCTTAGCACCGAACTCACTCGACTCCGGTCTCGCAGCAGCTTGAGCTTCTCGAACTCCCGCAGCTCCTCGGCCGGCAGGGGGCAGTGGAAGTTGTGGAAGTACACGTGCCGCAGCAGGCGCTCGCACGTCCACCTTCGGTCCGGCTCCTTGTCCACACAGCGCTGCGGGAACATGAAGGCGACAACGTGGTGCACTCAGTCATGGGTTCCAAGGTTCGAACACTCGACCTGGACGTCGCGTTTCCCATCGCAGCGTCCCCGTGCCGTTCGGCCGGGCCGGCAAAGGGCTGCGGGCCGGTGGCGTTCCTCCCCGAATGGACACTGACCTTGAGGAAGTCGATGGCCATGGCGCCGGCCTGCTTGGGCAGGCGGTTCTCCAGCGGCTCCACGAAGTCGGGCTGCGGCAGCGTGACGCCCCTGAAGAACTCGTTGGCGCGGAACACCTGCATGTGTCGCGGGGACAGGTCGCCCAGGTTCTTGCGGATGAGGAACAGCTGGTCCACGTCGGAGGCGCCCGGCCACAGGGCCTCCCCGCGGACGAGCTCGGCGAACACGCAGCCTGCGGCAGAGCGGGCAGAGCGCCCTCACTGAGACTCTTTGTTGAGGCAACCGTCGGAGTTGCATTGCAACCAGCCCGCCCACCAAGAGCCGCCCTGCCGCGCCGCACTGCCGAACTTACCCACGGCCCACACGTCCACCGGGGGACCGTACTGGGTGTCGCCGACTAGCAGCTCGGGGGCGCGGTACCACCGGGTGGCCACGTAGTCGGTGTAGTTCTCGCCCGGGCCTTGAAAAAGAAGGGTTTTTTTCCCACAATCACTTTCAACTATTAAACAACAAGGGCGTAACTGCGCGTGCGTGACTCACTCATCATGCGCGCGAAGCCGAAGTCGCAGAGCTTGACGACGCCGTTGGCCGTGAGCAGGATGTTCTCGGGCTTGACGTCCCTGTGGATGCAGCCGTGCTGGTGGCAGTAGGCCACGCCTTGCAGCGTCTGCCAGACCAGGCTCTGCGTCAAGGCCTCGGGGCAGCCCTGCGGACGGGGATCTCACGCTGTCAGTCATACGCACCGCGCCGCCATCGACCGTACGGTGTACGCCGCGCACCAGCGTACAGTTCTCACAAAAAAGTAACAACCTCAACCCGACTCACCTGAGGGTATTTCTGGAGCTCGTCTAGGACGGTGTGGTCGCAGAACTCGAACACGAGGTGCAGCTTTCTTTTCCGTCGGAATACTTCCAGGAGGTTTACTAGGTTCGGGTGCTTGAGGTTCTGGAACGGGGTGACATATTTATTTCAGTTTTCAGGTGACAGGGTAGTGCCTATTAATATTTCCCCCGCCCTCACTTCACAGGGCGCACCGCACACAAGTGCTATCGACCCATGCCCGGGCAGCCCGGGGCTCGACTCGCCTCGCCTCGGCCGCGCGGCGTCCAGTGCAGACCGCGGTGGACGCCGTGCTCCCCGCCATTATACCCCCCCCCCCCCCAGGGCACAGCCCTCCGCACGCCGAGGTGCATGGCGAGGTGACCGGGTGCCCCCACCCCACCCCGCGTCTTGGGCAGCGCCCCTACCCCCTCACCTTGAGCAGTCTTATCTCGCGTAGCGCGATCTTGCGGATCAGGGGGTCCTCCTCGGACTCGACGAACTTCTTGATGGCGACGGTCTGGCCGGTGTCGCGGTGGCGGCACTTGAAGACGACGCCGTAGCTGCCCTCGCCCAGCTTGGCCAGCTTCTCGTAGCGCTCCATGGTGCGCGCCGGAGCGCGCGGCCTGTGGCATCGTCAAGCAAGCCGTCCTTAAGGCAGGCGGCAGCGGCAGGCGGGCGGAACGGAAATGCGGGGCTATATTCGTCCCGGCATTTTCGTATTTCCCGTCGATCGGAACGCAAACAGAACAGACAAACACAGCACAGCCCAATTGGCGTCGGCGTCTTCGCGGCCACGCGGCCACGTGGCCCTCGGGGCTGACGGCTTGCGGCCTTCGGCGGGCTTTGGAACGCCGGCGCCGCGGCAGCACCTCACGCTACGCTGCGCTATCTTTGTTTTGGCCGCGGCCCCTTCCATTTGGCACTGGCCGGCAAAGAAATCCGGGTCACGGCGGTCAGGCGCCTGTCGAGCGGCGGGTAGGCAACCCGCGGGCACGCCAGCATGGCGGTGCAGCCTACCCCGCGATTCGCAGGCGTTCAGGTCTCGCCACCTGCTGCGCGTGCTGCGCCACGCCGCCACACTGCCACACCCCAGACCAGTGATTCTGCGCACGCCATGTTTTCGTGTGCGACGCCGCACACGAATAAGCGCACGCTGAAACACATTGTGTGACTCGGCCGGCCGGGCACAGAAGTGTATCGGCTCGGCAATTTGAGGAGAGCCGCGGGGATGACGACACCAGAATGCTGACGTCACGACCGAGGATGCACCGAGACATGCCGCAGCCACTGACTAATCGATGGGGCGACAGTGAATGATTGACGACCCTGACCGGCCAGCCAGCCAGCCAAATGGCGGCCTAATGAGATTATCGGGATGGCGTGCCGCCGGATTGGCGCGCGTGGTCGCAATGGCTCGCCAAGCAATCTTCGAGTCTGGGAGCCCGGCCGGCCCATCGCCCCTCACCTGCAGACGACGGCGGCCTGCTCGCCCTGCTGCCTGCCCCTCGGGGCTACCCCAGCTCCTGCTGCCCCTGCTGCACCCCCCGCCCCCGCCCCGCCCCTGCCGCGCGACCGCCAAGACGCGACCACAGTCTTCGCCATGCGCATGGGGACTGTCGACGACAGTTTGTTGTCATTTTCCGAGAGGGCGACCCCGGCCAACCCTGGCACGCAGCCCTCTCGGAACGCAGTGGCTGCTCGGGCAACAATAACCTCGAAACCAACGAGCTCTGTTCTACACAGCCGGGAATCTAGGGCAGATTTTGTGCGTTCGTGGGTGATGCCCACTTCACAGACACAGCGATGAAACGACCCTTCTGCATCGCTCGGCTGGCCGGGGTTGGCCACACTGCAGTCCGCAACTATCCACGACTGACCTGCGCGGCAGCAGCGGCAGGTGGTTGCCGAACAGCCACAGGCGTCGCTCAGTCAGCCATTTCTCCATCAAGCCCGTCCCGGAGGTCCCGGAGATGACTCCTCGCGCGGTCCCCAGCCGAGGTGACCGTCGGGGCCATAGATGTGCACTAGCGGGGCGGCCACAGGTGACTGGCTAGCGGGCTAGCGCGCTAGCTGCTGTTTGCGCGAGGCGCGTGTCCACTGGCCGCGTTGCGCCGCGTTGCCAATCAATCCCCTCCACTCGCCCACTCGGTGCGCGACCAGTCCGTCGAGTTGCTGCTCGAGCTCCGCGACGACCCCCGCGACCCTCGTGCGGCGTCGCGTGCCTGGACGGGCGCTCGCGGCTGCGAGTCGACTGGCGGCCGCGTTTCGGCTTGGCGGCTTCGCGACGCCCCCACCACGGGGGCTCCACCACGGGGGCTCCAGCGACGGCCGGGTTCGGCGCGGTGCGGGTAGGGCGGCCCCCCTCGGCTCGGGGCAGGGGGCGGCCCGGGCGCGAGGGTCGCCGCTTATACTGCTGCGCGGTGCTGCTCCCCAAAGCCCCAAACCGACAGCGCCTACGCTTCGGTTCCTACGCGCCCGTCCGCCGGCGACGTTTGTCCAGCGCGCGCCTGTCGTCGCCAAGGGGGACGTCACGGACATGTCACAGACCGACAGCATGGCGGCAATGGCGGCCGAATGCCCGCAGGGGCCGCAGCCAGAGGCGAATCGATGACTCGGCCATTATTCAATGTCGGAGGGGCTGCACGCAACACGCAGCACGCAGCAGGACGCTCGCCTGGACGCGCAGCGCGCAGCACGACGCACGCCGTCACAAGGCACTTCCGGGCAGCGGGAAGGGAAGGCCCAGCCAGGCCCAGCCAGGCCCAGCCAGGCCCAGCCAGGCCCAGCGCGCTCGCGGACCCCAACACACCCACCGGGTCCACGGCCAGGGCCCTGTGCCCCGCGCCCTGCTTTCGGGCTTCGGGCCGCCACTGCGTGTTTATTGATGGGACGCATAGGGCCCTCCGCCTCGCTCGCCCGGTCGCCCCCTCCGACTCGCTAGGGGGCCGCCCACACCGTGCCCACGCCATGCCCACGCCGTGCAGGCTGCAGCGCTTATCTGGATCGGCTCGCGATCAAGTACCCCCTGCGGCCGCGCCCCCAGCGCGGTGGCTGCCTGGCAGGGCTGTTTGCTGACGGATATGACTCCTTGCATTTCCAATTGCCTTGCGATCCAAACTGCGCTGCACCCCGGCGTCACTAGAATCAATACCTAGTCTCTCTCTTATTCTGCTCGTCATCTGTTATGTGGAAGAGTCCCCTCATATTAGGCCAGGCTGCTCGATTTGGTCGATAGGGGAACATACTCTGTTTGACCGCAGGAAATGAGAGAATACGAACCGCCAGAGAGGCGTCGGGTCCCGAAACTGGAGTTTAGGGTTCGAAGCCCGTTCAATCGCGAATGTTTTTACCAAGCTTGCATCGCACAAAAGGGGTTCAAGTTTGCAAAACCAGCCGGCGGCCAGCGTGCCTCTCATAGCCCAGTGGTTCCGCTGCTGGGCAGGGTGACGCAGGCTCCTGACTGCCTAGTATGGGCCCTGAGTGGGAAGGGGGCCGGGGATCGAAATCCGCCTACTGGCAAAGGTGGCAGCCTGGCCTAATATGAGGGGACTCTTCCACATAACAGATGATGTGACCAATGACGGGGCCACTGCGGTTTAACTCCGAGGATGCTCCTGTGATGAGAAGGGGGAACTGTCCGGTGAGCACCACTCCCGCAGGGAAGAGGGCCGGTTCGCCGGGGTGCCCTCTTTAGCAGAAATTTTCTTTATCATGTTAGTTTTATTTCTAAAAACATTTTTGTGTTAAAATTTGTTTGGAAATTATTTCAAGGAGAGCAAAAATGAAAACAAAATAACAAGTTTCGGAATTTTGTTTTGGGAAAAATTGTCTTTTAGTCATAGAGAGTAAGCCGCGGGCGTTTTGATAAAAACAAAGGTTGAACTAAACAAGGCCGGACAAAATTTTGGACCTGTCCAGTGGTGTCCTGGCCCGACCTGGCCATTCGTTGCGGTTCACCAACACAAGCACGCTGAGCGTGGCTGAGCGTCGCTCACCAGAGCAAGGGCTTCCCTCGCAGCGCCACGTGCAGGAAGTCCTTGGCGTGGAACACGTCCGACAGGTTGCGGAAGGTCGTCTTGCCGTTCTTCGCCGCCATGGCGCCTCGCCGCCGCGGCGTGCCGCCTGGCCGCCCCGGGCAGTGGTGCACCGAGCCAACCGAGCCCGCGGATGTCGGACCGGGCGTACTGCGCGGCGTGCTGCCCGCGGCGGTGCTTTCCGAGCGTCGTCTGGCCTGCCGTCTGCCGCGGCCGGGCGGCCGGCGTGCGGGAGGTCTGTGGCAGGCCTGTGCGACCCATGCTGCCCGCCTCGCGATGGCGCGGTGGCGTGATGGCGTGGTCAGTGTACGCCTCCTCCTTGGGCGGCAGGCTGATTCCGAACAGTGCTTCCGTCGCACTGTCTCTCTCTCTCTCTCTCTCGCAGGCACGGGGCGTTCCGCGGGGAAGTGCGAGCGAGACCGAGCCACAGACGGAGGGCTGTTCCAGTCAGACTACTGGCGGGCCCGGGCGGGGAGGGCCCCGCGGGGAGGGAGGTCTGCATCGACCAGACCGCAGCGACTCTAAATTAAACAATATGTGCCTCCGCCTTGGGCCGCCTTGGCCCATTACCGCGCACAGGGACAGAGCCGAGCCCCCTGACACACATCGAGCTCTAATGGCCTGCCGATGTCGGGAGGGTTGTGCTGTCATCGTTACCGCCGTGTCTCGGGGGGAGTGTTGTTCGGACTCGGGCCAAGTCACCATCACCGACCGCCTTAAGGGGGCGGCATGTGCCAGGAACGCGCTGTTATCGCACAGTCTGCCCAGCTCATCCTGCCTGATGAAGGCGACTCCTTCGGACTCCTTGCCGATGAACCAGTGTTTGTCTTGCAGGCACGCCAGGCGCGAGGGGGGCATGTCACACGCCGTCACAAAATGGGTTTTCCTGGAACGCAAGGACATATGGTGGAACCCCATTATTGTGGCATGACAGCACGTCGTTCGGTTTTGTCGTCGAATTTTTTTTTTCGCTTTTTGGTTCTTGTTTATCGGCTTTTTGCTGTCTATGATGCAGTATTGAAATCAGCTCTTACTGGCTACGCACGCGACCACAGGAAAATATGCCGTGTCCCGCGCCGGCGACAGTCCTCGCCACGGCTGCGGTCGTCGCGGTGCTCTGTGGCATTCCGATAATGCACCACAGAACACTGTTAAAAAAATCTGAAAATTCAGACCACTTTTGTCAGACTTAAGGCCTTAAGGTCAGCTTGACCATCCCCACACAAATGTGTCACCCTACATGATCCTTTTCCGTGATTAACGATACTACTGAGTTAGAAGATCAGCCCGTACGACTTTCGAGACAAAAGGTCAGGTCAGAGGGAATGCACTGCGGACACGGCTGACCGTGAGGATGGATTTTCTCGCCCCTGCCCCTGCTACCACGCCCCGCCCCGCCCTTTCCCACCACGCCCCACCCCGCCCCGCCTCGCCACGCCCACGCTATCTTCTCGGTATGCAAAGTGAGGGGTCCAAGGAATGCACTGCACAGCTCAGCATGCAAACTGGTCGTTTATTTCGCACGAACGGAGCACGTCACAGAAACGGTTCCTTTTGAATTATACAGTATAGCCTGGTAGTTTTTAAGCTGTATATATGGAAGAATAATACACAATTCGTAGGGGTGCTCCTTTTTTACAGTGTAAAAATAGTGTTCCCAGTTCCCGAGCACTTACGTACTCCTCCATTTAGAGGCAAAAATAATTAACAGCGAGCAGAAAAGGTTCTCTTTGGTGCGTGCACTTCGACAAGAGGAAGACACTTGACAGCTTCTCGTCGCGAGTCCCATTTAACACTACAGTATTTACAACAGTTCCATTTACCTTCGGTACAACTGAACGTGGACTCTTTGCTAACCCTATTCTGTTTTCGGCCGGCTGGCACAGCGACGAAGTGGCTAGGCCTACGCAAAGGACTACAACGCGGGGACTACTCTCTCTGGGCTAGCGTTCACTACAAGAGGCACTAACTCTACTCGACTACTCTGGTAAAAAGGTCGAGGATGGCGCTTGCGACCGCGGACAACGAGTCCACTTTGTCGCCGTCTTGGCGTTCTCGTCGCCGGAGCGCTGTCGAGGCGTTTCTTCGGGGCGTTCCCGCGGGGCGTTCCCGTCAGTCCGTGAGGCGTTCCCTCGCCGCTGTGGCCTGGTCGCACGGGTCTAGTGCGGCCCCCGGCCGATCAGCTAGAAGCTCTTGTTGTGCCTCGGCGGCCCCGGGCCCTGAGCCTGGCCCTGAGCCTGGCCCTGAGCCTGGCCCTGAGCCTGGCCCTGAGCCTGGCCCTGAGCCTGGCCCTGCCCCGAGGCGGGCGGCGCGCCGTCCTGCGTCTCGGAGCTCGGGGGCTGCGGCGTGGTGGCGGCGGTCGTGGCGGCCGTGGTGGCGGCCGTGGAGCCCTGCGGCCCGCCCTTGATGGTGAAGGTGACGTAGTACCGCTTGTTCTTGGCCAGGTGCTCGGTGGGCAGCGAGATGACCTGCTTCTCCGGGCCGTGGCTCAGCTCCAGCGTGACGGGGGCCGTGCGCGAGGGCCGCGCCGACGCCCCCTCGATGTGCGGCAGGAAGCCAGAGTACAGCCCGTCCTTGGGCATGTAGTGGTGCGACAGCTTGGGGACTGGAGAACGGAATGGGTTAGCTCATGGCAGGGTGGCAGGTACAGTCAGGACGCTTGGCGGTCTCTACGAGGCACCCGCACAGGACAGGCCCACCGCAAGGCGTCTTGACTCGTACCCCCAGCGCAGTTGCAGAGAAGCATTGGGGTTTAAATAACGCAAGATAAGCTAGACAGACGCTGTCTGCACGCAACACCCTCGAATTGGCGCGGCTCGCGTGGCGGGTAAGGTTATCTCGAAGCAGAGCATTTCCATGTTTTAGCTCTTTATCAGCGACAACCCCGCGCTCTGCCACTGTGCCCGCCACCTGTGGCAGGACGCCTGTACTCCGCGCACCCAGCGCCTCTCGCCAGGAGAGGGTTGCGCGCGGGGTATCGCTGAGCCAGCTTCATTCTGCGGTATACTTACTGTAGGCGGCGCAGGGGACGCCGCTGTAGGCGTGCACGGCGTGGTGGCAGCGGTGCGTGGAAGAGGTGCACTGCAGGGGGTTGTCGTGGCTATGGCTCAGGCTCTGGGGCGGCCGCGTCCGCCGCAGCGCTGCCGTCAGCTTTTCCAAATCGTCGGTGGACTGCAGACGGGGGATGACGCGCCTGTTGTCGCTCTGCAGCGCGCGGAGTTGGTCTGGAAGGGCACAAGCACGGTGGCAGGCGTCAGCCAGGAGTGACAATAGAATAGAATAAATTTACAATGAGAGTGGTCCAGGCACAGCGCGATGCCTCCGTCTTACCGTAGAGGTACTTCTCGAAGCTGCGGAAGGTGTAGGTGCCTGCGAACGGCGTGAGCCCCACGCCCATGCCGGCGCGCCGGTAGTCGTCCACCAGCCGCTTGACGAGGACCTGCTCGTTGGCGCGGCCCGCACGGATCTGCAGCCGCTTGAGCTCCAGCAGCTCGTGGAAGATGCGCCGCTCCAGGTGGTACCTGGGGAAAGAACAGCGGTTTATGGCCGTGCACGGACTGCGTGGGGGTGGTGGACCACTGGGTGGGGGCCGCACTCACTTGCGCATGCTGAGCTGCACCGCCCGCGTCACGGACACCTCTTCCGTGTCGCCAGCCGACCCCGGCCTGTCCTTTCGCCGGCGGCATATCCTGGGGACGCGGCCGTCGCCCCGCGTCGGACTGCTGTCGGCGGAAGCCGCGTCTGCGGAGGGCTTCTCCCTGCGCGGCGACGGTTCCAGGCCCGAGTCCACGAGCTGCTCGTTGTTGCGACTCCTGCCCGTGGAGGGCTCCGACCCGGCCTCCTCCTCATCCTCCGCGGCCTCCGCGTCCTCGTCGTCGCCCTTGAGTCGCAGGCTCGCCGCGTCCGCGCCCATCACCGTCTCCACGTCGTCGCCGTTCACCACTCCGCTGACGTCAGCGCCGCCGGTGTCCACGTCGTGATCCTGGACGCGTCCGTGGCGGCTCGGGGCCGCGCGTCTCCCGGTCTCGGCCGCGCCGCCGCGACCTGCAGCACCCCGTCCTCGACCTCGGCCGCGGTCTCGATTGCCTTTGTCGTCTTTGCTGCTGTCCCGCGGCCCCTCCTGCAACACGGAACCCTGCCAGATAACGAACTGCACAAAGCTCTGAATTTCGAACTCCTCGTCAGAAGGGATTGGAAGGAACAAAGCCCTACCTTTGACGACACCCTGATGCCCCCGCGCCCCCGACGCTCCTTGCTGCGCGTCGTGGCGTCCGAGGCCGTGGTCTGCGGCACCTTGCGCTTGCTGTTCGACGCCGCCTTCGCGGCCGCCTTCGAGTCCGCCCTGGCGGCTGCCGGCTGCTCCCCAACCCGATGCACCGACTCCCCATCTTCCGCTTCCCCGGCCGCGTCGGCCGAACGTGAGAGATCCGTTGGCCGGCCGTGGAGGCCTTCCTGCTGGCCCTGCTCGTCGTCGGCGGCCTCGTGGTCAGTGCTCTCCTGGCTGTCCTGCAGTTGGCGAGGGCTGTTTTCGGAAGACGCTGTCACACTGTTCTCGCTGGCCTCGACCTCGTCGCTCTTGGACTTGTCCTCGGACGAGGCCTTCCCGCTGTCCGATGTCGCCGGCGGTGCCTCCACCGCCCCCTCGGCATCCTCGGCGTCCTCGCGCGGCGGAAGCGGCTCAGCCTGCTGGAGCGGAGCCTCCACGCGTTTCACCTGACAGGTAGACCAATTAGCTTCGTATCCCACCATGCAATTATTCATCACCGAGAAAGTGTGTACCTCGTGACCGCCGTCCTCCTGGTGCACCATGGCGGTCACCACGGTGGTCCTGGGCCTGCCTCCCTTTGCGTCGTGCTCCTCCGGCGACTCGGGCTCGCCGTCCTGCGGCATGCCGTTTGCCCCTTCGGCCTCATGGTGGACGTGCTCCGCGCTTTCGCCGTGCCCCTGTGGGTGGACGTGCTCGGTCCGCAGCGTCACGGTGGTCGTCACGGAGGACGCCGTCCTGGTGTCCGCCCCTTCCGCCTTGTCGTCGCCGGCGGGTTTCTTGGTTCTGCTCTCCGTCTTGGTTGTCTTGCCGGCGGGCGGCGCTGCCTCTGCCGGCCTGTCCTCGCTGCCGGCCGCGGTGCTGCTGTCGTCGTCCTTGTGCTCATGGTGCCGGTCGCGGCTCGACTTGGACCGTGATCTGGAGCGGCAAGCAGCGAGGGAGCCGCAGACTTACAACTTACAACCAATGTGCGCGATTGGCTAAAGAAACGACGGCGTGCTGATCACAGCGTGCTTACCTGCTGCGTTCACGGTCGCTGTCATCACTGCCGTCCAGCTCGGAGGTGGACGTCCTGGCCACGGCCTTGTACGTGACGCGCTTCTTGGGGGCGGACCCGGTCTTCCTGGTCGTTCCTCCCTCCTTGGCGGCGTCCTCCGGGACGTCGTCCTTGGTGCGGAGCCGCGAGCGCTCGCGCTTCCTGTTCCCCTGTTCGGGGTCGCCGTCGACGGCGTGGCGCCCGGACTCGCTGAACCTGGGCGCAGCAGGGGAACGGGACGTGATGCGCTGCGCTGCTCTTGCATGGGCTTCCTCATCTGATCGACCCAGCGCCAGCGGCGGCACGGTGGCGGCGAGGCGGCGGCCTGGAGCCCCGCGAGCAGCACGCCCGCCCTAACCTACATACCGCCCCCTCCGTGCCCCGCCGTGCCCCTCGTTGCCCCTCCCCCTGCCTGCACTCCCTGCACATCTGCCAGTCAGCGTCAGGCTGAAGTGTCTGTGCGCCACGGCCCACCGGCCACGCAGGCCACTGCGAAACTCACCCGGCCCTGCGCACGCCGTCGTCCTCGCTGGCCGCCCTGGCGCTGCTCCTGGCTCTGCCACTGGCCCTGCCACTGGTGCGGCGGTCGCGCGCCGCCCTGCCGCTGTCCGAGTCCTCCGAGTCCTCCGACGGCGACCTGGACGCGGCCGACGGCACGCGGCGTGAGTCCCCCGACAGGGAGCGGCGCTTGTCCTCCTTCTCCCTCTCCCGCCAGCGCAGGATATCACTGCTGCTGCAGAGGGAAGGCGGCGTCAGAATAGAATTGAATTCTTGGGTTCACTTTCAAAAGGACTAGAGAGTTCCGCTACACGCACTACTTAGCTACGAGAAGTACTGCATACAGCAAAACATTCTACAGTGAACCAACATCAAATTCCATCTAGTATACCATTAATAATCGTATGACAAAACATGTCATCGAATCTCAGATTATTTAGCTCAAGATAGGCGTGAACGGTGTGTCACTGTTGCCCCCCGCACTGCCCGCGCTGCGTCGTGTACAGTGTACTGTACTTGCCCGCCTCTGTCGTGCTTGCGGTTCTTTTTCCGACGCCCCCTGCCGCTCCCCGACACCCTGGGCCCGTGGTGGCCGTGAAGGTCGTGGTGCTGGTCCTCGTCGCTGGAGGCGTCTCCCCGGCCGGCGTGCCCGGCGTGCCGGCACAGCACCACGCCGCCGTTGACGTCGATGTGCTCCACGTGGCGGATGGCCACGTCGTCGTTGAGCCGCACCTGCCGCACAGTCGCACAGTCGGCACTCTCACACCAAAAACGCGCGTCGATACCCCGCGCCCCAGAGAGCCCTGCAGAGGGTCGATACTCCGCGGGGGCGCGGGCCTCCGGGCGCGGCTCTCTGGGCGCGGCGCGGTGCTCACCTGGAACGTCCTTGTCTCGGTGGCGGCCGGCAAGAAGCTGGCGGGGCTGTTGCCCACCGACCTGTTCCGCGCCGCCTGGGCAGTCACGTCGGGGGAGTTGAGGCCGGCGGGCTCGGATATTGTCAGTCTGGAAAAAAATTACCGTCAGCTCATTCAAAAAAAAGTGGGGCTCGGAACAAAGTATACTTGACCTAGCACTACCCCTTTGTACTCGACTGTCCTAACACCCTCTGCGCCACGACTCACCGATCGCTGCCCTGGCCCTGGCCGCCGCGCAGCTGCGCCGTGCGCTCCGTCAGCCTGTTGGCGGGGACGCCGCCGTGCAGCTGCAGGTACTTGGCCACGCCGCGGTTGCCGCGGTGCAGCGCCGCGTCCAAGGGCGTCAGCAGCTGCTGCCTCGGCGAGCGCATCACGGGGCTGAGCAGCGCGTGGCAGTCCAGCAGCACCTGCAACCGAGAACGCGATCCCGGGCTCAAGCACCGGCAGCAGGTGGCTGGCTACTCTCTGCCGCCTCGGCCAGGGCCCCGACCTTGCACATCTCGACGTTGTTGTGCAGCGCGGCGATGTGCAGCGGGCAGCGGCCGTCGTTGTTGGGCGCGTTGACGGCGTCGGCGCGCTGCTGCAGCAGCCACAGCACCAGGTCGCGGCGCCCCGACTGCACGGCGTCGTGCAGAGGGAAGTCCCCCCGGACGTTGCGCAGCCACAGGTTGGCGCCGTGGGCCGCCAGGATGCGCAGCGTCTCCAGCTGCCCCTTGGCCGCGCCGCAGTGGCTCGCGCTGCAGCACAACGCGAACAGCTCGTCAGGGAGCCCGGCACCCTCTCACCATGCTCTCACACTGCACCGCCACCGCCAGCGCCAACGACACTCACGTCCTGCCCTTGCGGTCCTGGCGGTTGGGCTCCGCGCCGTGCGCCAGCAACACGCGCGTGCAATCCGCGTGGCCCAGCGTCACGGCGTAGAACAGCGCCGTGCAGCCGTTGGAGTCGATGACGTCCACGTCGGCGCCGCACAGCCCCACCAGCGTCTCCACGCAGTCCGTGTGTCCGCGGCTCGCCGCGCAGTGCAGCGCTAAGACGAGGACAAACATTGAGCGCTCTGGGACACTGTTTGGTCGCATCCGTACTGTCCGTCAGTGAAGGAGCTTACCAGTGAGCCCATCCTTGTCGTCAGCTTCCACATTGGCGCCCGCGTTGACCAGGGCCAGGATCGCGTCCGCCGACCCTAGAGACAGAACGAGACTGCGTGAAGCCTAGAGTTGCGCTCGCAAACAGCAAAGAAAAACCAACAATTTCTTAAATTTAAAATCTTGTCTGCGGGCATTTTTGTTTATTTCGAGAAGTTTGCCTCCTTCTGATGACACTGTCCCGTGTAGTGGTCAGGTCGTCGCGTGCCGACGCGAGCGACGCGAGGGAGACTTGAACGCCGGGAGAGGGTGGAGAAGGGGAGCGTGGCGACTCATTTAGAGATGTCGGCTGTCGGTACTGCAGCGGACGAGTGGTAAATAATCGATATAGGGCAACCCACACACGCCAGGCGCCGAGTCTCTCTCCTCCATGACGACCGGGGCGACCGGGTGGACGGGAAACGAGCCGAACGATGAGGAACGACGGCCGCTGCCGGAAATTGGAGTGCGGCGTGACCGACTAGGTTGACCGCAAGCACCGCAAGCCGCAAAAAGGGGAGGGGCCATGTCCCGGCAGGCAGTCCTCAAATAGACTTCGACCGTTCTCAAAAAGAGCGCGAATCAAGCTTGCGGTTCCGATCGGTTCTTCATGGTAAAAGTCAAGGTTTTGCTACAACGAAGTGCTTTATTTGTCGACACTGTAGAGTTGTTTGTGTTCACCTGACCTGCACTCTGCGCGCAGTGCCACGCAGTGCCTACTGTGCATGGTGGCGCCATTCGCCGCCCCATAGAAACGGGCGAGTGAAATGAAAATGATGGAAATGATGGCCAGTCCGAACCGCAATCAGCTTATCTCCCCCAAGGCCTGGAAGGCGTCGACCCGATGACGCCGTGGCGTGACGGCGTGAGGGCGGCCGGGCCGTGAGCCGGGCGGCGCCAGACGAGCCCAATGCAGGCGATAAGGGAGTGTGTCAAGGACTGCCTCACCGCGGGGGCCTCGCCAGCCGGGGCCTCGCCAACCTGGGCCTCGCCACCGTGTCCGAGCAATCGATACCCTGCAAATCTGACCGAGCGAGACTGACCACGGGCAAGACGGCGAGGTGCTGCCTGTTGGAGCGGGGCAGGGCAGCCCCGCCCTGCGCTGCTCTAAAAGTAGGCCGGCGCTGTTGAATCGCTGCCCGCCACGAAGCTGTGTACTAGTACGTCTCCTGGTTTCGGTGCATTGCGCCACTTTTACTCATCGATTTGGTTGTTGTTGTTGTTGTTGTTGTTGTGTGTCGTAAATGCAACTTATACATAGGGTATGCATCTGTGTCAGCAGCTAGTTGTTTTCTCGGCTGAGCTCGACTCGACGGCCGTTCCGTTCCGATGGGGGAAGGAGCGAATGCCTTGCAAATTCCGCCTTGTTTGCGTTCTCAGTACTACGCCCTCGGGTGGCGTGCCCACTCCAACACACTCTAACACACTCGCGCGCGTTTGCTCGCTGCGCGGGGTGGGGCCGGGGCACACGCCATGGCACTCCCCGCCTGGCAGGCCGGCAGGTCGGAACTCCCCTGAGTCACAACCTTGAGTGAAAGCGTGGTGGGCCTTGCGAGGGCGTGGCGACCCGCGGCCAACGCAACGGCGTGAATCAACGATCCCCCCTCCCCTTTCCCCTTCCCCTCTCGCGCGCTTTTTCGGTGGCCTCCAAGGCCTAATCTCCATCCGGCACCTCGGCAGCTCTGGGGGGCAGGCCGTGGCGCCGAGACGGGGCCCTATTCCGGTGGTCAGGGCCACGCGCCGGGCGCCCCGGTCGTAACCCCGACTTGCCGGACTCCGTCGCCATCCACGTCGACATCCGGCTCCGCAGGCGAAGCAGGGCGTGGCCGTAGTCCGTCCCTTCTTGCAGGCGCGGCAGAGCGCCCGCCAGACGTGGGGTAGGCAAGCCCGCAACACCCGTCACTGCGCTGGGTTGCCTACCTCGCGCATTGCAGGCGGCAGGCTGGGCCACGCGGGGTAAAACCACAGCACAGTTCACTGCTCACCTGCACTAGCGGCCCACAAGATGGGCTGCCTGCCGTCCTGGTCGTGCACGCCGACGGGAGCCCCGGCGGCGAGCAGCGCCCTCAGCACGGCCAGCCCCGCGCCCCTGTCCAGCACGGCGCCCAGCCCCAGGTCGGCGCCTTGCGGGCCGCACAGCTGCGCCGCGTAGTGCAGCGGGTAGCCGCCGTGCAGGTCGGGCGTGGAGGCACGGGCACCGCCACCCAGGATCAGCTCCAGAGCCGCCGCCTCGCCGCACACTGTAAGGGGAAAAGAGATCAGTCAGACCAGTCACAGAAGAAAAGTTTAAAAGAAAGCGCTGATGGCCGAAACCAATTTCTCTCGAAATAATTTCCGAGCCACATTGCTGTGTGGCCCGGGGTCACCTGCGGTCAGCACCGCGTTGCGTTGCGGCGGCGTGCCCAAGGTCAACCCTCACGGCCCGTCGCCCGGCCCGCCAACCTTGGAATCAATAATTGAACAGCGCCCACGGCGTCACCCCCGTCCCCGTCGAAACCCTCCTCCACCATCAGTCTGTCCAGGCCGCTTAAGGGCGGCCATTACTTCATGTTTGTTTTGCCACTCCCACCGAATAATAACAATAATAATTGTGGCACCCCGCGGCGGCCAGACCGCTCAGTGGAGCAACCCACTTTCTTTTCAAGAGGGCGACGGCACGGCGGCACGGCGGCGTCGCGTGAAGCGGGCCTGAATGCGTGCCGCGCCGCCGCGCCGCCGCGCCCCGGTCTTGGCTGCACTGAGAATGGCGTCGTGATGAGCCCATCAGTTCGGCTCGGCAGGTTGGCAGCGCCGATGGCACGCGATCCCGCGCACAATGCAGCACTTACCGACACTGAGAGGCCCCACCCGCCCCACCCCTCGGCCGTCGCCGGGCCAGAGGGCCAAAATACGTGGTCCCTACCCCAAGCACCCCCTTTCTGCCGTCCCCAGCCCACCGTACCCGTGGCCCAGTGCACGACGGAGTGCTTCTCGTTGTCCAGGGCGTCCACGTCGGCTCCCCGGGCCAGCAGGTAGCGGACCAGCGCCCTGTTGCCCGCGATGACGGCGAGCGTGAGCGTGCAGTAGCCGTCCTGGTCCTTGGCATCCAGCATGTGCGGCGCCACCTGTAGAATTGGGGCGGCCGAGGCGGGCCCCGCCTGCTCGGCGCAGTAGTGCAGTGCCGTCTTGCCTGTGCGGTCACGCTCCAGCGCCAGGTTCGGCTGTGGCCAAACATAAAAAAATCAATTAAAGAAGGATTTTTGTTTTGTTGTGAAACGCAGCCAAACGCTCGACCCCACGCTTACCTTTGACTGCAGCATAGCGCGCACGTCAAGCTCACGGCCCTGTTGGCACGCGTACATCAGTGGCGTGGCACCCTCCTCTCCCGAGCTGACCGACGTCGAGTCCTGCTCGTCCTGGCGAGGCGCGGGTCGTGGCGCTGGTGTTGGCGTGGACTCTGCGCGGTGGCGGGCGTGGCCGTGGCCGCGGTGGCTGCGGTGGCCGCGATGGCCGCTGGCGTTGACCGGGCCCGGTGCTCTGGGATTGACGGCCACCTGCGCCGAGCTCATGGCGCACCCCGTGGTCCCGGACACGGTCCCGTCACAGCCAGTCACACGGCTGCTTCTGCAACAGACGACCCCCCGACGTCAGGGACAAGCTCAACTAGGCCAAAGACTTGGCGTGGACATTAGAAAGAAGCAGCGGGAACCCCGAAGAAGGACGACAAGAGCCGATCCATCACGAACCTTGCCGGCCGCCAAGGCCCTCTCCGTGATCCATCTCCCGGACGTGGCGGGGCCTTGGGCACTGCCTCGGGGCTCGGCCGAGACACGCAGCAGGTGTCCGACGAGGACGGCCGTCGCCATCCTGGCCGGCCAAGGAGGTGCCGCTGACGGTTGAGCGGGGAACATGGGCGCAACGAGGCGAGGCTTTCACAATCAATACGCTGGTCGCGCTGCAGCACCACTGCTCCCATTTAATCGGCAAGCAGGCTTCCGGCGTTCCGGCGTTCCAGCCCGCGCACTCGCTTTGTGCGGCCGGGCCCGCCAACCCCGTCAGCCCCGCCAGCCCCGCCGGCCCACAACCCACAGCCAGTGGGGTCGCTCGGCCTCACCCTCGCCGCGCTGCGTTGCCTTGCGTTGCCTTGCTAGCGTTGGCGCCGGATAATCCAGGCCCGTCCAACTTTCCAACCCCTTCCAGCGCCCCGCTACTTCAACGGCGCGGTTCCCGCCGTAAACCTGGCCGCCATAAAGCAAATTATTTTCGACCGCCGCAACTGCGCTCGCAGCCCGCCTGGCTTCACCGCCAGCCGCACTCCCAGCCCGTCCAGCCCCGCCACGCCACGCCCCGCCGCGCCGAGGTGTTACATTGGCGGCACTAATTGCCGTGCAGGCGGTGGGGTGGTGCGTGGACGGCGGGGCGGGGTGGCGCCGCTCCCGATGAGCGACAAGCAGCCCAGTTACGGCCGGACCGCCATTACCGCCGTGACCTGGTTGTGACCCTCCCTCTTATCAGGCGCTGCACCTCGCCGCCGGCCACTAGCCTCGCCCCGAGTGCAGTCGAGGGCGGCGCGGCTTCGGGCTCCCCGACGTCCCTCCTCCCCGCCGCCTCCGTGTGTTTGCCAGAAAGCCAAATGAATTAAGCAGTCCCCGCATCAGATCCGAGCGCAGGGTTACCAACCGCAACTATCCGCTGCGGCCGGCCCGCTGTTGCCAACATATGACTCCGACATGCAGGGCTGCAGGGCATGCCAGCGCCAGCTCGATAGCGGTAGAGGGCCGCCGCAGCCCCTTCCCGCGTTGCCCCGCGGTGCCCCGCGGTGCGTGCATGTTCTCCATTCTGGCCGCGCGATGCGCGATTGGTTTCGGCCCAAGCCACGGAGTCCCGATTCATTCCCGACGTCGTGTCCGTCCGCCTCGCGGGGCGCGGGGCGTGGAGTCCGGAGTGGAAGCGCGTCTGTCCCACCCCCAACTGCCGCCCTCGAGCTGCGCCGCCGCCGAGCCGCGAATCCAATGTGCCGAAGCGAGGACGAGTGGCCACTGCACCCGCCCCGCCCCACAATGGGAATCGGTGCCGCGGCCGGCCTGGCGGGCCTGGCTGGACTGCAGGGCAGCGCGGTAGCGCCATGGCGGCATGCTGTTTGTAGTGCGCAACGGCCGACGGGGTCGAGCATTACGGCCATCGCCTTGACCCACTTGGACACGCGAGGCCCGCGGGGGTGCGCGCAGAGAGGCCGGCGGGGTGGGTACTCGCTCAAAGCACACCCCGCCACGACCCGCAAGGGCTCGCGGGCGAAGCATTCAGTCTCATGACTTATTCCCAAAGCGGCTTTGTAGCTCTATCTCACTCGTGCTCCTCTGAAACCTACTGTGAGTCTGAAAGAGGCACACAAGCCTGGCGCCGCCCGGCACACTGAATTCGAGAGGTAATTTTTGTCGCTCTGTGTCCCTCGTGCTCGTGGGAACGCGAGAGGGACAGGAGCGACGAAACGGACTCTCGGAATCAGTCTCCAGAGTGCATGGCGTTGGACTTGGAGGCCCGCTTGAAACCGCTTCGGGACGAAGACTGCCGTGCATCCTACAACGCTCCTCCGTCACCCAAACGCTGCGTGAAACGGTGCGACGCGTTCCGACCCTTGCCCTCGCATGCCTTCGCACGACGCCGGCCGATGCCCTTTGCACATTACACATATTCTGAACGGCGTGAATTTCGGACAATCCCGTATCATTACCTTTGGGTTTGCCCCGTCAGCGCGTGTTTCAGAGCCCCCGATACCGCAGCCGAGGACTGCAGGGCGCAGGCGTCTTGCACGCGCACCAGTTTGAATCCCCGCCGGTCGGTCCGTTCCGCCGCGGCCGGCTGATTTTGGCGCGCATTTGGCGTGGCGGTGGGGTGTCGCTGCGCGCTGCCAGCCTCAGTCGCCGCCGCGCCGGCACAGTGCGTAGCTGGGCCGTGCTGCGTGCTACCGGACTTTTCGCGTCGCGTTTGCTCAAGACTCAAGATTCCTCCTCCGGCACATTGTGCGTTGCTGGGCCGTGCTACGTGTTACCGGACAGTCCGCGTCGTTCTCGTCCTCGTCCGCGTCGTTCGCTCTCCGCGTCGTCCGGGTCGTCCGGGTCGCGTGTGTTGTGCTCAAGACTCAAGATTCCTAGCCGTCGTTCTTCACTACAAGTCATCCACCGCGAAACAGGTAAGGAATGTTAGAAAGTGAAGTGTTAGTGTAGAATGAGAAGTCGAGCATTGGCCGGTGCGTGTTTAGTTTCGAGCAGCCCGAGCCCCGCGCCCCGCGCTGCCCTTGTCGTGCGACTGGTGCTAACCGTCAAAAATGCGTCCCTCTCTCTCGCACTCGCTCAGTTCCATACGGAGGGCTGATCTCGCGGCCTGCTCCCGTGCTTCTGCCGCTGCGCGTCTGGAGTCTCACTCGCGCCAAAACACTGGCCGGCCACCCTGTTCCATTTGACCAGTCTGAAGCCCCTACGAGTTGTCTTTTTCATTATTGTTGTTTTTTGCTGGTACATTCTGTCCCTCGTTCGCTTTTAGTTGACGGGCCAGTTTTGATTCAGCAGCTTTGAGATAGATTTTGTTTTTCATTTAAAACTTTTGGGTAGTGACTTTGTTTTATGTCGAGTCCATTGATTGATAGGATTGTCTTCTTTATGTTTGGTTCACAGAAGCAGTCTTCGGAGGCGTCAAGATGTATGCAGAGTGCGTGTGTTCCTCCAAACTATGTTCGGAATGAGTGGAGGATCCTCATTGTTATTGTTGTTCAGAATGTGCGGAGGAGCCTCATTGTTCTTGTTGAGTGTTCGCTTGTGTTCCCTGTTTCTCTGGGTTTGTGTTCTCCGTACTTCCTTATTCCTTACTACTCGAGTACACTTGCACACGCTTGTGTTTCCTGTTTCCCTGGGTTTGTGTTCTCTGTCCTTCCTTATTCCTTACTACTCGAGTACACTTGCACACTTGAAGTCGCTGTACCTTCAACATTCCATTCACATGCCTACATATTTCGGCCGCCGTCCCGTACACATTTCGCCACATGCTCCATTCACACACTCCTCCATATTTCACGCCGGATCCGGCACACAGTTCCCTAAATTTTTTATTCACACACTCCTACTTAGTTTACGTCGTTTCCTCTTCGCACTTTCCGACTTATTCCGAACTTCGCGAAACGGCCGGAAACGGCCGACTAGACTACTTCCGGGAACTTCGCCAACGCCTGCAGCATCATTCCTGTGTAATGTGGTTCCTGCTCACTTCTCGACTCAGCGGGTAAATATTTTGTGCCCTCTATCTGTGGCTTGCCTTTTCCTTCGTTTAATTACTTTTTGGTTCCGCCAGGCTAGAACATTGGAACATCCTTCCCCTCTCTGAGCGACGCTGCCACTGCGCCACACATCTCAAACGCCGGAACAATCGCTGCCGTCGCCACCGCCCCCCCGACCGTGGAAGTGGAGGAACATCCCGGCTTGCGCTTTGAACTTCGCGATCGGCCGCCGCATCATTCCTGTGCAATGTAGTACCTGCTGACTTCTCGACTCGAGGTAAATATTTTGTCCCCTGTACGTTGCGTTTTTTCTTCGTTTAATTCCTTTTTGGTTACCAGGCTAAGGCGGCCTTCGCCGCCACCGACCGCGGGCTGGGGACGCAGCGGCTGTGGTCCAACCGTCGAAACCGTTCCGGGTATCGAAAGTTGCCTGGTCGTCGTGCCCGACCGGATATCCGTAAAGGATATTTCCTGGTTGGGTGAGACGTTCCAGACAGAAAGCCGATACCTGGACGAAAGCCGACATCCTGGACTGCGACCGCGCCCCTGGCCCCGCCTTCGCCGCCACCACCTCTGCAACCGCGGGCTGGGGTCGCAGCGGCTGTGGTCCAACCGTCGAAACCGTTCCGGGTATCGAAAGTTGCCTGGTCGTCGTGCCCGACCGGATATCCGTAAAGGATATTTCCTGGTTGGGTGAGACGTTCCAGACAGAAAGCCGATACCCGGACGAAAGCCGACATCCTGGACTGCGACCGCGCCCCTGGCCCCGCCTTCGCCGCCACCACCTCTGCAACCGCGGGCTGGGGACGCAGCGGCTGTGGTCCAACCGTCGAAACCGTTCCGGGTATCGAAAGTTGCCTGGTCGTCGTGCCCGACCGGATATCCGTAAAGGATATTTCCTGGTTGGGTGAGACGTTCCAGACAGAAAGCCGATACCCGGACGAAAGCCGACATCCTGGACTGCGACCGCGCCCCTGGCCCCGCCTCATCTCCAGGCTCGCCGTCCGTCTCCGGCGGGCCTGCAACACTGGTGTAAGTCACGGCTCGGTAAGCCCCCTTTTTTTACTTTCTGTGTTGTGTTTTGTGCGGGGTTGTGTTGTGCGTGGGGTTTTATGTTGTGTTGCTCGTGGGGCTTTTGGTGGGAGATTACTGTCTAATCGGTGGCCGGCCGCCCTGTCTTTTCTTCTGTTACAGGATGAGGAGGGGGAAGAAAGACCTCGCATGCTTGTCCCACGCTCGGTCTTTCCTCCATGCCAGACGCGTCCGGGCCTCGCGGTCCACGTCCTCCTCGGGGACTGCCGTGCGATTCCCTACCCTGGGGAACAAAGTCAATTTCTCGTCAAAATGGTCTCAAAATACTTTCTTACTGATTTATTTTGAAATCGTTTTGGTGGACTTTGATTTTTTTCCCTGGGTAGTGATATCGCGTGTCAGTTGCTAAAGTCTGGACACACCAGTCTCGACTCTTGTAGCACAAAGGCACTTGGTTGTAATTTTTGCTCTATGGTTTTTTTTTACGTACATATCATGTACACAACATTGGTAGTCCAGTTTCGCCTATTGCTATGAATGTGCCACTTGAGTCGAGGGGTGTTAGTTAAGTTGTTTGTAACTAATCCATTAAAAGTTTTTTTTCTTTCTTAGCACAACCTGTATATGTGATAAAAGGTTTCCCTTTGTTGCTAGCATTTGTTCCTATTTAAATAAATTTGAGTCCTACCTTGCACCCAGATGATAAAGACATTTTCGTAACGTGATTCTGTTTTGTTGATATTATTGAACGGATGCTTTTATCTTGTTCTGTTCTGCGAGATTTTGTAAACGGTGGTTCAAATAGAAAAATAAATATTGTCCCTCAAACTGCCTTTCATTTCAATTTTGACTCCTCTCGTGGCTCTTTGAAATGTGCTTGAACATTATAAACTTGGTCTTGCACTGTACACCAATGACTGATCTGAAGTAAAACTACTGAGTTAGTATCTGACACTCTTGAGATTTAGTTTCACGATAACTCACTTATTGTCATCAAACAATTGGATTTCAGAAATAGTTCAATTCTGGTACAAAACTTTGGCATAGCAACCGAAGGGCCATCTCGTAATTTTGTCTCCATTGAAATATTCTAACTTTGTCGCAGGTGAGGCGGAATAGTGAACTCCTGCACAATGTTCATGGAAGATTTTTTTTTTAAAATTCCCTGAACGCTTTTCTTCTTTTTGCACGCATCTAATTGTTTTGTTGGACAACGTTTTGATGTTTTGATTAACAAATCCATTGGTGTATTCATATTTGTTGTTTCGTGATTGAAACTCTGTTCCAAAACTAATACACATTTGTTTTGGTATACGTTTACTGTGATTTTAATAAAACTTTAACTCTCTTTTCAAGCAAAAAATTAAATAAATTGATCAGTTACCAATGAAAGAAAGCACTAAAAGAAGCCCGCTCTAATAGGATGACAATTTATTTTTTTAATTTTAAATAGCAGTTTTCTGGTACAATAAATGTTACTTCCGAAGAGGCCCTTCTACAGCTCTTTCACAGTGCACACAAGTATTAGACGTTGTCGAACCAACACGAGTTTAGAGCTCGCACTCATGGGCCAGCATAGGCCTTTCTTACCTTTTTCTGGTGTTGATTCCACTATTTCATTTTAAAAAAAAGTTTTTGGAGGGTGAAAAGGCGTGGGGACAGAGGAGGAGAGGGAGTTAGTAGCGTTTGGCTCTGCTTTGTCTCCCACGTGCTAAAACGGCGCGCCCTTCGCTCTCTCCCGCACTGAAAACCCATTGGCTCATTACTTTCCGCTTCCTTCCAAGGCCGGGGTGAACTCGGCTTTCACACCTCGGCTGCACCCCAGGACTGTATCGCCAGGCCCAGCAGCGCCAGCCAGGGCGCGCCTGCGATTCTGTTTGGCCCTCGAGGCTATTGATCCGGGCATTACGCCTCACACCTTCCGCACCTCGCCCTGCACAAGCTAGGTCAGCCTGCTGAAAGCCCTGGCGTAGGTTTAATCCCAATGTAGGACGTCCTGTTTTGGCCACTACGTTGTAGGCAAACGTCTCAAAGGGTCCAAAGGGGCAGCTTGGTGGGCGAGCGCATCACACCGATTTCTTACGTGGCCGGTAGCCTGTGGCGCCTGGCGGGTAGGCTAGGGATCGGCCCCGCAGCACACTGGTGCGAGGAGGGTGGCCTACCCTGCTCCTGCGATAATTCCCTCGCGTTGCTTTCGGGGTGGTTTAGAGGGTGTATCTGTCGCGCTTGGGGGTGACAGTGACGGACTTAGCTTGGCCTAGAGCCTGTCCCTGATCACTCGCTGCTCGGCCCGGGCGGCCACAGGGGCGAGGTAGGCCACCGTCTCCGTAGCGGTGCGTTGCGAACCTGTTTGCTGGCCTACCTGCCAGGCGCTACAGGGACGCTGCTCGCATCTTTAAAACGGGTTATTGGCGAAGAGGCCGTGGGGCCGGGGCGTCAGCGGTGCCCTTTCTCAGGGAGTCCTTCGCCCTTGCCCGCAGTCGACGGGGTGAGGACGACCGTGAGGAGACAACCCTTTCGCGGCGTCGACTTGACACGTGGTGCGTGGCCGCCGCGCCGCACCGCGCCTCCCCAGGTCGCGTGGGGCCGCCTTGGCGTGATGGGCGGCTATGGAAGCGTTTTTCGCACTGGCACGATTCCAGGGCGACGCCGCGGGGCGCGGCTGGGCCGCACTGGAATGTCCTCAGGAAAGCAGCACGCGCCGCTGCCGTCTGTGGCGGTCTGTCCTCAAGCTGTGCCTGCGGCAGACCCCCCCCCCCCCCCCCCGGCCTCTTGTCTCTGCCGGGGACCGTCTCAAACCTTCATGTACCTGTTGCGACCGGAAGGGCCATCAGACATTACGGTTTCCTCGGCCGGCAGCAGGATCGCCCCAGCAGCCCCACCCGACTCGCTGCCGCCCGCACCGCGCTGCGCGGCAGCAACCGGCCGGCAACCGGCAGACGCATCACGGTCGTGGCAGACGAGACTACTCGCCAGTTGCAGAACATTGAAGTCTGTAGTGCACTGTACCTGTCGGGAAGTCATTGCTCGGCGGCTCGGCCAGCGTCCGCGCTGGCGACTAGGGGCGCCGCGGTGACCCTCGCGACGCGGTGCCTCTCGGCCGCGGAGCCGCGGGCGTCCCCATGCCGGCAATGCCCTGGCGGCCTGGCCCGGCCGTCGCAGTGACTGGGAGTCCCGCCTTGGGGAGATGAGACAGTTCAGCGGAGGCCGTGGAGGAGCCAGGCCAATGCGGGCCTCCAGCGCGACGCCGGGTCCCGGGTCGGCGGGGCCAGTGGGGCCAGCACGCGGAGGGAGCCGCAGTGCGGCGAAGCACGTCGCGACGGGGGCGGTCGGCGGGGGGCGTAGCACCGCGTAGCACCCAGTGGGGCACCGCGGGAAGCCGCCACGGAACTGGTAGCGAGCACGCCGCCGAGCGCGCCGCCACCCCCACGGCCGCGCTCCGTCGCGCCGCTCGTCACCCCTGGAAACACCAGTCACGTGGCCTGCCCCGACCTCCTGGCCGCTCCGCCGCCCCTCCCCTCGCCCACCACCCCTTCCTGCCGCAGAGTGTCCAGGGCCGGCCGTTCGATCAGCTGATGCGGTGGCGGTGTCTATGCTCACGCTTTGACGCTTGCACCGCCCAAGAAGCTGCATCTCCACGACAACAAGGCGACTGGCATTTGAGACGAACAAGATAGAAAAAGCAACTCTGAAACACTTGTAGTGAGAGATAGTGGCCTTATCTTGTTCCCTTACTCTAGGAGAAAAACCTCACAGTTTCTGGTTAAGATCGTATCTCTGTCGTTGTTCTCCTTTTGCCATATCGATGTACGAAGCTCAGTTTCACTCTCGACCGAAGTCGGCACTTCGTCTCACGTCCAACAACCCCTACCACTGCAATGGAAAGAGACCGTGTCCGTTTCGCGACACGATTTAAAACCTTTTCTCCGTGCCCCGCATATCGTGCCAACATGGCGCGATAAAAAATGTACATGCGCGAATGGGGCTTCATCTATCTTTGCTTAAAAAACGGGTCCTATCATGAACGCAAATCGGTGTACGCTGCATCATTACGCTCAATAACTGGGTGTTGTCGGGAGGGAGGGATTTACTTTTGAATATTTGTTCGCGGCGAGGTATTTTCGCGTGTAGCAGTTGTTGCCATTGAACTTAATTGTGACGTGGTGCATTGTGGGAATGGCGACGATGTGGCTGGAGCAATAACATCTGACCAAAGTTATGTCTTAGCTCAAACTTTAAGCGTACGGAAAAATATAGTTTAAGGGATTGTCCGTTGTTAGAAAATAAACTAAAATGAACTTCAACTCTGCGGGTGCCAGACACCGTAAGTACCTTAATGAAGTTTATTTAATGTCTCGTGAGTGAGCAACTCAGCAGTTTCTCCAGTGGCAGCTGCCGGTTTAGGTTATATTATTGTCAAAAGTGTTATTTATATTTATGTCTTTGTGATCCCGTGTGATTAATCATTCACCTTTTTTGTGGTTATTGCTACTATCTGTTAATACCTTTTCTTAGTGGTCATTGAAAGTAGAATTTCAAGTTACTTTTAAATAGTATGAGGTGTTGACCTTATATTATTTTGTCTTATGCACTCTCTCATGATAAGTTCATCATTTATCCATCTACTTTTGTGAAATGTTGCAGCTGCTCAGCGCAAGGCTAAAGCTGCAGGGGATACCTCCCCAGGTACACCAATGTCTCCATACCCTGCACCTTTCAACCCTGCGTATCCCACTTATCCCCCACCGTACGGCCAGCCAGGAGCCAATATGTATGGCCAGCAGCAAGGTGCTGGTATGTTGAATGACAATTGTAAAATTTATTCAAAGCTTCAGTGATAATTTTTTTATGAAGTCAAAACTGATGCCATGATAAAAATTTAACTGTGGTGCTCTGTGTATCAGGCGAGTACATGCAGCCAATGCAACCAAATATGGGAGGATTCCCGGGAGCCCCTCCGGTGAACCAAGGTTTTGCCATTCCTCCTCAAATTTTTGAACAGCCAATGGTAGCTGACTTGGCTATGCATTATGGAGCAAGCATGGTGGGAGCAGGGCGCCAAATTGTTGACAGAGAATTGGAAAAGTATGTCCCTGTGTCAAGACTCAAATACTATTTTGCTGTGGATACAAAATATGTAACCAACAAGCTGCGTTTACTCTTCTTTCCATTCACTCACTCGGTTAGTAAAACAATACTTTTATCTTGTACTCCATTGTGTTCCTGAAATAATGTTATAATTATTCCAGGATTGGTCTATGAAATATGAACAAGGGCAGCCTGTCCAACCACGATACGAGCTGAATGCGCCAGACTTGTACATACCCACCATGGCATATGTCACTTACGTTCTGCTGGCAGGATTTGTCCTTGGGTTTCAAAATCGGTTTTCCCCTGAGCAACTGGGTATTCAAGCATCATCAGCTCTAGCTTGGGCAGTAGCAGAAGTGCTTGTTGAACTTATCACATTATATATAACAAATATAAATACGAATCTTACTACTCTTGATCTGGTAGCATACAGTGGGTACAAATATGTAGGGTAAGTTTTTCCTACCTCTGAATCTATTCCTGAATTTAAATGATTTGATTTTACCTAAAATATGCTAATTTCTCTCTAACTTGTTCCAGAATGATTTTTGCCATACTCCTAAGTCTTGCTTTTAGCAAAATGGGATATTACCTCGGCCTTATTTATTTTAGCATTTCATTGGCATTCTTCCTGGTAATGTCTTTTATAGTACTTGCAATGAAAATTAAATAGAAAAAAAATTACAAACAGGCAATTTTTTGGAAGCTAATCTTTGATTTTACTCTCTTATTTTTAGATTCGCACTTTAAAATGTCAAGTATTGCCAGAGGGACATTCACAACCATCCCACGACATGTACGGGAATCCTATGATGAATTCAGATCAACACCATTCATCTGGGACCAAGCGAAGAACTTATATACTTCTGTTTGTTGCGGGCTTACAACCATTACTAATGTGGTGGTTGTCTTCTCATCTTGTTTCTACATCTCTTCCAAAGGTGTAGCATTAGTCATTGATCATCATCCAGCAGGACTTTGTTGGTGTGCTTCTGTCTAAAAGAATCTTGATGCTAAGTACAGTTATTGATTTAGCAGATTATCCCTTATTTTCCTTGTGCCTTTATTGAATCTGTGAGTTAATTAACTGTTAAAATTGTATTTCTCTCATGGGCCCCTGCATTTTTCCTCTGTTCTTAATTTTGTATGTAACATTGTCATCTGGATTAATATAAACAAATTTCAATTTCCTTATTGTGGTAATTCCAATGGAGGTTTCATTAGAGTTTTGATTTAAAAATGTTGTTGTTTTATAATATTAGTTGGAAGTGTGGGGTTCATGGCAATAGGGAAGTTTTCACCCGCCTTTTCCCCTCTGGTCAAGTATCATTTTCTACTCATTCTTTTCATTATTTTGTATTATTTTCCTTATTCCAACTTGAGTACCACTGACAAATGTGCCGCCTGTTCATTTTGAATAAATAATATGTACTTTTACAATGATTGTTGATGGTCATTTCCTGAACCACGGTTTTTCCCCTATTTTGAAACCCAATTTTTATTTGAAGGTTCGAGCATTTGTTCCTGCAGTTCCTGGGAACACACGAATCTGAGGCTAAAATCAAAATCCAAGAGGGGGCGTAGAGCCTAAGGGGTGTGTGTGTGTGTGTGGGGGGGGGGGGGTGGACGCCAAGGCAATTTTTCATACCTGGCACCTCGCTAGATGAGAAAGTTAGCGGCCAGAAACCTTTCCTTTTCGACCGATTGATTTTCAAACTTGTTTCACTAACATGGCTGCATTTGCGTTCCGAGAATTGTCAACTATTCGCGCATTTATTACGTTTAACGGTAAGTCAAGACTGGAGGTGACTGAAAGCTTGCATATTTTTCTTCTTTTCTGCTGCTCTCTTTATGTTTTCTCAAATGGGTGTGTTTTACCACTGTTCGCACTTAGGGTTATCTTAGTGTTACTTGTGTACAGCTGAGTTTTGCAAATTATTTTTTCAATTATACTGGCCTGCTGCGCAACACACTGGCATGTCTGAGTACCATTCCTTTTCTCTGAATTTGGGTGTAATCATGGCACAGTTATGTTTTCGAGGATATATTACATAACCTCTACACATCCCGTAGGTCGTATAAATAAACGCATCTCTTGCGCAATGCTACAAGTCAAATTGACAGCTAGAAATTATTCGTTGTCGACGCAATTTCCATCCGAAAATTTCATTTTTCATGCGTGTTTCAGTCTGAGTTTTCAATTGTCATTTCATGCAGAAATCATTTGTGATCAACTTCAATTTGTGATAGATCTCAATTTGTGACAGAAATCTATCTATTATGTTATCATTACAAGTGTAAACTGTTATCCAGCCTTAGGTGATAGTGTCACATAGCTCATTGTGTGTGTTACAGAATGATAATACTCCCCGCTGGATGTTTTGATTGTGAGGGCTGAATGTCATCTTTCCTTCACCATGGCTAACTCTGCTGACCTGGTTCAAGCTATTGCGGAGTGTATTGAAAACTCTGAAACAAACAAAGCTTCATCTATACTTGAAGATCCTAAAAATAAGGAATCCATCTCATCGAACTGCTGGGATATCATACATATTCTCTGTGCTAAATTGAATCAAGATGTTTATGACAAGCAGCCTGCAATGTTTCATTGCTGTGAGAAGCTTCTGAACAAAGTTACAGAACTTTCATGTCCTGAAGAAGCCCTCCTTGAGCTCATCGAACAGGCAGAGTGTCTCGATAATGATCATCGATTTCTGGCATTACTCAAACCAATTCACAACTTACTGAAACGAATGCCGGACAAGAGAGGACGATCCTTAGTTTGGTGTCTTAATTTGGTTGCTACCCACTTGTCTGCATTGCAAGAACCAGATTGTTATAAATTTCAGGGTGATGAGAGGGTGTTATTAGACTTAGACCCAGCAACTCGTAGAGCAATAGATATTTATGATTCAATTGTGCCCTTTTATGAACCCTTTATTGAAGAGGTTTCTCTATTCAGACCATATGAGTCAGCTGATAAGCCTATTGCTGCTCAGCGACAGTATCAACGCTATGTACTTGCAGCTTTCCTCATTCATTTATTGGGCAAACCATTAGTGTTTATGGACTTAGACTATGATGGAAAGACCAAAAGCAGAATTTACTGTATTGCTGAAAATATTGTTGGATTCCTTGATCATTTAATGCCAGATCTTGTACCTATACTGTTTGATAAGTATGTTGCAAAAAAGAAGATTTCTCAGAATGATGACTGGGATGAGGATCCCTTAAAAATGTTTCTGTATGAAGATAAGGTTCCCACCTTGGGCCTTGCAAATCTTGTATATTTGACTTTAGCTGGAGGGTTATCACGCCAATGCATACCACGTGTATACAGCTCCAACTTTATATTTCAAATTGGTCTTCATCTGAGCACAGAGCTGCTTCTAGTGTCCCATGACTTAAGTGTGTGGAAAGGACTGCAATTGGCAGAGAGGTTAATGCTTATTGTCCCAAAATCGAGCATTCCTTTTACAATGCTTGATCTGCCAGTCCATAAGAAGTTTTGTACAACTTTGGAGAAGGTGGTTGTGTATTGTGAAGTGGAAGGTTACAGAGGCAAAGGCATAAAAGTCTTTCAAAACTATGTAATGTTGATGGATTTTGCAGCCCAATATCAAGTCTTCATCAAATTATTTCCTGTTCTTCAGCATTCAGGTTTTAAAGGGCTTTTGGTGACAATGTTGAAAGATACTATTAGGTTAACATTGAATTCTGTACACATTCCCCATGTTCAACTGTACAGAGGCAAGTCCTTGTTGAAGCTGTTGGAGGTGTATTGTGTAGTACCCAATGGCCCAGAAGTAGACTTGATGGACCATTCAGACCATATAATATCACTATTGAATTTACTGTGGTACCTTTCTCTTGCTGATGGAGGGGATGTGCTCGGGTTGTGGGAGCATGCTCCATATTTGGATCGGAATTTTATCCATCCACTGAAGAATGGTCTGAAGCTTTCAAGAGCACATTATGAACTGAAGATCCATCAGTTAGAAGAAGAACGAATGGGGCCTCAAGGAAAAGACAGCAAAAAAGAGAAGATTGAAGTTGCTGTAACTGTCCATGGACAAGCTGTCGCAGATTTGTCTTATGAAGAGAAGAAACAAATTCTTAATGTTGCTCTTAATAAATTTTCAATCATGGAGTCATTGCTTAGCAATATTCGTGAGAAAGTGGAAGGTCGATTTGCTGCCCGTACTTAATATCTAAGTTTCTGAAAGATGTTACCTGTCCTGCATAAATTTCAAAGCATTTGAAATTCTTTAATATACAAGACTATTTAATTTATTATGTTGTGTTTGAGTTTTTTCAGAATTTTGGTTTGCATATTCAGACTCAAAATGCCAGCAGCCAGTACTGTAGAATACAGTTACAACACTTTTAACAATTTGTTAATGGGTGCTATCACCACAGTTTGATGTGGATAATTTAAGTGGTATCTCATGATGAATGTTTGCTTTAATTTTGCTACTGTTAGGTCTTGGTTTGTGACTTAAGTCAATTGCATCCTTTAATAAATCAGTTTGCTTTAGTATAAATGCTTTCATACATGTTTACCTTAAAACACCTCACACATTTTCTTTTTAACACACTACATATCAATATTTTTTTATTAAATGCAAAAGATTTCAGTAATTTTTTTTATTTTAGGTAATATGCACTCCCACTATGCCCTCAAACATTATTTGCCTAGTCAGGGTAGTAAAACATTGTGTATTTCTTGTGCAGGCATCAGGCTATCTTGGTCAACTACACCACGTCATTTCCAGTCAACAGACTCCCCATCTGGACAAGGGACATCCTCAGGACAAGTGCAAGATGACCAAAGTACAGCACAACAGAATCAGGGCTCTCGTAAATCAAGTACCCAGAGCGAAAATGATTACGACAGAGATATAGCAAGGCAAATTTTAGCAGCTTCTATTCCATTTGTGAATAAAAGTGGATGGACTAAAGCAGCATTAAGTGAAGGTAATTTTCTAAAATACTTTGTTTAACTTGTTCCAGACCAGCTGTACTTGATTTCATATCTGAATATGTTTTAGGTGCTGAAACACTAGGATATGCTGGAATAGCCCATGGTATGTTTCCTTTGGGAGGGGTTGAACTAGTCAATTACTTTTACACAAGCTGCAATGAAAAGCTGGTGGAAAAACTTAAACAAGAATATGAAAGCCTTCCTGAAGGGTAAGTCCTCAGTTCATATGTATTTTCTTGAACATAAGTTTCTTGTTCTTATATTTATTAATAAATTTTATTTGGACAGAAAATCGCCTGATCCTGAGGTAGTTGTCTGTAATGCTGTTGAAGCAAGACTTCGCATGATTACACCTCATATAGATAGATGGCCAGAAGCTATGGTTCTACTCAGTATACCACGCAATGTCCCAACATCCCTTGCCAACCTTTTGACATTAGTGGATGATATTTGTTATTACTCTGGAGATAGGTCAGTGGATGTAAGTAAATTATTTGTCATTGGAATAACAATTTAACGTCTCTCTTCAATAATAATCTGTATTGCAACCCATATTATTCATGTTTTTCTTTTCTTTATTAGGTTCGATGGTATGGCCGCCGTATAGGTCTGGCTACTGTGTACAAGATGACTGAATTGTACTTCATTCAGGATCAATCAGAAGACCACAAGGCCACATGGAAATTTCTTCAGCAGCGAGTCGAGGAAGCAGTTCAGCTCCAGCGAATTCTTCATGAAGCCGGAATTTCACCAAAGATAGCCTTAGATACTATTTCTGCAACATTTGACGCTGTATGTACACTTGCTTTAATTTTTTTTTTAATGCAATATTCCGACATAATTTTAATTTGTCTTACCTTTTTTTTAACTACAGGCACGGAGCATTCTTCGAATCAGATAATGTTCCGTCAATTTTGCAATCAAGATGCAAGATATGTTAAATTAAGTTGGTATGAATACACCTAGTACAAATTAAAAACAAATAAATGCTTCTCAAATCATGTGCATTTTTGCTTTTCATTGCTTTGGCTCATGTCTCATGCAAATTCATCATCAACATTAAAAAAAAAAAAAAAAAAAAACACACTTTTTATAAGCCATTGGAATTAAAAAAAGTTGCTCTGGACCATTTTTGAGATTAAGTCTCGGAAATCCTAGCTTACTTCAGAAAAGACCACATACCCGGTCTCCCTATTTCAAGAAAAGACTCAAGTTTTGGTGAACATTACAGAGAGTGGTGGCCGCCCGGAAGGCACCCGTCCCATTAGACATGGTGTTGCACTGATCCTATTAGTGCCATCCACACGGAGGGGTCGGGAAGGGGCGGAAACGAAGACCGGATCCCGCGACGCAAACTGAAGGGGAAGTGCGACACTCCCTGGACCCCCCGGGGGCTCTGGAAGGGGGTGAACCCCGGCCACCCCGACAGTCAGCTACTCTCGCTCCGGCGACTATATAACGGCAACCTCTCACGCGGCGTGGTTCACACTTCGTCCAGCCCCCTTGCCGAGCGGTTCGATAGTGCTGCTGCAGTCCAAGCGACACCTGTCGACGGTGAGTCTCCATACAGCGAAGCAGGTGTCTATAAAAATGTGTTCTGCATCAAAATCCGCGAAGAAAAGATTGTACACATATAGATCGAAATCCGTATTTATTTTCCCCTGGGTGGTTCCCGGCGTGTCCATGCTTGGCTCATACTTGTTGAAACCACATATCCAGGTACCCTTAGGATGGCACTCCCAACGAAGATGGTCTCCCTCATGCTGTTGCTGCTGGTGCTGTCAGTCACCCTCGCAGCTTCTAATCAGGTAGGTCAGTGTCCGCAAGTGCTGATGCTACCATTCAAAAAAATTCACTGCACAGAGTCGAAAAAGCGTTGGCTAAGTCTCTTTTCTTTCTCTTTCCCTCCCTCTTTTACAAGAATATAACTGGGTACGCCTTTACGTTTTTGAAACTTTCACATTTTTATTTCTCATATTTTCCTGGATTTGTCTGCACTTGAGGTGGGCCATGTTCTTTCTACTGCTTCCTCAGGTCCACATCTGCGTGGAGAACTGTGCCCAGTGCAAGCGCATGCTGGGCGACTACTTCCACGGCCAGCTGTGCGCCGAGACGTGCGTGGAGCTGGGGGGCGCGTCCATCCCGGACTGTCAAGACGTCGACAGCATTCGGCCTTTCCTCGTCAAGGCGGATCTCGTGTGACACGAGGTGTGACGCGGTGCAGCAAAAACTTTTAGTTCCACAGAGTCATGAAATTGATTGTTCACCTTTAGCTTGCATACTTAAAGGATCTGCTATCTCGCAACTTTCAGCTCTCTATATGCATGCTGTGTTACATGTATTCAATCATGAATCAAATTTCTCTTGATTTGTAAACGCCTGCTATTTTAGAATGATATAATTGACGAGGTGTTAAAAAATAAAGTATTTACATCTAAAACATTATTATTATTATTATTATTATTATTCTGTAATTTACACTATCCACATCCACAGGTACAAAAACACGTGAAGATCTTAATTTACAGACCAATGTCAAGTTTGCTTAAAATATATTAAGACATGTGAAGGATAATTTGTTTGCTTGGTTTGCTCCCACATTTCATCAGGAGTGATCTTGGTCTACTTTTTTAAGACTGATTTAAAAACAGATACAGCTGAAACAAATTCTTAAAAAGTTCACTTACATATGAACTAGCCCACATGAAACCTTTAGCCCGAGCAGAGACTAATTTCTGACCAAACTAAATTTACAAATACTGCAAGCAATATGACTTCAATATGAAGACAAACAGATATTTTAGTCAAATTTATATTTAAAAGAAAAAAAATTATGAGATCCCTATGAGTTGATAATTTACTCCGTCTTCTCTTCACTAGGCGCACTTGCTGCTCCTTCTGCCCCTGTTTCTGCAGTAGTAGCAGTCTCCGCAGGTGCAGGAACAGCTGCTGGGGGAGCATCACTTGCCCTGTTGGACTCCTCTGCGACCATGAAATAACCAAAAATGTGACATCAGCAAGAGAAACGCAGTCATGTCAACATTCAACGGGCGCAACTCACCTGGAGCAGGGACTGCTTTGGCATCTTCAGGCACAGATGGTGCTGCGGGTGGCACCACAGGGCCCACTGCAGGGGGCTCCGGTGCGGGGGGATGATGGATGGCGGGAGGGGGGCCCACCGCCTCCGCACCAGGCCCTGCAGGACCCGGATGGCCAGTAGGCATGGGAGCGTAGGGGTTCGGAGGCATCACACCCTCCATTCCCTGCGGCAACGGACAATGGGTGCGCCAGTTAGAAACACATCATCTCAGCTAGTAGAGTATAGTTTAACAGGTTGCCATCAATACTTTACTAATTCTCTTCAGAATAAAGAAATTGAAATTACTTGAAAGTCACTACGACGTGCAGTGCGTCAAAATCTATTGACTTATGTTATTACATATTATTTTTAGAGTGGCGACTTAAAAAGGAATTTTGAAGGGCTAGGGGTCTTTCCCACAGTGTATCACTCAATTCTTATCTTATAGATGTTATGTGATATGTGACACATTTAAGGTTAAAGTTTGATCAAAAACATGTTAAGAGGATAGGGTAAGCGCTTGTGGTTCAAGTGTACCTAGACATTATGTTTCTCCCTCTGTGAGGCATATCGAGGTTGTTCAGAAATCCAGGATTAAATTCGGAGAGAACCAAAAGGCACAACAATAAGTGCGACGCTGCTAAAAGGAAAAGAGGAAGATGGCCGGAACTAGAGAAAAGGAGACGGGCAGGGCGGGGGTACGGGCCAGGATGGACGACGGAACCCACATGAGAAGCTATGCACATAGCTGGAGCTTTTGTAAAGTGCCACACAGTCTAACACACACTACACACATACAGAGCGCTGCTGAATGTAAATGAGCATAACAACCAGAATAGCGTTAACATTGTAATTCATAAAAAGTAAAAAATAAAAATAAATTTGAACCTTTTTCTATTTTGATTACTTATTACTTGTCGAATTGAATTGTGAAGTTTCATGCAAAAACTAAAAAGTAAATGTACTGAGAAAAAAATGGTGCAATTGTTCTAATTAGTTGCAGAAAAAGTATATTTCAGCTACTTCCCTTTCAGCATTAAAAATCAAAACACTAAACCAAGAGAAAACAGAAAGCAAAAAGCCAATAGCGTCAAATGCGATGCGATGCGGTACGTACCGGGTGCGCTGCGTCCATGTGGGGGGCGTGGGGGTAGTGAGGTCTGCCTGGTGGGCCGCCCATAGGTGGGCCGCCCATAGGTGGGCCGCCCATAGGTGGGCCGTGCGGCGGGTACTGTGGACCAGGCGGGCCGGGAGCATACCCTTGGTGGTAGTACGGATGAGGGGGGTACTGAGGCGGGTACTGGTGATATGCCTGCTGGGGTGGGTAGCCTGCAGCCGGTGGGTACGCATGGACTGGAGGGCGCGAAGGTGGTGCTCCAGGGTACGGGGCGTACGGCTGGGGCGGGTACCCTGCGGGAGGTCCCTGGGGTGGCATCATGCCGTGGCTAGGAGGGTATGCTGGGTGGTGGGGATGATGGGGGTGATGGGGGTAGGCCCCCATGGGGGGCATGACGGGCGGCACGCCGGCAGCAACAGGTGGTGCCACCGGGGCCGGCATGACCGGTGCAGGCGCTGGTGGCGCGACTGCGGTGACGGGAGCGGGGGCTGGTGTGTGTTCAGTGCTTGGAGCGGGCAGGGGCGCAGCTGCCGTGGCCGCGCCGTTCACCTGGGCTTCAGTCGCAGGCTCTGCGGGCTGGGGCTGAGGCACCTCCGCGGGCTGGGGTGCGGCTGGTGGAGACGCGGTGACTTGAGAGTCCGCGGCCACGGGTGGTGCAGCTGCCGTGTCTGGCGCCGCTTCTGTCGGTTCTGCAGGTGCTGCAGGCGCCGCCTCCGCTGCCGGCTCCTCCACCTTCATCGCGACGTCGCCCTGCGTCTCCTCCTTGACGACCGGGGCCGGCTGGGGCTCACTCGGGGGTGCCTCCGCCGCTGCTGCCCCTGCTGCCACCTCCGCCGGGGGTGCTGCTTCCGTGGACGGCACCTCGCCACTGGGGGCGGGCGCGGCGGGCGCGGCCGGCGTGACGACGGGGGCGGGCGGTGGCGTCGCCTCCGTGCTGGGCTCGGACTCCGACTTGACCTCGGCGGCCGCTTCAGCGGCGGGCTCAGCTGCAGGCTCAGCTGCAGGCTCAGCAGCACTGGCGACGACGGCTGGAGCGGCGGCAGCCTCGACTGATGGCGCAGCGGCCTCTGCTGCTGGTTCGGTCGTGGCTGGCGGGTCCGTCTCCATAGGCTGAAACGAGATATAGAACCAGATTACTCAAGCGACGTGACAAGCCCAGCGCGCTCTGCAGAAGCACAGAAGCCAGTTTAATAAACCGACCCAGAATGATGCATCACACTGGTTACACTATGATGCACCTTTTGAGTTTCAAGCCAAGAATGTGAAAGTTGATAAAAGTTTAAGTGAAGCAATAAAAGAATAATAATACATATAAATAATGTTGTCTAACACAACTATCATTAGACCCGTTACATGAAAAAGTTAAGCTGTTAGTTACAAATGAACAGCGGCCTGGCCTACAGCAATAATTCGTGCTTGATAAGCAAAATCGAAGTTCTATTCAGTGTGGCATTGTTGTTCATCTACAAAAGGTGAACCAGTGAACAGGTGCAATAAGCATTCATTACCTGAATTGAATGCAGAGTGAGCATCTAGTGCCGCATAGGAGAAACCACACAAACATTCAACAAACCACACACAGTGCAACACTGGTTCTCTCAGGAAGAAATTAAATAGTATGTACAAAAAAAAAACAGAAGAGGAGAAAATTTTAAATGCAGAACAAAAAAGAGGGCACGGATAGTGAAAGTGGGAAAGTTTACCCTATAATACACACTCCATCAAACCAAACACCAAAAGAAATAATCACTACGCATACAAAATTAATTCAAAAGAAAAACAAACCTCTTGTTGGGACTGGTTGTCTTCAGTACTTTGCACAACAGGCTCAACTGCATTCTGTTGACCATCACCACTTTCCTCTCCAGCAGGCCTGCTGTCACTGCTTGCTTCTGTGCCGTTGGGTGTTGCTTGTCCATTTTGTGCAGGCTTAGGAGGTTCCTCTGGTTTCATGCGCTCTTTCCGAAGGAGATCAATCTGTTTCTCAACCATTCGGTTGAATGTTTCTTCATCAACAGCACGCTGGCAGTGCTGTTGAAAAAAAAAATTATGAATATTATATGAAAACAAACCAGACATAAGGTAAAAAAAGCACTGACCTTTTTCAGTTCTTCTTGGAAAACCTCACTACTTTCAGTGAATTTCCTTTTCTTGGATTCAAACTTTTCTTCAATTTGCTGCAGTTCTGCTTCAAGCTTTTTCTGATGGAGGCAAAGGAAAATTGTTGTGAAAAGAACTCAAAGAAAAAAGAACAGTTAGATCAGAATTCTGAAATTTTTGGCATACCTGATGCATTGAAAGAGACACTACTTGTCTCTTCAATACTTGCATTCGAGTAGTTGTAACAACAGATCTCACATCAGGTACAACAGAATCAGAGAATATTTCATTGATAAGTCTGTGGTTACGTAAATAACGAGCAAAAGCTACATGTTTCACCGAGTAACCATCATCTAAATCTGAGAAAGAAAGGTAGGGGAAATCATTTGAGAATTAGAAATCTCGCTTAGTCACACACACTAATAGAAATGAAAAATGTTAATTCAATCTAAGGTTTACCATCTTCATCTTCAGCAGGTTGAATGTCAATTCGGCGGTCTGCTTGCTTGCTGCTACTCATGCTCCCTGGCCGGTCATTCTCCCTGTCCACATCCACTTGAACTAGAGCAAATAAACATTTTCAAATTAAATGGGCAATGGCAACAGTTTCCTGAAATGGAAACTCACTAAAATTGTGAAACAAAATACACAAAGCAAAGTAAACAACATGTTGGTAGCATACCAGGCTTCCCACGAGATTTAGCAGAAAGGTAAGCCAAATAGGCTGGAGAATTGTGATATGCTTTCATGCATTTCTCATGTTCCAGCTGAAAATAAACAGAAGGCAAAATCCCCACAGTAAGCTGGATGCAAACAAACACAACATTCAAAGCAGTACACATGTACAGCGTTACATGGTGCTTGGACATGTAATACCACAACTCGTGCAGAAGCATTACATTTTTACAAAGATCAGAACAAAAATATTTACTTTGCTTAACTGAGTATCACAAGGATCTATAAAAATTAATTTTTTCCCTTTTGAAACTTTCTTTGCCCAGAAAGAAAAGAAAAGTCATACCACACAATTTTGAAGGTTTTATGTTCTTCAGTTAGGTAGAATAAAAAGGGGGCGAACATTAAGAGAAAAATGAGCATTGGTGCTAAGACAATTGTACTACTAAACACAATCACAGTCATTAGATCTAAAATTATATTAATATTTTTTAATTATTTTTTTGGAGGGGGGAGGGGGGGCTACCATGGGGAAACAGGGGACGGGATAAAAATAGCAAAGCAAAATCGCAGCCTTCCATACCCAAAATCCCAGAGTGTGAGAAAGTTGTAATGCACATCGTACACAAGAACTTTTCTCATATGTGGGAGTGCAGAACACAGAAATCTAATCCACAGAACCCAAGACTTTATAAGCTATCACATAATGTAATGATGTTTGAAGCAAGGAAATAGGCAGCACAATTAATACCCCACATTCAAGTTGAGGCATGGGCAGAGGCCTCTGGGTGCCCGTACCTTTAGATTTGGTAGAAATCCAATTAAGGTATGCAGCAGAATTTTGGTACTGCTTCAATGCTTCCGTATATTGAACCTAAAGCCACATGTTTGGTTATCACAGTGAATCTCCTTTGTAATTTGGAAACAGTTACAATTAGATTCAATAGATATGTATAATACCCAGTTGATAAACTAATGAGGTCATAAAAAAATAAACTAACTGAGAAAATTTTTTCTGTCTCTGTGATCTGATAAGGTTTGGTCTATCTTTCCAATTTTTAACAAGCCCATTGTGAGCTAATTTAACATTTACAGAATTCTGTCCACACTTGCAGTATGTCACAGGATAGGTGTACAGCACTTCATAAATAATTGAGAATAAAAGGAAGAGATAAATACATTGGAAACCCACCTTTTCTGCTTCGTATTCTTCAATATATTCAGCTTTATTGGCATCTGGAAGATCACGCCACATCTGACCAATAATTTTACCGATTTCCCAGAGTTTGTGATCAGGGTTGCTGGCTTTCACTGAGTCCCATACCTTGCGACTGTATCTCATATAAGGCATAAGAGGTTTTTCTGGAGGTTTTGGAGCCTTAGGCATGCGATTGTCTCCCTGTAATGAAAATAAAATCATGTTAGTAAATGTGTTCATCATTTTTTTCCCAGAAAAATTTTAGATTTTTGTCCATGCAGTTCATTTTACTTGGGATAAGAGGATGCAAAGCTAGTGACCATTTCATAGTTGCATTTCTATCCGATCAGAACAAGGCCCACATCCTTTAGAAACCTACTGTAGTAAAATATCAATATAAAGTACCTACTTCCAGTTGTACTTGTTTTTCACATGTGTTAAAAGGTTGCTAATCATGCAAGGAACAATAAAAAAAAGGACACTATAGGAAAAACTATGCTAGAAATTGAAAACAATCAATGAGGCGCACACTTGTTACTGAAGGTGGTATGGTAGACTGGAGCAGTGGAAAAGGAGCACATATCATTTGGAATGCTCTCAGTGGGTCTAATTTAAGAGCTCTAAAATACAGAGGTTGGGGTAATGATTTAGTGTGAACTATAACTCAAAAGATATTTACCAGTCCAGTCCAGCCTCCACCCTGTCAATGAAAAGCAAAAACCAATCAACATAACAAAATAAAAACCACATGCAAGCAACAATAACACAACACTACCAAAATTAAATTTTGTTACTGAAAAAAGAAACAAGACAAAATAAAAATTTGATACATTACTCGTAAAATAGCCAAACAAATTAAGCCAACATAACTTATAACCAAAATTAGTAAGATCACTAATAATAATTACGATGAGTTACAGAAGGTAGTATACTTTTCTATTGTTATGTAAAATAATGATAAAAATGCAATGTATACATAAAAGGTAGATTAAATTGTGCATTGTTTCTCAATTTATACTAGCAGGATGTAAATATCATTTGAGAGAAAACCATTATACCTTGGATAGAACATAGGTAAGACAGATTAAAACAACGTCTTGACAGAGTTAAAAAAAAAAGTTAGAATGTGGATGTACCAAAATAACCTACGCCCCAACAAACAGCAGCTATTGTTTATAGTTGCATGCAAAATTTAACACCAACACAGCAGTTCAAATATTTCTGATTTACTTACACCCACTGCAACCTTTGAAATCTTCTGCGGATTGAAGTTGGGATGGCCATGAGGAGAACGTACAAATGGATCTTGGTGAATAGAGTTGTCTTTCTGGATCTGAAAATGTGGGTTACAAGTAAGATAAAAAATTAAGCTAGACCGACGATTTATCGTTCATATCAAGTACAGGGTTTACATACAATGGGAGGAATGGGAAGGGGGATTTCGTCCAGTAGCGTACAGTAATACTGTGCAGGAGGGGAATTGTACAGAAATGAAGGAGTTGTTGCATCCAATACCACCTTGGAGATTCGGGGAGCAACAAGGAAGAGGGAGGGAAAATTTTACAGTTAACAGTTGCATCACACAAAATGTAAACATTAGGTGATGACATACCAAGCTAAGGTATTTAAGATTGACAAGTGACAGGAAGATGAGGGGATTGGTCTGGAGTATTATTTAACCTGGGGTGGTACCTACCATGCCTGGAAGCATGCCACCTCCTGAAGCCCTGAGACGCTCTGGAATGAAGAGACAGGTGCAAACATGAATTAGTAGCAGCACTAGCAAACTGAGATCAGAATGCTGAATGCATGTCATTAACATTTCAGAACTGAGGCAATTTAAAAGTGCCAGTGAGCAAAGTTTGAAAAAGCTGGAGCTGCTTTAAATTGAGTTTAACTAGTAACAAACTTTTGGAAAGAATAAAATATTCAAAACAGAGAGTGAAATTGACAAATAATTGTTGCTTTTGATTACCATATCTTAGGCACATCTAAATCTCAGTAAAGCAATTGCCTATAGGGAGAGAATATTAATTGACAGAAATTATTGATGTAAGTCCTTCCCATGTGTTACCTCAACCAAACTAACAAAGCAGAAGGGCAGCCACAGTTTCATCTCAAAGTAGTACGTCTATGAGGTGTTAGGAAATGTATACAACCATCAAGATAAGTATGGACATGGAGCATCTTGGGGGCACATCATCTACATTTATCAGAATCAAGCTCCTATCTGAGAGTTAATGAAAATTTCTACTGGAGAGCACCTTTAGAGCAACATGCTAATAAAAAGCGAATGCGGAGAAATGCTATGCAAAACCGCACTTATTCCAAGGCGTTATGCAGAAGACTGAAGATAGGAACATGTAGGTAAACAAATATTGAACAGAGTCGATTGAAACAGCCTCAGAAATTCCAAAGTTGAAGAAACATGTATCTGGACAGTGACTGGAATGAGCAAGGCATACATAAAATGGTTTCCCAGAACCCAAACATATATTTGTTTAACTATTCACATAAGCCAAAAGAGTAGATTACATCTCTTATCACTGATCCTTCGAATAATTTACCACCAAATGAAAAAGAGGTTCATTTGAAAGTATTGGAACAAAATGGTGATTTTCAGAAAATGGTGGCTGGTTCCAGCACCATAGGTAAGGAAGGATATTGTTTGCTTTGGAGTAGCTGAAAGCTGATGGTAGGCAAGGCAAGATCCATAAGTCCTTCTCACACACACACAAAAATAGAAAAAAAGAAAAAAAAAAGAACGAGTTGATTCAATTTTGACATTGAACTGGTTCTATACGAAGAAGAGCATGTTAACTCATATTTCGTTGTGATTGGTGCTGTTCTCTTTGATTTTACTTGAAATTCGGTACACTAACTATCCTGTTGCTTGTGATAGCTACACAAAAATTATTGGAGTTTTATGTATACCATTTACACCAGCAACAAAGAATTAAATGAGAACTTTACCAACAACAAAGAAATAAAGGTAACATGTTATTTTGACTTTAGAACACAACCTAATAAGAATAAAATCCCACCCTTTTTATCTTACCCACCTTTCAAAATGTTGAATGTCATAGGGGCACCGGGAGACTGCATCTCTAGATGGCAAAAATAATGCAACAAAAACAAAAATAGAGGGGGTCTAGAGACACAAAATCTACAGCACACTATGGCAGCAGAGTAGCACATAAGAGGATACAAAAAAGGTGGTAAAAAAAAATTACACATAAGAAAAATTTATGTACAAATTTTCTGCACTAAGAATCTAATCATTTTGTTGTGTATTTAAATGCAGCTCCATAGAGCCATCAAGGAGGATTGACCATGAGAAGAAACTGGTTTATCTTCAATTTTTAAGGGAACAGATCTTTAACAGACCAAAAAGATACAGCAAAAAACAATTTGAAAGCTGCAATGCTGTGGTTCACACAAAAAATATTACTCATTGATCTAGAAAAAGAATCCATAGACTAAGAAATGGTTTGCCCCAAAAACATGAGGATAAACTTGCGACAATTCTAGTATCCTCCAAAACTACTCTGGTGCCAAATGTATGAAAGAGCATGTCTTCATTCCAAATGTGAACACAGCACAAACATGGGTCAATATTATTGGTTATATGAACTCATGCAATAATTGAAATAAATATTCATTGATGAATTATTGGCTGAAGATTTCATGCTCTTGCAGACAAATGAACATCCACAGCAAACACACATCATAAGAGAATTAAAGAAGACCACTTTAAATTTAGCTATTCAAAATGATTAAACATGATATGGTACACAGAACAATTGCTTCACTAACAAGTGCAAGATTTAAAAGAAAAACATTAGTAGCACAACACTTCCACAAAAAAAGAAACAAAAAAGACAATGGAAAACTGATTACAGGATATACTGGAGAACCATAAAGTAATTCAAATAATACACCTAATGAGTGAACTAAAATTTGTGCATCATCTAATTCTAATCCATTTCTAATACGTTGAATTTAAAGTGCATTGTTTTCAAAGTAAAAATGATATTAATTGGATCTAACCCAAGTAAGAACACACAAAGAAAACACAGATTGCAAGAACAGGACAGTGAGAAACAGAAAGCATCATACTGAGAAAAGGCCCTTTCCACAGAAACCAAAACCCAAGCTAAAATGCCAATAAAGAAATCTATAGGAAGATAACCAAAGATTGACTGGCCTACTTTCAGAAAGACACTTTCAGAATAAGCTTCATTCTACAAAACAATAATTCCTAATCATTTGTTGAAACCCAAACACCAGGAAAGTCTCACATGCAACAGAAAGCCGCTGCAGGTTAATTTAAATGCATTATGTAGAAGTCAACATTTTTCTGTCCGTGTAAATTAATTGAATGAATAACATCAACGTGATCAAAGGTCAACAAATTTTGTTAAAAATTATAAAAGCTCATAAAATTGAAAAACTGAACACATAATTGGAAAAATGTTGGGGTAGGGACAGACATAAGAAAAGATATTTAACCAAACACTATTAAAAACAAACTAAAAGAGAGAGAGAGAGAGAGAGAGAGAGAGAGAGAGAGAGAGAGAGAGAGAGAGAGAGAGAGAGAGAGATTGATAGCATAAAGGCAATAATAAACTGATGCAGGCAGCATTCATTATTCAAAGCACGTGAGCTTAAACAAAAGTAAAAAAAAAGCTTGGGATTGTTTATTTAGGTGAACGTTTTCATGCGAAAAGGCCTGATTTTATGTTATCATTGAAAGAAGCAAAGTGGGACTCCTATTAACTCACGGTTTGACCCCAACGCAGGGCTCGTCAAGGCCAGGCTCTTGTAGTTACTTGGTAGAGCCATTGCAGTGATGGTTACCTGGAATAAAAACAGTTATTAGATGAAAGGAGCAGGTCACTATTGGAATGGTACCATTTATTGAATGGAGCCCCGACCAACGGATTTCCATGTCAAAATCAAACTGTTGGAGCATATTAACCTTAAAAAAACACTGCTTACAGTCGATATAAAATGATTCAGAGGAGCAAATGGAAACATAATATTATTAAAAAGATGCATACTAAGATTTTACGAAGAAAACGTTTTTAAACAAAATGGGTTGAGGGAAATAAAAGAAATGTTAAAAAGAGGCAGAAAAACTGATAGGCATCAGAACCACAGCGTCAGTATCACAAATGACGATTGCAATGGGAAAATTTTAGAAATGACTTCGAAGAATAGAATCTATACTCACAATAGGTTTACAAAGATCGTAAATGTATGGCGTTTATGTTAAATACGGCGAAACTCTCAACTAAATAACAAATATTTGGAAGTAACGCAGGGATCACACGTCCGCCATCACAGCTTAGCGGCGGCTTCCCGGCGGCTATCGAACTTCGATATCGAAGCTTCGTCGAGGATCGAATCGAGGTATCGAAAAGGCAACGGTTTCCTTTGCAGCGGCGGGAGCCTTAAATGTGAGCGCACACCTGCACGGAGGTAGAGCCGGTCTGAAAAATGGGATGCCATATTTAGGCCTCGGACGGGGGCAAAGCGGCACCTTTTGCCTACTTTTCAGGCTCAGGAGGACTGTAGGCCCCGTCACGCCTTTAAATTTGTCGCTGGGAAAATAACCCAAGACCAAAATCAGTACTCATCCGCCAGCGCGGCAGTTTTTACAGAGATATCGAGCTGTCGTCCACGCCGGCGGCGGCGCCTCATGATGTCATCCAAGGGCACTTCAGTTGCCTTCAGGTGCCTGGTGACAAGACTAGCGCCACATCGTTTCGCTATTTATTTTTACGCCCCTGAGCCGCGAACGTGAGTATTGTCCGACACTTCTCCTCGAAAAGGTTCTTTCTTTCTTTTTTTTGAGACGGTTCCAGCAGCACGTCCACGTGTTGCGGCTGTCACATTCCACCTCCACAGACCTCACCCCCTTTGGCACAGACTCGCATACGCATTATATACAAAGTGCACAGTGTGAGAAAATCTCATTGGCGTCGAAATTGAGTGGTAATCTTATTTTCAGATGGAGTGGAAGATGGTGGCGGCACTGCTGGCGGCCTACGGCCTGCTGAAGGAGACCCGCCCATCGGAGACCTTCATTACGTCGTTCCTAACTGGGCCCGACAAGAACTTCACTTCGGAACAGGTGAGAGACTGTTTCCTCATCAAGACTATCTCGGCCATGGCTCATGAAAGGATCTTTGCAGGTGAACCAGGAGATCTACCCGGTCAGCACGTACTCCATGCTCGCCCTGCTCGTGGTCATCTTCCTCGTCACTGACTGGCTCCGCTACAAGCCCATCATCGTGCTGCAGAGCGTCAGTGCCGTCGCCACGTACAGCATTATCGCCTGGGGGCAGGGGGTGCCCCTCATGCAGGTAGGTGGGGACAACTTATTATTTTTTAATTCTTCGTCCTCTCGGAGTGGTGTCCTGCTCGGTCCTGCTTCGGAGTCGCTCTGGAAAGCCGAACAGTAACCCGCGTGAGACGCGCACCTCTAAAACCACCCAAGAGACCAGGGCACAGAAAACGGCGATCATTTTGGATGTAGCTCCAAATGAAAAGGAAAAGGCCACAGCTGGGAGAAAGAGACTATGCTGAAGACAAGATTCTCGTGACTCTCCGTCGAGCCCGAACCCCTGCGTCGCTTGCTCTCTCTCTCTCTCTCCGCACTCTGCCAAAAATGCAAATTGACACATTGGTCTTCCATTCCTAGTTCATGGAGGTGCTGTATGGGCTAATGTGGGCCGCAGACGTGGCGTACTTCACGTACATGTACGCCAAGGTGGACCGCGCGCATTACGGCACGGTGTCTGCCACAGCCAGGGTGGGCTACCTTCTGGGCCGCTTCAGTAGCGGCGTCCTGAGCCAGCTCGCCGTCAGCCTCAACTTCATGTCCCTGCTGGGACTGCAGTTCGTGACCATCGGAAGTAAGACGCTAAAATAAGTTCCACAGCCAGCAGCGAAGTCAGTCCCATTTGGAAATAAAGAGCCAAAAACCACGTGTTGCAGCGGCCGCCGTTTCCACCGTGTTCGCCCTGGCCCTGCCCACGGTGTCGACCAGCTTCTACTTCCACCGAAAGGCCACCACCGAGCCGCAGGCAGCCGAGCCGAAACCGTCGTTGGCGGCGGTGGTGCGCCTGCTCTGGGCGGACTTCAGGGACGCCTTCCGCCAGCGGGCCGTCATCAAGTGGTCGGTCTGGTGGGCCCTGGCCGTCGGGGGGTACATGATGGTCAGTTCCAGAGGGCAGCAAACATTTCCTAAAATAAATGGTGGTAAACTTTGATTTTCTTTTGTAGGTTGCCAGCTACTGCCAGATTCTGTGGAAAGATACGCTGGACGGGAACAAGAAAGAGGCGACTATGTGGAACGGCGCTGTCGAGGCCGTCTACACACTGTTAGGTATTGAGGAAAGGAACCTACCCCGGCTCGGCTGCACCCGCATTGGAAGTCGCCGCAGTGCAGGATATCGGTTTTCAACGGCTTTCTTCCGCTTAGGCGCCGGGGCAGTGTGGCTGACCACCAGGAAGACGGACTACTCGGCGTGGGGGGACGCGCTGATCGGCATGTGGTCGCTGGCCTCAGGGGGCATCATGATCTTGGCGGCGGTCAGTCGCAGCATGGCGGTGCAGTACGCCGTGCACATCGTGTTCGGCACCACGTACCACGCCGCCGTCACGGTAGCCAGGTGCGACAACGGCAGAGCGAGAGCGCCTGCGTGCCGCCACGCGCCACGCGCCGCGGCCGGAAGGGTGGCCTACCACGCAGGCGCTTCACGAGCCCGCCTTTGTTTCTTTTCCCAGCTCGGAGGTGGCGAAGAGGGTGCGCGAGGACGCCCACGCCCTGGTGTTCGGGTTCAACACCCTGGGCGCGTACGTGCTGCAGACGGTGCTCACCGTGGCCGTGGCCGGGGAGGGAGGCCTGGAGCTCAACATTCGCGAGCAGTTCGTCGTCTACGGCTGCTACTTCCTGGTCATCGGGGCTGCCTTCCTCGCCGTCGCGCTGTTCGGCTTGTTGTCCAGGTGTCGTGGCACTCGAAAAATGGACGTGCCTGCCGTTTAGCTGTCGAACATTCTCCAAAGAAGCCGCTCCGAGTCAAGAACTTCGTGCGAACTCTGGGCGCGCCACGTCCACGTCCCTACTCCCTCCACTCCGGCTCCCCGCCGCACGGGGTATTGCCGGGACCCCTCTCCGCGTGGAGAACACTACTTATGCGATTGCTCCACGATGTCTACCTCTACGTATACAACGTGGATTGCACACAAATTGGTGGGAACATCCTGCTGTTGTTATTGTTGTTGTTTTTATTATTGTTAAGTTGTTGTTTTTATGCTAGCGTGAGACATTAAATGTTTTGACTGGAAACGCGAAAATATTTTGAGATGATGAAGTTATCCGTCTAGGCCGGGTTTCTGGTGAAGCCATGGCTTCATGGACCGAGCTAAATTATACATACACTTTATCTTTGGTCCAGTTACCACCACTGCCACTAGCACAAGCGGAGCGGTATCCCAATAGCAATAACTACAAGTGCGAGAGAGAGAGTCGATCACAACGCCACGACACGCCACGATTGGCCAGGCACGCCGCCACGACTTTTGTGGGCGCTCATCGTTCGTCTCCGGAGCGCTGTGTCCGTGCCACAGGCAGTGCGTTGGTCCACCGGAATCGGAGAGGTTAGCTTCAGTCTGTGCACGACAACACGTCACTCCCTCGCGCCCAGGTGAATTGAGTTTTAACTGCTTCGCTGCTGATTGAATTGGCACTGTGAGAATCATTATTGTAAACAAGAAAGTTGAATGGTACACTAGTTCCTTGATGGTGTATATGTTCGACGTCGTAGCTCCGCGCTCCGCGATGAACGCGGCGTCGGCTGCTTTCTACCTGCTCCTGGCTGTGGTGCTCAAGAGCCTGAGGGAGCACGGAGGACGCATTCGACCGGCACATGGACGTGGAGAGGGTGCAATCGTCGCTATGTTGGTCGTGAGTATTAAACAAACAAATGAGAACGACATAAACAACAACAACAACAATTGGTGTGAGAAAGTGAAACGTTTGTTTGTGTTGTTGAGGTGGAGGCGAGCGTGCTCGTCGACGGAGCCCTGTACCCGAGACTGACCCCCACGGCGGGGCTGTTGCTGCCCCCGGACACCGAGTGCCACGAGCACACTCTTCGCCTGCAGCGCGCCTTCAAGAACAGGACGCTGTGGGCGGCGCGCAGTCAGTAAAAATTTTGTTTGCACATCAAATGAGCTGATTGGCAATCTTTCCCAAGTCGATTGCGCCCCTTTGTAGTCTTATTTTTCCCACAAACCAGCGCGTTCATGTGGCTGAGATTCAAAATTTGGGCCATCGCTTTCTGTTTGCCATAAACAGTTTTTGCGGATCATAGAGAATGAAATCTTAAATGCCACCCAAAACCGCGCTGGTTCCGTGTTAAAAATAAAAAATAAAAGCTTGTACAAAGGTCTGTTATTGGATTAGTGACGCCCGTTTCCTGCAGTGGTGGACGCGAGCGCTGGCAGTGTGGTGGGCGGGCTGTGGGGCGCGCACTTCCAGCTTGGCAGTTTCGACGGCTGCCTGTCGGCGGGGACGTCATCTCCCGTGGGAGCGCGGTACTGCTTGGCGAGACTGTTCGCCGCCGACGTGGCCGCGCCGCAGCCCGCCCTGCTGCCCAGGCCCCCCAGGTCCCCGGCTTCCACCCCCGTCGCCAGCACCCCCACCAGCACTACCGCCCTTGCGAGGCCGGCCCCCAGCAGCGCTGGGACCACGTGACCGGCCTCGACCCGGAGAGTGACGCCCGGGATGCTCTGCAGGTATGGCACCACCACTTGCTCCAAATATACACAAGATTACCGCGTCAGTAACACATTTCTTGGTACAACTTCAACGAAATCGGGCAAACTACCCTCGCAACGCAAGGCCACGCACTACGGGAAGCCAAGCGATGCGCTGCTGTTGCGTCGGGCGAGACGTCACCCCTCCCACTGTGTTGCAGGGCTGCGGGTTGGTGGACGGCTCCATCCCACTGGCCGACGTCCTGGTGGCGCTGTGCGTGCCCGAGTCCTGCGGCGCCGTGCCTCTGCAGGCCGCCCTCAAGAAGTCACTGCTTCGTGCCTCGGCCTCGGACATCGCCTTCGACGTGCGCGTCGAGGAGGAGTACTGCGTCAGCCACCGAGAACTGCAGGACGGCCAGTTTGGTCTGGCGGCGCTCTTTTTCTGGTACAGAGTGTTCATCGAGGCCATTCGCCTGTGTCGTGCCACTGTCTCTCTCGGCCATTGAACCATTGTGTGCCCTTTGCCTGCAGGACTCTCGTCTTGGCGCTGAGCGCCGCCGCGGTCACCGCGCCGTATCTGGGTGAGTGCCTCGCCTCGTCGGGTTGAGTACCGTCGTCACCGCCCGTTGCGTTTCGAACAAATTGACCGCATGTTTTTCAGGCGGCCGCCTGTCGGCGTGGGATTGGCGCACCCATGTGGCGGCGCTGGCCCGGCCCGACGCGCCCCTGTCGGGGATGGACTTGTCGGCCTTATCCGGCGTCCGCGGCGTCAACATGGTGCTGCTGCTCGGGGCGCACCGCGCTTTCAACTCGGCCAAGCTCGCCACCACCAACCAGTTCATCAACACGGCCGAGGTAAGTGTCCGAACGGCGACGCGGGGCACCGCCCTTGGCACCGCCAGGCCATTCTTGCTCAATCACGCCCTCTGTGCAGTCCCGCACGGCGCCGCTGCACGCCCTGGGCCACCACGCCTCGCTCCTCGTCGACACGTGCTTCTTCATGTCCGGTCTGCTCATGTCGCTGTCGCCGTCCGTGAGACAGGGCACCCAGGACAACCACAACGCCCTCCGAGCCACCGCCAGCCGCTACCTCAGGTGAACGCCTCCCCCTCCCCCTCCCGCGGCCGCCGTGCTGGGTAGGCCACTCGGGGAGCTGGCTGCAGCGCTGCCGCGCGGGATGCCTATGCGCTCGTGGTGAGGCGCTCCGAGGCGGCCGGGCCGGGCCGCGGTGCTGCGCGGTGCCCGACCTCTCGAACTTCTCCTGCCAGCGGCGTGTGGCTGTGGCGCGGCCAAACACTTCACGAGATCAAATTTTGATTGTAATGTTGTCCACGCTCTGCAGGCTGACGCTGCCCTACGCGATGGTGATGCTGTTCTACGCCTTCGCCATGGAGTCGCTCGGGTCAGGCCCGCTGTGGAAGTCCATCACGATGCCCGAGGCCGCGGCGTGCCGGCGCTGGTGGTGGGCCAACTTGCTCTACGTCAACAACTACGTGCACGGCCAGCCCGGCGAGTACGCGGTGAGAGCACGTCCTGCTTTGGCCGGCTTTGGCCGTCGCGGCCCCGCGTCTCCGCTTCCCTCACGACGCTCTGCGCTCTGCCCCCACAGTGCATGCTGCAGTCGTGGTCGCTGGCCGTGGACATGCAGCAGTTCGTGCTGGGGACGGTGCTGGTGCCGCTGCTGACGCCCGCCAGCAACTCGGCCAACTCGCTGCCCCGCTGGTCCGCCTGCATCCTGGCCGTCGCCCTGCTGCCCCCGTTCGTCGCCACCCTGGTGGAGGGGTGGCCACCCCTCCTGGTGTGGTCTGCGCGCGCGCTGCAGAACCCCTTCGCCGAGCCCATGTTCTACTCCATGTACGTGGCCACCCAGTTCCGCGCCGCACCCTACGTCGTCGGCGTGCTGGCGGGGTGCGTCATGCTGCGCTTCAAGGTGGGCGATGATCGGTGCCGCGCTCCTGTCCACTCCCGCTACTGTAGCTACATGGACACGGTGTACTTCACGTGTGCGTGGTCCTTGTGGTTGCAGGAGCGGAGTCTGGAGCTGAACCTGTGGGACTCGACGAGGCTGACGTGGGGCAGCTTGGCCGCCATGCTCACTCTCCTGACGTCCAGCGTGCTGTTCGCCGACCTGTCCGCGCCCGCGCCGCCCTCGCTGGTGTCGGCCCTGTACGCCGCGCTGTGCCCCTTCGCCTGGGCCGCTGCTCTAGCAGTGTTCGTCGTGGCGGTCACGTTCGGCCAGAGGAGTGAGTACCGGTCGAGTGCCAACACTTTGTCAACGTTGTCGTTTCCCTTGTTAATTTACCACGTGTCCAGCTGCCGTGGTGGGGCTGCTGCGGTGGCAGCCGCTAGTGACGCTGAGCCGCCTGTCGTACGGCGTGTACCTGGTGCATTTCGCAGTACAGCTGCTGCAGGGCGGCGCCGAGCGCGCGCCTCGCAACGTGACGGTCGCCACGGTGGTGAGTAGCAAAATCCATTCCCAACCATATTCCTTGCAAGCTCCGGGTACAAGTTCGTTTTCTGATTGTTTGCCAGTTCCGCGACGGCTTCAGCGACCTGGTCATCGCTCTCATCGTCAGCGCCTGGCTGCACTTGATCGTGGAGGCCCCAGTGCGGTACTTGGCCAAGTCGGCGCTCTATGGCCGCAGGTACCACGGGGCTGAACAGCTTGCTGACCAGCGTCTAGACGGTGGTTTGTGTGAACCCGTCTAGAATGCCTTTACTCAACATTTTTGTTTTTTCTCGGGCAGGCTGGTGATCAACGTGAAGCTGTGCAGGAAGCGCACCGCGTCCGAGATGACGGCGAGTTCGGCTTCTCCGACCCCGACTCCGACCCCGGCAGTGTTGAATGGCATCGGCAGCATCGGCAGCGCCGCCAAAGTGAGCTGCTTTTGATCTGCGAGAGAAGAGACAAAGATTACATGTTCACTACTATGATCAATAAGCCTACTTGATAATCGACTATTTTAAATTATGTATTTTATCTAGTATTTCAACATAACTTTGAAAAGAATTATGTGTTTTAAATCCATGTGATTGTATACATCCAAATTTTAGGCGAGTCTTTAGAAGTCAAGGCAGAGTATGTGTAGGTCGCTTTTCAGAAAACAAATAAAACTTCTAGTCATACACGTTTCTGCAGCAGTTTATTATTTGACGGACTTGGTAACGCTTAACAACGTTACGATGTTGCCGACGTTTCCACGTAACCAATATTTCTGTACTTAATGTTTAACTCAATATTTCTGCCCAATTTTTCTAGTCCAATACTTCTATTCATGATTTGTATTGGGTGCGTCAACTTGAGAGATAGGTCAACTGACATACACCCTCAACTCTTACTACGCCATGACGATAATGTGCAGAGTGTCGTCATCATCATAAACGTGATGGTGCGGCCGGCGTGGGAGGCAACCTTTCCTCGCTTCCCCCATCGGTACACTACACTGTACACCGGCGCGGCGGGCACGGCGCCGCGGCGGGACGGCTCCCCGGCGCAACCAGCGCGGCAGCCCGGCGGCCCGGCCGGCCCTGCGCGGTTACCTAACAGCCGCTCGCTGCCTCGCTGCGCGGCGCACGGCGCGCTGCCCTTCCCCGCCATCTTCCCCGCCACCCTGCGACCCACTTCCCTATTTCGTTGCGCCCTGCGCCGCGCCGCGAGGAGACGGACTGCGCCGACACACTGCGCTACACGGCGACAGGCCGCGCGCAGATTCGAACAAGCAGGGCAAAGAAAATTTAGTTTCGGGGAGCTACCGCGGAAGACAGCCAGTCTTTTCCAGCGCTTTTTTCGCGCCTGATAAAAATCCCTTGAACTTGGTGCTTTTGGAACGCTTTTTTCGCGCACTTTTGCCCGGAAACCACGTATATCTCTACTTGGGAAACGCAGTTGAGTCCAAGCAGTCGCCTCAATGGTGGGCAAGCCTTTTAGGCACGCCAGCAGGCGCGGTTTGCATCGGTCAATCAAATCAGGGCGCGGTCCATTTCTCGCGATTCATGCTCGTAAACGCGATGTACTCCTGGAGTTGGACCTCGCACTTCCTGTGCGACCCCTGTGGCGCGAACCAACTTCCCCGTACCAAGCCGAGTGTCCGGAGTGTCGTAACGTCGCCGTGGACCTCGGGGCGGCTCGGCCTGGCTCGGGGCCTCCCCGGTGTTGCCGGTGGCGGCCGGACACTGGCGTGGGTGTGCGTCCGGCGGGCCGCGCGCGGAACGCCGGAACAGGACATGTAGGCCGCCCTGGCGGCGCTGGCGGCGCTGGCCCGCGGCGGCCCGCGGATGAGTCCACGCGCCGTGATGCAATGCCCTGGTGCGCCGGTGCGAAAGGCTTGCCCGCCGGCCCCGGGACCCACCGGAGAAGGGGAGGGGGGAGTAGCACGGACCAGGACGCGACCTCTTTCCCGCTCTAGCCGTACCCGTACCGCGCGCGCACCGCGGAGGACGCAAGAGGACCGGACTAGGCCGGCTGCAGGCTGCATTCGCCTTCGCCGGCCGTTGCAGCGCACAGCGCACCTACACCGCAAAGCGCACCGCGCAGTGCGGCCGACGGGGCGCCGCGCCAAGTCCGCGGGGAATGGCGGTGCCTGCCTTGCCGGCCGGGGCTCTCGCCGGGGCTCTAGCCGGGCCCGGCCTGGCCGCATTGCCGCATTGCACATCGGGGCGTTGCGCGCTGCCATGGCGCCGCGGCCCCAGTCGAGCGGGGTTCTTGCTCTTCCGCAACAAATATGAGAAATTGCCGCGGCGTGAGGCCGGCTCTCCCGCGGCGGCTCGGCCTGGCTGTGCCGCGGCTGGCCGCTTCAATTTGTCATCGAGAGGCCTTTGCCGCGGAGACTCCAACGCGCGGCAGGACGAGGATTTGGCCGTTGTTTTGGACACGTTTGCGGCGCGGATGGCCTGCCCCCCTTCCCCACACACGCAGTCATCATCTTTCCGATTGCGCTCGCCGTCAGCGCCTTCGCGCGGCCACGTCATCCGGACGCGTTCATGTAAGATACATCCAATAACCAATTTGCGCTGCGAAACCCATCAGGGGCTGTGACACCGACACCCGCAGTTACGCTGCGGCGGGGTGCTGCACCCCCCAACCCCAATCAAGACGCACGGGGGCGAACACGTGACCTGCCGACCGATTCCGCGGGGCCTTTCCTCCTTTCGTCGCCGTCTCTCTCTCTCTCTCTCTCTCTCTCTCTCTCTCTCTCTCTCTCTCTCTCTCTCTCTCTCTCTCTCTCTCTCTTTCTCTCTCTCTCTTACTCTCTCTCCCCCCACCCATACGGGAGGCCCCATGAGTGCGACAGAGGCAGAGCGACGATGATGCGACTCTCTGAATCAACCTCCTGTGCCGCCGAGGTGTTGAGAGGCAACCCCTGCGCAGACACTTGATATCACGGGTCCAGAAATCGCACCGTTACGTCGCCATGGTTGGCCATGGTGCGCCGAGCCGGCCGACGCACTCCGGGCGCCTCGAACTCTCAACGACGGCCTCACGTCTCTCAGCACCACGGCACCGTCACCCCCGACGCAGACTGACTCTGAGGGCCTGTCTGGCGCCCTGCCTGCGGAGCCTGGCATGGCAGAGCCTGGCTTGGCAGAGCCTGCAGAGCCTAGGCGGGGCGAGCCGCGCGCCACTGGCACGGTTTAGCCGCTAGTCTTGCGACACTGGTTGCAACAGAAGCGCAGCGCGGTGCAGCGCAGTGCAGCGCGGTGCAGGGCGTGGCCGCGGCGTGGCGGCGCTCGACTCGGCTTGGCTCGGCTCGGCTCGGCCCCTTCGTACACCTGCGGTTGGCTCCAGCCAGTATCGCTCGACGCGGTGCATGCTGCTGTACTTGCCCAACAGCGCCAAGCAGGCCAAGCAGGCCAAGCAGGCCAAGCACCGTAGTAACTCGCACTGACACCCCCGACTAGACGGGGCGAGGCGGAGCCGGCCGACGCATAGAGGGAGGGCGCGGTGCTGCAACGGGGTCGCCGCCGATAGCCGGGCCAAAGTGCACGCCGAGCCCACGGCGGCGCCGCGCGGCGCTGAGCCCAGTGTTGCGTCGCGCTGCGTGTCCCGGTGGGGCTGCCTCTACGCTGCACGTCGGAAGCCAGGCTTTATCGAGTGTGTTGCACACTGTCGTTAAATGAAAGGCTGCCTGTCTGACCGCCAAGCGGTTCGCAGCCACGTATCGGCTAATCGGCGCGCCGCGACACGCCTCGCCACGCCTCCGTTCGGCCGCTGTCCCTGCGAGTGCGGGTTCAGGATGGCTCAGAAGGAGGGGGAGAGGGGGGGGGGTCATTTCGCTGGGCGACGGCGACGCGCGATGGGTAGGCAAAAAAGTAGCACTTTCCCACAAACGTTTGGACTAAGAATACGGCCTTTACTCAAAAGGAAAAAACCTGAGTTTAGCAGGCATATAACAATTGCGCTCGTTTGTGCTTCAGTGCGCGGGGTTGAGGATAAGGAAGGCAAAGTTTCAATTTTGCACGGATCCAAAGCAGAGAACGGCAGGCAGACGTGAGCACTCTCCGATGATGAAATGCCAAGCTGTGCCTCCGGAGGCGGCCGAAACTTGCCAAAAAATGAGGACTGGAAGGATGACACGAAAGGCGTCATCACCGCCGGCTGCCGCGCGCCGCGTCTCGCAAGGTCGCGGATCGGACCGCGGCGCGGCGCCACCATCACGCGGCCAGCAAAACAAGACCAAGTCTCGCTTCATTTCGTTTCCGTCCGCCCGATCGCGGATTTTTCGGTCTGGACACAATAAAAACAGATTTGAGTGTGTTTTTGTTCTGGCGCGCGTCCAATTGTCATTGCGTCGCTCCGCTCGCCATTTCTAATTACTCATTCTGCGGCTCGCCGGGCGGGGCGCAGCGGGGCGAGGCGGGGCGGGGCGGGCACGGCGCCGCATCAGGAAGTCAACGCGCGGCACCGAGGCCTTGAGCACAACACGTTCCTCCGGACTTCTCCGGTCACTCCCAGTCACTCCCATAACGGCACCTCGCGGCTCCGTGGCTCCGCGCCGCTCGGATTGGCTCGCCGACACTTTAACAACATCCCTGTTGTGGGGACACGCGGGGACGCCGTTCGCACACTGTTCGCGGAGTGGGTGCGGTGAGGCATGCTCGGAGCCGTCAAGCTCAGCCAGTGTAGCGCGTGGGTTAAATTTTAACAGTCATCACCAGGATCACCATTTGACGGCCTGGTCTGCTGTACTCCCTGGTCACCCAAGTGACCCCAGTGCCGCCTTGGTGCCGCCCCCGCCGTGCCCCCCACTCTCCCTTTCGCCGCGTTCGCTCGAAGTGTGCCGGGTCGGCAGGGAAGGAGGAAAAGGGGCCAAAGGGGCAGCTCCCCTCCCCCCTCCCCTCCCCCCGTCGGCCGGCGAGGAGCAAAACTGGGAACGAGGAAACGTTACGGCACGGGCCGTCAGGGCAGGGCAGGGCTGGGCGGCAGGGCCGGCCGGTATTGCAGCACGGCTTGAAGCAGCGCGGCGCGGCAAGGCGGAGTGGCACACACAGTGAGCCTTCCGTATTGGGCCGCATTAAGCGCTTTCCGTCCAGGGCGTGTCCACGACCGTCCGCCACCGTCCGCCACGTCGGCCTTGCGACACGCCATCCTCCCGCCCTACAAGAAGAGGCACTGACCACGCGCCGTGACGCAACGCCGCCCGGTGGCATCGCTCGTTATGGACCCCCTAGGGCCGGGCTTAACAGGATTTGAGTTTCGTTCACTGCCTCCAAACTTCGTCCTGCGCGCGGGCCGAGGGCGATGGCACTGGCGGCATTGGCGCGGCCCGTATGAGCTTCGCCGGCACTGTCGCGGCAGTCGTATTGTGCAACTCCGATCCCCTCACTGATCCGCTCCACGATCCTCTCCTGCGATACGCCCTGCTGATCCTCTCCTCTTCCTGACCCGAGCCGCGGAGCGCGGAGCCGCCCGAGTCGGTCTGTCTCTCTGTCAGCTCGCTCCTCGTTTTTCCTCCGCGTCCTGCCGGTTTGTTATGCTCGGAAGGCAGCACCTTCAGTGCTTCGGTCTGCCTGCGTTGCCGGCTGCGGTGCTGCGGGCTGCGGTCACCCCCTCCCCCCCTCTCTCTTCGCCTCCTGTTATCCTCCTTCCTTCTCTCTCTCCTTCACTCTCAGCAGCAACACTTCCTCCATTCCTG